TTATTTAATGTTATAGCGTATTTTCCCATGTTCTTAAAAATCTGTTACCAGCCTTTTTAATGATTATAGATTTTTTTATTTGAAAGTGCTATAATTTATGTTTCTCAGTTATTAATTTACCTTATTTCTGATTTTTGTTTTTAAAAATAATGCAAGGCTGAACAAGGACTGTCTTTGTGCCTAAAGCTTTTATCTTCACTTTGTGCTGCTTCCTTGAGCCTAGTTCTAGTTCAGTGGTTCTCAAAATGGAGTGTATCAGCATCACTTGGAATGCATGTAACACAGATTGCTGGTCCTCAACCTAAGGATTTCTGACTGGAGACCTGAAAGCTGGCCTTTCTAACAAGTTTCCAGGTGATGCTACTCATATGGGGACCCCACTTTGAGAACAACTGGCCTGTGTTATTGACAATGACAGTACAGTATTGAGGTTAAGTTTCTCAGTCAGTAGGAGTGATTATGATCTTGAATGAAACTGAATTCATGTATCAACCTGTATCAGGGAAGTAGAAGAGCTATAAAAGATTGTATCAGCATCTCAGCATTGAGAATTTGTGCAATTTGTACACACAGCAGTGCAATTTTTGTAAGGTTCTGTGCTGGGTATTGTGAAGTAAGGGTACTGTGAATAATAAAACCCAGCTCCCATGGGATGCCTGGGTGGCTCAGCGGTTGAGTGGCTGCCTTCGGCTCAGGGCGTCATCCCGGAGTTCCAGGATCAAGTCCTGCATCGGGCTCCCTGTGAGGAGCCTGCTTCTCCCTCTGCCTATGTCTCTCCCTTCTCTCTGTCTCTCTCATGAATAAATAAATAAAATTAAAACAAAACAAAACCCAGTTCCCTTTTGTCTGTTTTACAATCTACTTGTGAGATAAGACAAATATAACCCAAAAGTGCCAGAAAAAAGGAATTTAACAAAACAAAGGGCTACAGAATTCAGAGGGAGGCGAGATCATATTTGGTTGACACATTAAAAAAGGAGGAGGCCAAGAAGTAGAAGGTCCAAGAAAAAGCTAGGATTTTTTTTTAAACTTTTCTTTTAAAAATTAATTTATTTAAAGTAGGCTCCATTACCAATGTGGGGCTTGAACTCAAGACCCTGAGGGGATCCCTGGGTGGCTCAGTGGTTTAGCACCTGCTAAACCAGGGCGCGATCCTGGAGTCCCGGGATCAAGTCCCACATCGGGCTCCCGGCATGGAGCCTGCTTCTCCCTCCTCCTGTGTCTCTGCCTCTCGCTCGCTCGCTCGCTCGCTATCATAAATAAATAAATCTTAAAAAAAAAAAAAAAAAGACCCTGAGATCAGGGGTGCCTGAGTGGCTCAGCGGTTGTGTCTGCCCTTGGCTCACGTCATGATAGTGGGGTCCTGGGATTGAGTCCCACATCAGGCTCCTTGCAGGAAGCCTGCTTCTCCCTCTGCCTATGTCTCTGCCTCTCTCTTTGTGTCTCTCATGAATAAATAAAGTCTTAAAAAAAAAAAAAAGACCCTGAGGTCAACAGTCACCTGCTCTACTGACCCAGCCAGCCAGGTGCCCCAGAGCTAGGATATTTTTAAGGAGTTTCACAAGTATGGCATCAGTGAAGCTTGGTTTTTGGCCAGAGAAGCCCAAGTTCAAATCTTGTTTCTGTGCTAAATTAGCTTTGTGATATAATTCTCCCTGAGCTTGTTTCTTCATCTGTAAAAAGAAGATACTATTTCAGGTATGTTTGTGCAGATTACATAATAAAACACCCAACAAAATATCTTGTAGGAAACACACACTCAAAAATTGTTGAATAGGCTGGCTCAGTCAGTAGAGCATGTGATTTTTGATCTCAGGCCACGAGTTTGAGTGGAGCCTACATTAAAGAAAGAAGTGGAAAAAAAAGATTGAATAAATGTAAGCTTCTTGAAGGGTTTTTCATTGATGCTTCTATGCGTTGTAATCAACAAGGCCAAATCACCAAGGACCATCTATTGGCATAAAAGTGATTGATGCCTTTTCAAACAGCTTTTCTTTGGATTAGATTTTAAAGGAAATTTTGTTGGTGGAAAATGAGTGGTACCCAACAAATGTAAACTTTGCTGCCACTTTATTTAGTATTATCTTGAATTAGACCCTGGATAGACTTTTTTTTTAAAAAAAGATTTCATTTGTTTATTTTAGAATGAGCATGGGCATGCTGGGGGAGGAGTGGAGGGAGAGAAGCAGACTCCCCCTGAGCACAGAGCCTGACACCAGGCTCAGTCCCCATGACCCGGAGATCACGACCTGAGCTGAAATCAAGAGTCGCTTATCCGACTGAGCCACCCAGGCACCCTGACTTGGATTGGTTTTGATGAAATTTAGCATGCTTACCTCGTTTTCTTCAGGTTTTTCCTGAATAGTATAATAGTGAAGCATCTTCCTTTAGAGCACTCTATAAATTGGCCCTGCCTCCCTGTCTTTGCTGTTCTGCTCTAATGTCCATAGCACTGACATATATTGTACATTGTATGTCTCTCCCACACTGAAATGAGTGCTGCAGTAGGCAGGAACTTGGCTCTATTTAATACTGTATTAGTACTGCAACCAGTGCGTGGCACATAACCATGAATTAGTGAATTGGTAAATGAACCAGTTGAAGATTTCAGGAGAAGAGGGAAAAGAAGAGTATTGTGTCAGTTCTTTTAAAAGTGATTTTGTGGGCATATTTATTTTATTTTTTATATTTATTTATTTATTTATTTATTTATTTATTTATTTATTTATTTTTAATTTTATGATAGGCACACAGTGAGAGAGAGAGAGAGGCAGAGACATAGGCAGAGGGAGAAGCAGACTCCATGCACCGGGAGCCCGATGTGGGATTCGATCCCAGGTCTCCAGGATCGCGCCCTGGGCCAAAGGCAGGCGCTAAACCGCTGTGCCACCCAGGGATCCCCTATTTTATTTTTTAAAAAGATTTTATTCATGAAAGACAGAGAGAGAGAGAGAGAGAGAAGCAGAGACACAGGCAGAGGGAGAAGCAGGCTCCTTGCAGGGAGCCCGATGTGGGACTCGATCCCTTGACTCCAGGATCATGGGCAGGTGCTAAACCACTGAGCCACCCAGGTATCCCCTTGTGGGCATATTTAACCTCAGTAACAATATACTTGTATTTTAAGCTCCTGGTGCTGTATTTTAAGGACATTTTAAGTCCAATGGAATGATTTTGAATATCATTGCTTTTGTAGTGATATTTGTTGAAAGAAAGCTTCAGCTTATTTTTAGACAGTTTCTACAGAGACTTTAGTCACCTAAGTTGTCTTCCAAAAATCCTCTTGATTTTGGAAGAGACAGCAGAGTTGCTGATAAAAAGTGACTTTACATGGGTATCATATACGTTAGAGTATACTTTGGCTCTATACCAAATAAAAACATTTTTGTGCATGTTTTATCTCTGGGGCAGCACATCTTTGCTTTTCTTGGGTTCCAAGTCAGTTTAGTAAAAGAATTAATGTTGTTCTCCCCCCCCCCCCCCGGGATTAGTTTGGTCATATCACTGCTGCTTCCTGAAGTTCAGTGGATTGTTGATTCTGCTGTGTCTGTTGAGGGCAGGAGTGATTGGGATATTACCCCTTTTTTGCTTTTTAATTTGGAATATGTAATTTTTCTGTAAAGATTTACTTTTGGTTTGTTCAGGCCATTGATATGTGTGTTGCTCTTTTATACTACGTGTCAGCTGATAAGGAATTGATGTAGCCTGGGTTAGCAGTGGTCAGGTGGAGTTGGTCACCTTCATCTTAGAAATTCTAAGTAGACAAGCCAGAAATGCCTTTAATTTAGAATTTAGTTGATTCTGTAGTATGATACTTTTTTGAGGTATCAAAATTATTGGTGTCTGGTATGGATATGAACTCATATTCAGATTCCCTAATTGTCACAAGTACCTTTCCACATTTATTTGTTTGACCTAGGATCCAAAATGGTTTACACATTAGCTTGCTTGCTGTATTCTTGTCTATAGAAGTCCCCACTTATCTGTGGGGGATACATTGCAAGACTCCCAGTGGATGCCTGAAACTGGGTATGATATGGTAAAGTTTCATTTATAAATTCAGCATAGTAAGAAATTAACAGTAATAATAAAATAGAACAATTATAATAATAGACTGGAATGAAAGGTGAATATGGTCTCTCCCAAAATCTTTCTCTCTCTCTCTTTTAAAAATATTTATTTATTCATGAGAGACAGAGAGAGAGGCAGAGACACAGAGGGAGAAGCAGGCTCCATGCAGGGAGCCCAACACAGGACTCCATCCTGGGTCTCCAGGATCATCACACCCTGGGCTGAAGGTGGCGCTAAACCGCTAAGCCACCCGGGCTGCCCCCCCCCCCTTTTTTAAGTGAACTCTATGTTCAATGTGGGACTTGAACTCACAACTCCAGGATGAAGAGTTGCATGCTCTACAGACTGAGCCAGCCAGGCATCCCCCTTAAAATCTTATTTTACTATACTTAACCCTTCTTGTGATGATGTGAGATGATAAGTTGCATATACGTTCAGATGAAGTGAGGTGAATAATGTGGGCATTTTGACCTACTGTTAGGCTACTGTGTACTGACCTTCTGACAGACCACAGCTGACCTCAGGTAGTTGAAACCTTAGATAAAGGAGGACCACTATATTATGTCTCCACCTGTCCCTTCTTTCCCATGCCATTTATCTTCTAAAGAACTTGGAAATATTTTATTCCAACAAAAAATATTTTATTTTGTAGGAATTCTGATATTCTAGATGTGGCTGATTGCTTCCTAAGGTTGTTAATTTGGTAACCTAATCTCTTTATGTCTTAAAAACTAAAAGTTAGGTCTTGATTAAATTCAGGTTGTGTTTTTTTTTCTTCTTATATATCTATTTTGGCAAGAATTTTTCATAGGTTGTGCTTAGCACTTCAAGATGCGTTATATCAGGAAAAGTTTGTTGTCAGACTGTCATTTTAGTGATATTGTAATTGATTAGTAAGTTAGGTGTTAATAATCATCTTACCTTTATTTCAGAAAACCTTGATTCTTTACTCTCAGACTACGATATCCTCTCTCTATCCAATATCCAGCAGCACTCAGTAAGAAAAAGGGATCTACAGGCCTCAACACATATAGAAACACTACTGACTTTTTCAGCCTTGAAAAGGTAATTTGAACTATTTATAGAAAAATATTGGGGCAACTGGGGACTTAGTTTGGCAAAAGTAGAAAAATAAGGGTGTTTATTAGAGTCTTAGGAAGTTATGTTTTAAAGATTTGTAACTGATATAATTACAGTCAGTCATAATTCTTATATCACTTCTTACTCTAAAATTCATAGTGATGATTATTAAAAACAAGCAAATGAGTATTCCAAAGGTATTAATGATAGTAATAATGTTTATGGGATTCTAACAAAGGATTTTAATTAATTGAATGATTTGTAGTACTTTAAAATATTTTGTGCTACTTTACAACCATGAACTACGCACTAAATATTATCTTTCTTTTATATATGAACACACTGAGTTTTAGAGATCAAGGGTTTTTGCAGGACCCCACAGCCTTGTGGTAAGTTGAATAGAGAATTCAGAGCTGTGTGTATATTGAAGTCCCCTTACATCGTAGCATAAATTGATGTGATCTGTTTAGGCAATAATTTTGCTTTCTCTTACATTTTACAGATGTAAATCTGTTAGATAATTACAGGCCTTTTTCTAAAGTCTTTTTAGGGATCTTTACTAATATCAAAACAAACACTGAGAGAATGTTAATGGACTGAAGCAGAGAGAGAAACACACTTCCTGCTGAGCAGGTGCCTAAAGAGGGGCTCTATCCCAGAATCCCAGGATCATGACCTGAGCTGAAGGCACTTAACGGACTGAGCCACCCAGGCACCCCAACAAATATTTTTCAAAAAAGAAAGTAATACATGTACTTGATTTAAAAAGCAAACTGGGTGGGGGGGGAGTATAAGAAATTTTCACTTCTTCAAACTTCCCAGACATAGAGAGCTTTCCTGAATAAACCTCTAAAAGATTTTATTTTTTATTATTTTAAAGATTTTATTTATTTACTCATGAGAGACACACAGAGAGAGAGGCAGAGACACAGGCAGAAAGAGAAACAGGCTCCACACAAGGAGCCCGACGTGGGACTCGATTCTGGGACTCCAGGATCACGCCCTGGGCTGAAGGCAGGCGCTAAACCACTGAGTCACTCAGGGATCCCCTCTAAAAGATTTTAATGCATATTTTTTGCATATAGATCTGTGTATATGTAGGTGATATATATAAGTAGATTTACCTCATTTTTATAGCTGCATAAATATTTATTTATTTATTTATTTGTTTGTTTGTTTGTTTGTTTATTTATGATAGTCACACAGTGAGAGAGAGAGGCAGAGACATAGGCAGAGGGAGAAGCAGGCTCCATGCACTGGGAGCCTGACGTGGGATTCGATCCCGGGTCTCCAGGATCGCGACCTGGGCCAAAGGCAGGCGCCAAACCGCTGCGCCACCCAGGGATCCTCTTTTTTTTTTTTATATTTATTTTTTAAAAAATATTTTATTTATTCATGAGAGAGACAGAGAGAGAGGCAGAGATCTAGGCAGAGGGAGAAGCAGGCTCCATGCAGGGAGCCTGATGTGGGACTTGATCCTGGTACTGCAGGATCACACCCTGAGCCGAAGGCAGGTGCTTAACCACTGAACCACTCAGGCGTCCCTGCATAAATATTTCTTTTGCATAGAATTGTAACGGTTTGTTGGCTAGTAACTTACAGCTACATATTATTTAACCAAAGTGATTATTATTTCTTATAGCAAACCTCCAATAAATATCTTTGTGAATATACCTTATCTAGGTTATTTTTTTTTATAGGATACATTCCTGAAAGAATGAGTCAAGGATATACATATTACAAATGTTTACTGCTGAACCATATTTCTTCCTAAAGACAGTAGCCCAATTTATTCTTCTGGTAGCAGTTTGTGAGCTTACCTGTTTCCTGTTACCCTTAGCAATACAAGGTTTTATCAGCCCTTAATTTTTGTCCCTGTGAAAGGGGATGTATCTCATTGTGTTGATTTTTATCTTTTTTTTTAAGTGTTGTGGCTCCTTTTTTTTTTTTTTTAAAGATTTTATTTATTTATTCATGAGAGAGAGAGAGGTAGAGACACAGGCAGAGGGAGAAGCAGGCTCCATGCAGTGAGCCCGACGTGGGACCGGATCCCGGGTCTCCAGGATCATGCCCTGGGCTGAAGGCAGGCACCCAACCACTGAGCCACCCAGGAATCCCTGTGTTGATTTTTATCTTGAGTGAAATTGAGCATCTTTTCATGTGTGTAAATCATTTATTTTTCTGTGTCTACCTTTTTGTATCCTTTTACCATTTTTCTGATAGGTTTATTCGATTCCTGAATCATAGTCATGCTTAGTATATTTATCATATGTGTAACTGATATTTTATGCAGATATATTTTATAATGTCTTTTTTGTTTTTTTTTCTAGTTATTGCCATCATCCTTAGATTATTTTTGAATAATTTCTGTTAGAGTTCATGTCAAAATATTGTTCACTATAGCAAATTTGAGCAGTGATGATGATGATAATCTACCTAGTGCTTAATTTCATGTAATTTATTTGAGGCACTTTGCACACGCTCTCTCTAATTCTCACCATGCTCCACAAAGAAGTTTTTGTTACTCTCTTTTTGGGGGAAAAAGAATTGAGACTCAGGTTGGGTAACTTGCTCAAGGTCACTTAGCTAGTAAGTGGAAGATAAAGGATTTGAATACAAGCCTGTGCTATTTCTGCTGTGCTGATAGGATTTTGGTGAAGAAGTGGATATAGTTTGTAAGAGATAAATAGGAGCAAAGGATAAGGGGGAAACTGCAAAATAAGAACTAAAAATTTGGCTTTCTAGGTTTTTTTTTTTTTTTTAAACTTTTATTTTTTTTTTAATTTTTTTTTTTTTATTTATTTATGATAGTCACAGAGAGAGAAAGAGAGAGAGGCAGAGACATAGGCAGAGGGAGAAGCAGGCTCCATGCACTGGGAGCCCGATGTGGGATTCGATCCCGGGTTTCCAGGATCGCGCCCTGGGCCAAAGGCAGGCGCCAAACCGCTGCGCCACCTAGGGATCCCCTCTAGGTTTTTTTTTAAAGTTAGGTTTGGGATGACTCATAGAGTCTTTTCTGTGGGGGAAAGTGTTGCCATACCCCATGCATTCCTCTCTTTCAGGTCTCATAGACGACATTGATTCTTAAGAAAATGTTCAGTATTATCTATGTATACTCTTTGTGTAAGGAAACAGGGAGGTTTGTAATTTATTTTACAGGCTTTCCATCTGAAGTGTTTAAATGGAAATGGATCTAACCATGTAGCAGAACTTTGGACCAAGTACTTTAAAATAGTTTATATCATTTAACCCTGAAAACCATTCAGTTAGTAGGTATTATTTTCATTTGTAGATGAAGATACTTATTTCAGAGGTTAAGGCCAAGATTAAGCATCGAGTAAGTGGTGGAGACAAGATTTGAGCTAGGTTTGTCAGACTCCAAAGCTCTTTCTTTTATGCTGCATCGTTAAAAGAAAAAGAAGGTGGGATATTTGAGATGATCAGTTTATATAGGGCTGAACTTACCAATGTGAAGCTGCTCATTACCAATGTGAAGGTACTTATAAATGATTAGATTTTCTGGTTTTAGACAGTGGTCTAAAAGGCTAATTTAAATCAAGGTGATTAGATATGTGTATGACTATTATAGCAGTTGAAAAGCATGGAAATGCTGAGAAATTGTATGAGGAGTTAAATAGTAACTTTATGAAGAAAAAACCCTGCAATTTGCCTAGAAGTTACATTTCCTCTGTTTTATAAATTAAGAAATGCTATTCTAAAGTTAAAAATATTGTTTTAATACTTTTTTAAAAAATATTTTATTTATTTATTCATGAGAGACACAGGCAGAAGGAGAAGCAGGCTCCATTCAGGAAGCCTAACATGGGACTTGATCCCAGATCTCCAAGATCATGCTCTGGACTGAAGGTGGTGCTAAACCTCTGAGCCACCTGGGCTGCTCTGTTTTAATACTTTGTGATAATGTTGCACTTTTAAAAAAAATCAGATATTTTTTATATCCTCTTAAAAGTGAAATAGCTTAATTTATTTGAAGAGGGCTAGAACTGATAAAGAAATGGAAATAATACATATCCAGCTAAATGGACTATTAAAAATAGATATGAGGTACAAACTTCCAGTCATAAAACAAGTCATAAGGATGTATAGCATGGTGACTGTAGTTAATACTGAATTGCATACATGAAAGTTGCTAAGAGAGTAGATCTTAAAAGTTCTCTTAAAATAAATTGGTTGCTCTGTGGTAACAATTTTAATTAGATATTATGTAATATTTACAGAAAAGGAGGAAAATATTGTTAATTCAGGTGGATTAACACTAGTTTGTAGTTACTGTAAATCCTTAAGCCAAAAGTCAGAAAGATAAAGGAAAATGCTAAAGGAAATCTATTAGTACATGACTTCACATAATTTTGAGAGGATAAAGTAAAATACAAATTCTGACTGAAATAACCTTTAGAAGTTTTACAACTCAAAGATGAAGATTGGAAAGTCAGAAAACAGGAGTTTTACCATTCCTTGGTCCTTATCTTTATAGAAGAGCAGATTTTTAGTGTAGAAAACAATGCAATTTCAGTGATTTTTCTGGAAAGAATGTTAAGTAAGAGTAACATTGAGACTCATAGAGGGCTTCGAAGCTGAATAATGAGGCATTTAGAATAGGGATGCTTTTCCTTACAAAGTTATCAGCATAACTGATGGAAAAAAAAATCATAGCTGTGAATGTGTGGGAAGATATGTTTTAGGAGAACAGGAGAAGATGTTCCAAGGATTTCTGAAATAATGTTCTATTGTCTATTGTCTCTTACCCTTTGACCATTAAAAAAACCCACAAGTGAACTAAAATTACTTTGTTATGCTCAAAAAGTTAAAAATATTTGTTGCCGTGGAGGCCGCCCCTGTCTAGATTCTCTCTGGCAGTTTAGACTTAGGCAAACCCATGGGGAAGTAACACTTCATAGTTTCAACCCCACAGCTGACAAAATTTGTTCCTGTGGTTATGATAAAAAACATACCTTTATCTTTAGTGTTCATGGGCACATTGAAAGGGTAAATAATAATTGAAAAATTCTTGCTCACCACACCCAGATTTTATGTCAGGGCTGAAACTGAGAGAAAACAAAAGAATATTAAGCTGACTAAACTGGAGTATGTGCTTTAATGTCTCTGTTGGATCCTTATATTTATCTTCCTCACAGGAATTGAGGATTAATTTTTTTCAAGATACATTCTCTTTAGAAGGAGAAAAAAAGCATGAGTGCTTTTAAATATACAAAGTAGCAATCACTAATTTTGCCCAGCAGTAAGAACAGCTTGATTTTTAGAGGCAGCACAGTACAGGCTTTTTTTTTTTTTTTTCCAAAGATTTTATTTATTCATGAGAGAGAGGCAGAGACACAGGCAGAGGGAGAAGCAGGCTCCACACAGGGAGCCCAATGTGGGACTCAATCCTGGGACTCCAGGATCACGCTCCGAGCCAAAGGCAGATGCTCAATCACTGAGCCACCCAGGCGTCCCAACAGTACAGGCTTTTGAAATACACCTAGTTCGGTGTCTAGTTTCATCACTTACTGGCTGTGTAACCTTGAGTATGTTGATAGACCTCCAACCCTCAGTGTTTACTGTGTGAAGTGGAAATAATGTAAGCAGAGCATGTAATGCTGAGTAGTATTCAGTAGTGGTATCTAGTAATACCAGTCTTTGATAAATTTTTCAGACAAGCAGGATTCCAACTTAAACTATCCACATGTGTGTTTCCTTATTCAGTCTCGAAAAGATGAATGCATAAGCTCTTTGAATCTTTTTTCCTCCAATTTTAGTCTTTTTTTTGGTTTGCTAAATTCTTATAGCTAAAGAAATTTGTCTGTCTTTATATGTGATATAATGCTAAGTACCTAGTAAAACAGTAGTTATAACTGGAATAGTGTTTTATTAATGTCCACTCTCTGTCAGCTTATTTTTTAAGTTGAATTTTATGGGTTAAAGTAAAATTTTATGTGTTTAGAGTAAAATATGGCTGCATTCTTTCTTTAGGCATTTTAAATTGTATCTGACATCAAGTACTGAACGCTTTTCCCAAAATTTCAAAGTCGTGGTGGTAGATGGTAAAGATGAAAGTGAGTACACCGTCAAATGGCAGGACTTCTTCAGTGGACACGTGGTTGGTTAGTATGAAGCTTGTTTGTTTGCCCTTGTGTCTGTTAAGGTGTCCAGATCTAGTTTGCATATTCTTTTTTATTGGGAAGAAGAAGGGGTGTCAGAGAAGTGCTATTCTTTGTTTCATATGAGTTTTATAAGTTTGGAAGGAGGAACATGTAGATGGGGGGAAATGGGGATTATCTAAGCATGTATATATATACTGTCTATTTTGATGATTAAAATTAATTTCCTCCCAGTTGATAAGAATTTAATCTCCTCTTGTCTCCAGGGAAGGATGTAGGCTTCCCTTATGAGATTTTAAACAAGGAAGCTAGGAGATAAAATAATTGACTTTATGATTCTGTTAAGTATTTAAGACATTATGTCAAACAAGCAATTGTGGTTTACTTCTGGAACTTTCTCTGCAGAAAAAAGAAATGACATTAAAATCTGCAAATCATGCAGTTCAAACTGTAGATTCCAGATCATGCTTTCTGCCTCCTTCCCTTCCTCATTCTTCCTTCTCTCCTTTCCCTCTTCCCCCCCTTCTTCCCCTTCCTCCCTACCCGCTTTCTCTTTCCCTTTCTTTCAGAGAGGGAGAGGGGGTAGGGAATGGGATGGGGACAGAGGCAGAGGGAGAGAGAGAATCCCGTGCAGGCTCCACACCCAGCATGGAGCCCAATGTGGGGCTTGATCTCAGACCCTGAGATCATGACCTGGACTGAAATCAAGAGTCGAGGCTTAACCAACTGACCCACCCAGTCACCCTCCTCTTAGTTCTTTCTTAACCAGAACTCAGTGAAGTTACTCCTGGAAGAACATCTATACATTTGTTTTTGGTTTTGTTCTTTTTTTTTTTAAGATTTATTTATTTATTTGTTTATGATAGACATAGAGAGAGAGAGGCAGAGACACAGGAGGAGGGAGAAGCGGGCTCCATGCTGGGAGCCCGATGTGGGACTCAATCCCGGGACTCCAGGATTGCGCCCTGGGTCAAAGGCAGGTGCTAAACCACTGAGCCACCCAGGGATCCCTTGGTTTTGTTCTATAACATACTCTAGATAAATTTTAGAAGAGAATTGAGGGAAAGAGAAAGGTTTCAAGTGAGTTGAGGCTACTCCTTAGGAGTGTGAATATTTTGCTGCTTGCTGGGCCCTGTGTTTCTTTGTTGTAGATTTCTATAGTACCTAGGCAGATTCCACTCTGATGAAGGACTTGATCGATTTTTATTGACGGTAGTGCATAGTTTATTTTTTGATAGAAGTATTTGTAAATGATGGAATTTTTTTTTCTCTTAAGGTGAGCCTGACTCTAGAGTTCTAGCCCACATAGGAGATGATGATATGACGATAAGAATCAACACAGATGGAGCAGAATATAATATAGAGGTAAATCTGTATGTAAATTTTTTGGGGGGTGGGAGCTGTTAAAACTGTTTCCCAGTTGTTTTAAGAAGACAAAAGTCTTTAATTGTACTTTTTTCCTTGTGTTTAAAGTTTTTAACCAATGAAGTAGATGGTTCTTTATTAAAAGAAAAAGAAGATAATATTTTTTACACGTCTGAGAGACTGCCCTAAGATGCACTCTATTTCTAAGTGCCATAATTGAGAGAAAGTCATATAGGGGGTGGATAATGGGAAGAGAAAACTTCCTTTCTCTCCTGATTCATTTTTTTATTCTTTCTCTAATAATCCTACTATAAGTGTAAATGTTTGCAAAGACAAAAGTCAAGTCTTCTGTTACCCCCTAGACTCTCAGGAAATGCAAAGTTAATAAAAGGTGATAGTTTGAGAAGTTAAAACAGGGAAACCCAGGCCCTGGTTACTCCTCCACTGAAGTACTAACAGCAGAAACAAAGACCAAACTAGCAGCCTTCCTTTTTTTTTTTTTTTGTTTAAGAGATTTTATTTCTGGTTAGCCAGTAGGCTATTAGTATTTGTTTTGGGGGCATTGAAGTTACATGTGATAGATTTTCAACTGCATGGGGGGGAGTCATTGCCCCTAATCCCTGCATTGTGGGAGAGTCAACTATATTTAACAGCTTTATTGAGGTAAAATTCACATACTATACAGTTCACTCATTTATATCCATTATGAAGGATATAATTCATTGGCTTTTACTGTATCCTAGTTATGGAAGTCATCACCACCATCAATTTTAGAACATTTTCACCACCTGCAAAAGAAATACTGTACCCTCTAGCAGCCTACCACCCTTTGCTTCCAAATCCCCTGGCCCTAGGAAACCACTGATCCATGATCTCTTTAGATTTGCTTGGTCGTACATATAAATGGAATCACAATATGTGATCTTTTATGACTGGCTTCTTTCTCTTAGTATATTTTTAAGTTTCATCCATGCTTTAGCCTGTGTCAGTACTTCATTTCTTTTTTTTGCCAAATATTCTATTGTATGGATATGCCACATTGTGCTTATTTTATGGACATTTGGATTGTTTTCACTTCTTTGGCTATTACAAATAATGCTTCTGTGAACATTTGTGAGCAAGTTTCTGTGTGAGCATTTATTTTCAATTCTCTGGGGTTTATATCAGGAGTGGAATTTCTGGGTCATAGGGTAACTCTATTTTTAACCTTTTGGGGAACTACCAGACTGTTTTCCAGACTGTGGCTGCATTCCACATTTTCACCATTTTACATTCCACAGTATATGAGACTTCTGACTTCTCCACATCTTCACCAATACTTCTTATGACCTGTTTTTGATTCCAGCCATCTTGGCAGATGTGAAGTCATGTCCTTGTGGTTTAGATTTTCATTTTCATGATGGATATGGAAGGAGATTTTATATATCCATATATATATATATATATATAAAATATGAGAGTGTGTGTGTGTGTGTACACACAGTATCTTTTTGTACTTTGCTCATAAGCTGCCTAGTTTGGATGAGACCAGCATTCTTATTGGAACTTTGTTTTTGATTTGACTGACTTTTCAAATGTGTTAGTTCTGATTTACTGTGACCTTGCAATAGGGAAAGTGAAGATTTTTAAAAAACTGCTCTTCCTGAAAGGTATAATAAGTTTTAGGCACATTACTGCAAATTTTCTGTCTTCTCTCCTGTGTATAAAACCTTCATGGTAAAAAGATACTAAGGACACTGGAATAAGAACGGTGCAGGGACCAAAGGCTCATCTCCTGTTTGTTGCTATAGGTCATTACCTGGAGTGGGGTTGGCATGCTATAGGTGTTACAGAAATGTTTTTGAATGAATGAAAAAGGTTCTGCGTTTCCTTTTCTGGATCTTCTAAAAGGTTTCATAACTTGTACAAAATAATGCTTTCTTCAAATACAGATAAAAATCAAAGGGTGAATAATCCATGTATTTATTTGCCAGCATAGAAGCTCTGAGAAAAGTTGAAATGATTTGTTTTTGTTAAAATGACTAGTCAGTTTACTTAAGCTGGAAATGAATGTTATCTAAAAACAAAGGATGTTGTAAAAATTGATTGTTTGGGAATTCTTATATTTTGCGTCTCAATTATATGATTTCTGTTTTAGCCACTTTGGAGACTAATTAATGATACTAAAGACAAAAGAATGTTAGTTTATAAATCTGAAGATATCAAGAATGTTTCACGCCTACAGTCTCCAAAAGTATGTGGTTATATAAAGGCGGATAATGAAGAGTTGATTCCAAAAGGGCTGGTAGACAGAGAGCCACCTAATGGTAAGACTTAAAAATATATTTCAAATAAGAAATTATTTCAAACATGCATTATGGCTGTCTTCAGTAGAGATGGTTAATTGATTAGTAAATGTAGTATTTGACTTGAAAATAGAGTTTTATTCAGAATTGTCTTTAATTCTTTTGCCTGTGAGAATTGAAAACAAATAATGATAACAATAAAGTTCGGAAAAAGTCTACAGAAAGGGGAAATTGAATAATCTGAGGGAATTTTTTTTTTTTTTTTTGTAAATAGTAAAGAAGGGTTGACAATACATATAGTGTTTAAGTGAGTATGGAGAGGAGGGAAAGCGTTTTTATTTGGGGTATTTAGAAATAACAAAATTCTGTTGAAAAATAATATCTTTAGATAAGCTTACGAGAAATTAGTTGGTACCAAGAGAGGTCTGTACTGTTTAGAAAGTGGTTATCAGTCTTGGGACAGCTCACTTTATTTTTATTTATTTATTAAATATTTTGTTAAAAGATTTTATATATATATTGGAGAGAGAGCACGAGTGTGGAGGAAGGGCAGAGAGGGACAAGCAGACACCTTGAAATATGGGGGTCCATCTCAGGACTCTGAGATCACGACCTGAGCCAAAGTCAGGCACTTAACTGACTAAGCCACCCAAGTTCCCCAAAGATTTTATTTTTTAAGTGATCTCCACACCCAACATCAGGCTTGAATTCACCCGGAGATCAAGAGTCGCACACTCTACTGACTGAGCCAGGCAGGTTCCCCGTGACAGATCAGTTTAGGGTCATGGAAAAACCTAGCCATCATGGAGAAGTACTCGACTGTCCTCGTTTTTGAAAACTTACAAAATATGGCTAACATTTTAGTATATAAATAATCAGTTGGATATTTTTTTTTTTAAAGATAGCCAAGATTTTTTTTTTTATTTATTTATGATAGTCACACACACAGAGAGAGAGAGGCAGAGACACAGGCAGAGGGAGAAGCAGGCTCCATGCACCGGGAGCCCGATGTGGGATTCGATCCCGGGTCCCCAGGATCGCGCCCCGGGCCAAAGGCAGGCGCCAAACCGCTGCGCCACCCAGGGATCCCCTCAGTTGGATATTTGATAGAGAGAAGGACCTATTACCATAAACTAATTTTTAGTGTCTGATTATCTTGGTGGTTTTACTCTTACTTTGGTTAATTGGTAAACTTCTAGTATATGTGCTGCCGAAGCGAGCACAATTTGTAAACTTCTAGAAGAAAATGACCAACAATAAGCTAGATGGTTGTCTTACCTTAAGTACTTTTTAAAAGTTTTGTTATTTTAAAAACCTTCTGAAGGAGGCCTTTTTCCTTGGTTTTGAATTCTATTTTAAAACCTCATTACTTTTTACTTTTCGGTCTCCAAATTGTTTTTTGTGAAGATATCTTTAAGGGATACTAAGCTCAAATAATGTTTGTTTCAAAAATATGGTAGATTGAAAGTGTTACTATAAAAAAAACTCCTTGTTTTGATGAATTTTGATTTAATAGTGCATACAAATTCATATTAGAGTTTGTTCATCGGGTGAAGAGAAGAGCTGATCCTAACCCATTGAAGAACACCTGTAAATTGTTGGTGGTAGCGGATCATCGCTTTTACAGATACATGGGCAGAGGGGAAGAGAGTACAACTACAAATTACTTAGTAAGTATCTGATATTGGATCAGGTCACTAGACATAAAAATCGAGGTAGGTAGGGAAATTCCAATTAAGAGAAGACTGCTATGATGTGAAATGTAATGAAATGAGATGTTTCAGATGCCTTGTTATTTCCTAAAATAATGGGGAGCTCTCTTAGGTTCTTATATTACTCTGTAGAGATTCTAATTTCAAATTTTTTAAAACCCATTTTACCTTTGAACTAATGTTTTGCACATTAAAATTTTTATGCATATTAGGTTTAGGGAGAATTCATAGCATAGGCCTCCCTTCTCTATTCAGTTGAACTCTGAAAACATCACTGCTATAATGGCTGTGACTCGTGAATATATGCTTCAGAGTGGGGAAAAAAAAGTATTTATATGAACCTCTGTGTGTTCTTTGCTTATATGTATATTTCAGAGAAGATGATCCTTTTGGCTTATGTTGTATAAAATAGCTAATTGTTGGACTATAACTATGTGAAGTAGGTGGAACTTTCATGGTCATAACTAACTGTAGAGCAAAGATTCAAAAAGAAAGATTACAGAAGTACTGACACTGAGTTTTTGAGCCTTTACTATTATAATTTGAAAAGCCAAGGGAATCCTTTTTCATTGACATTTTTTGTGAGTATGATCTCATTCGTTGTTATAAATTGGCACTGACGAAATGTTTTTGTTGAAGGAATAAAAGAGAATGCAACTATTCATGAACCCAGAGTGTAGGCCCCAAAAGATGCCTTTCTCCTTGCCTTGCATTTTCCGTTCTCTGTGTTTTATTTGTCCCCCCCTCCCCCTATTTCCCTCCCCTTCCAATGTCAAGTGAAAGAATTTATTATGAGGGTAGTAGGAGTAGTGTGTGAAGTCACTGCAATTCTTGTTCCTAAGTAAAAGATTCTTTCTTGAAAAAGTTACTTCTTAATGTGAGTTTTGTATTAAGGGGGTCTTAATATACTTTTTTGTTTATTATACCACAAATATGAATATGATGATAGGTCTAGTCTTAAAAACTGCATTTCTTAGTTTTACACTTACTATAAGCAAACAACAGTTTTTAGATCTCTAATATGCTTCACAGTTGCTAGAACAAACCTCATCTAGCCAGTTGGTGAACAATAGAACAGTCTGTTGGAGGTAAAGGTGGGCAATGAGCATTTGTTCTTCTGTAGTTGGAATCAACCCTTGTCCCTTCTCCCCCAGTATTCTCTGTCTGCCTTACCTCCCTTCCCAAATCATAGGACAGAAGAGAGGGGAATGGTGGGAGTTTGCTCTTCTGTCCCTCTCTGCCCAGTCCTTGGGGCTGGACTTTGCCCAGTGAGGTTTGGGGATAGCTTGAGCAGCATCCATCATTGCCCCTCACCTCTTTCTGGGGAAGACATTTCAGATTCTTGCCAAGAAATGGAGTGGAGATGGACTACTACTTTCTTAGAAGGGCATATTTTAGGTACATTGGTTGACCTTTAACTTTCATTTTTGTAGTTGAACTATTTTAGACCTTTAACTTTCATTTTTATAGTTGAACTATTTTAGAAGTTACTTATAGTTTGGTTCATATGCAATTGATAATCTAAAATTTGAGATGAACTGTACCACTTCTTGATTCTGATAACACTCTAAGCTTGAGGCTAGGAATATTTGTTTTGTTAGTGTCACCAATGTTACGGGATAACATCTTAGTGCTAGTTTTGTAATTGATGGAAACTCTTACAGTGGTATTTTCTCTAAACTGACCATTTTAATCCCTGAAAAATTTATGTTATGTTGCAGAGTGATAATTATACACATGTCTTCCTCACACTCTTTCCTTTGTAAACACAGATAGAGCTTATTGACCGGGTGGATGACATCTATCGGAACACTTCATGGGACAATGCTGGTTTCAAAGGTTATGGAATACAGATAGAGCAGGTATTTACCACTGGTTGTGGATGTGGCTTTTGTTACTCTGCAGAGTGATGTGATGCAAGTATTTGTAACTCATCTTCGACTCTAATCTTAAAATGTGGACATGCCAGTGAATTGTATAGCATTTTTGAATTATTTACAGATGTGAAGTTTTTTGTTCTTAGGCTTGTTGTAGGCAGAAGGCCGCCTTTTGCTGTGATCTTTCTCTGAATTTATGTTGGTTTTATCCTCTTCATTGTTTTACTTTTTTTTTGATTATGCTTTGTCTTTAGTTACAGTGTTGGCACATATTGTTGAATCCTTAGAAAATTTACTCAAATATGGTGAACATTGGCAGGGCATCTGTACATCTAGAACCAGTAGATCCCCCCCCCCCCCAATTTTCTGGTTTCTTATAATCTGTTCATAGAGCACATTCAACAATGGATTATTGATGTCATCTTAATTATATCTCATAGTAAACACTGTTTGAAATTGATAAGACTAATTAAAAAGACTTCTAAAGTTGGGTATTGCTTTGGACAGATGTTTAATATGTAAATTATTTTCTGTTGTTGTTTCCAGGCTCTTTCTATTAATTAACCATATTCTTATAGGTACTGAGGTATAGGATTTAGAGATTAAGAAACAAAACTTTTGAAATTTTACATCATACTATACTTTATAAATGTTAAACTTTTATAGTACTTGTATAAAACTAAGAGAATTATTTTTCCCTTTTCTATTCTTTTACTATTTTGCATTTTCTTTTAAGTTGTTATTTGAATAGGTAATATATACACAAGGTACAAAAGCCAGTGAAAAGTAAGTCTCTTCAACCTCTGCCTATTGTCACACCAGCCCCTTTCCCCATGAGATGCCTCCGTGTCGCAAGTCTCATAAGTGCTGTCCCAGAGAGATTCTGTGCATGTATAGCATGTGTCTGTATATGTGTGTATTTGACACATGGTGGTATGCTCTACTCTTTTGCACCTTGCTTTTTCATTTGGCGAGTATGTTGGTGATTGTTCCATTATGGTACATAGAAAGCTGCCTCACTTGTCTAAAATAGCTGCATCATGTTCAAATTTTAGGGAACTAATAGATAAAACTCCCTTTGCCTTAAGAACTTGGGACCACTTGGAAAAATAGGTGCAGTAAAGGAGATTAAATATCAGCTTTATAATAATGATGATGGATGGATTGGAGGGTGTGGTTTACATGTGCAGTCATAGTGGGCTTCCCACCTATTTCATCCTGGAATTGATCTTGACCACCCACCACCAAAGCTGCTGAGCCCTCCCCTGTGAGCTTCCCATGTGGTGGCAGAGCAGAGCAGAACAGACCAGAATACACCCTCTCCAGGCAGGCACATCCAGAAGAGAGGCCAGAAATGGCTGAGCTGAGATGGCTTTGTTTTTTTCCCTAAACTCGCTCACTGGTCAATAACGTTTCGTCTCCTTGGAGTAAAGCCTTTATTCCTTTTTTATTAAAGCGGGATTAACGTGAATTTTTACTATATGTACAAGGAAGAGCTCCTGTTCTTTGTAATCTTTTTGTGGAGTGCAGTGACAGACATCTAATTCTTCTGGGTCTCTGAATCATTGACTGTAGTTGGAGTAAATATTTTAAGCTTGTGGAACCCAAGTTCTCATTTTGTCAAACTAAATGTAGAGGAAATAAGAGTTGAGGATTACATTTATAAATTGATAAATAATTCATTGACATACATGTTTTCCATACCATGTGCTTCTCAGTTTGTTTTTAAATGGATATTAGAGCTGAAGAATTTTATGGAATTTTGGTTTTAAAACATTTTTTTCCAGAATGGTAGATCTTATTTTGAATAGCTAGAAGTGTGGTATTACTTTAGTCTTATGCCTTTTTTCTTAAGTGTTCTAAGTATATTGTCTTTTTAAGTATAGATCCGCATTCTCAAGTCTCCACAAGAGGTGAAACCTGGTGAAAGGCACTATAACATGGCAAAAAGTTACCCAAATGAAGAAAAGGATGCTTGGGATGTGAAGATGTTGCTGGAGGTAGGTGGCAGAGTCCTGGATATGATGCTGTTAGCACCCTTTGTGGTTTCTAGTACATGGGGCATGTCTGCATCTCAATGAAGGGGTATGATGACAAAGGTAATTAAGAACCAGGAGCAGCCCACCCCAGCTAATCCAGCAATGACCTTACCCCTGTAGCAGGGCAGACAGCAAGATAGGCCAAAAAGTTCTGAAAACGAAAGATGCTACAAAGCAGTACTTCTTGACCTTAATATCTTTGAGAATCTAGTTGTTGAAGTATTGAGACTTCAGAAAACATATACCCAATATAGACACTTTTTGCACACCATTTTGTTCAGGTTTCTTTGAAATTTATCAGTAGATCTCCCAGGTCAGTAATTGTCAAACAGTATGAAAGTTATTAGTAGAAACATAACTTGGAGATCTGAAAGTTTTCTATAGAATTTAAAAACCTCTGTGACTGTATTCTAGTAATAAATCTAAAGACAGCCTAAACATTCTGTGCCATATAATTCTTGCCTCAACAGGGTAGGATTGATCCTTTTTGCTACAGATTTCAGTGTCTTGGGTTTGTGTATGTGATTGCTTTGTTGTAAAATGACCTTCTGTGAGGTGATAGTGATCTTTTTATTTTTAAAATTTATTTATTTATGATAGTCACAGAGAGAGAGAGAGGCAGAGACACAGGCAGAGGGAGAAGCAGGCTCCATGCACCGGGAGCCCGATATGGGATTCGATCCCGGGTCTCCAGGATCATGCCCTGAGCCAAAGGCAGGCGCCAAACCGCTGCGCCGCCCAGGGATCCCTGATAGTGATCTTTTAATAAGTTAGTAAATGTATTGATTTCCTATGGCTGCTCCAACAAGTTACCACAAATTCAGCAGCTTATAACAATACTTATTTATCTAATAATTTCCATGGGTTAGTCCATGCACAGTGTGGCTCATCAGTCTCACAAGGCAAAAATTAAGTTTTCAAAGCTTGAATGGAGTTAAAGGATATTACCAATTCTTTATCCAGGTTGAAATCCAAAGAATGCTGAATGTGTAGAGTACTCTGTGTGGCTTAATCTGCTGTGATCCACTGCCACATCCAGAGGTTCAGACAGCACCGTTCACTTCTAAAGAGGCTTGGCTGGGGTACTAATCATTTAGGGCTGCCAGTAACAGAGCACCACAGACCCGGCAGCTTAAACAGCAGAAATTTATGTTTTATGGTTCCAGAGGCTGGAAAACCAAGGCAAACTTAAAAAAACAAAAAGACCCTGAGCACCTGGCTGGCTCAGTTGGAAGAGCATGAGACTCTTGATTTTAGGGTTGCAAGTTCAAGCCCCATGTTGGGTGTAGAGATTACTAAAAATAAATGAACTTAGAAAAAAACAACCCAAACATATACAAAGCCCATAAAATCCTCGAAATACTTTTGAGGGAATCTGTTTGGGTAGTAGGTGCTGACATCCATTGGAAGGAGTATCCAAGCACGGAGACTTACAGATTTGGAATATCCCCAGGGCTGAGCTGCACAGCTCCACACCAGCCCTCTTGGGTTTGAACTGCTATAAAAAGCTCCCAAGTTCTTCCCTATCCTACCGCCTCCCTGACTTGACAGCACTCCACTTCCTACCTATATAGGTGGGTGAAAATGTAGGTGAGGAGGTTTGGTGCCGCACAGTTTGGTGGTTGCTGATGCAGAACTGCAGTCAGTCATAGGGTGTTTTTCTCCAGTGTCTGGTTGAAACTTCTGGTCTGATGTAATTGTTAATCTAATTAAGTATCCTTTTTTTTTTTCTTAAAGCAATTTAGCTTTGATATAGCTGAAGAAGCATCTAAAGTCTGCCTAGCACATCTTTTTACGTATCAAGATTTTGATATGGGAACTCTTGGGTTAGCGTATGTTGGTTCTCCCAGAGCAAACAGTCATGGAGGTGTTTGCCCAAAGGGTGAGTTTTCCATTTGTTGTGTGGTTATGTGGGGATGGCAGGTTGATTAGATTATATGGTAATCCTGTATTAAATAAGTGATTTGTCACTGTTTCCTTTGTCCTCTAGCTTATTATAGTCCAATTGGAAAGAAGAATATCTATTTGAATAGTGGTTTGACCAGCACAAAAAATTATGGTAAAACCATCCTTACAAAGGTATGTTCTCATGTTTTTTAAAAGGATAGATTTTGATTTTATTGTAGTAGAACCCCAGCTGTATATATTTATGTAGGAATCTTTTTAAAAAGTAATACAAAAAAAATAAAAAAAGTAATACATATTTTGTTTGTTTCTGCCTAAAAAAATACATGTGTTTGGTGGGAAATGGGAAAATAAAAAATATAAAGAAAAAGATAAAAGCTACCTGTGAGATTTCTTTTGTTGTTTTTCCTGAAGACACCACTTCTGGAGCCTTTCACCCTGTGGTTTTCTCTGCAGGCTATGTGGCTCCCAATCCTGTAGTGTAGCTGTCATTTGAAGACCTCCCCAAACTCACATTTCCTGGACCTCTTGTTCTTCCTCTTTCTTGATTTAGACCATCATTTTGGTGTAGTGTATCTTCTAGGAGCTTCCTAAGAAAAGGGTACATGAGAGGAAAATTGAGATTTTTACATATTTGAATATGTCTTTTGTGTTAATGTTAGAATCAATATGGAGTCATTCTGATTTTTTTTTAAAGATTTTATTTATTAGTTAATGAGAGGCAGAGAGAGACAGAGACATAGGCAGAAGGAGAAGCAGGCTTCCTGCAGGGAGCCCGATGCGAGACTTGATCCCAGGACCCCGGATCATGACCTGAGCTGAAGGCAGATGCTCAACCACTGAGCCACCCAGGCGTCCCAGTCCCTCTGATTTCTTTTTTTAAGATTTTATTTATTTATTCATGAGAGACACACAGAAAGAGGCAGAGACATAGGCAGAGAGAGAGAGAGAAGCAGGCTTCCCGCAGTGAGCCTGATATTGGACCCTGAGATCATACCCTGAGCCAAAGGCAGATGCTCAACCATTGAGCCACCCAGGCATTCCAGTCTTTCTGATTTCTTATCCTTTGTATGTGACCTGTTTTTTTCTTTTAGAAGATTTTAGGATCTTGTTTTTGCCCAGGTATCCATTAGGAATGTGTTAGGCACATTCCAGCAAATCCATACAACTAAAAATCCAAATCTTATTCATAAATAAGAGGTGTATTAGCCTCAGTCAGCAAGGTCATGGATAGCATCCTGTGGGTAGCTATGGCAACATAGTGATGCTCTCAGGGAGCCAGGATCTTAAGAGTTTTCATTCAGCCCCTCTGAGCACAAGCCTTTGTCCTCATGCTTCTCATCTGCTCACAAGATGGTTCTCCTCTATGTTGCAGAAAGAGGGACAGAGCCCTGTCTGTCCCTTCTAAAAAACTCAAAGTCCCACTCACTGGCTTCTGTTTATGTCTTGCTGGACAGACTCAGTCATGTGACTGACCTGCCCTCAAGGAAATATGGGAAAATGGCTATTTTAGTAGAGTACATTGCCAACGTGAGCAGGATTAGGATTTTTTAAGGAAGAAGGGAGAATGGATATTGATAGGAAATACTGGCCTCTGCTACACTGGTAGTTTGGCTATGATGTTATAAGTGGTGTAGTTTTTTTTTATCCCACTGTGCTGGGCCCTTCAGTCTAGACACTCCCAACTCCCGTAGTCCAACCACTATCCTCTTGTTGATCCCATTTATCAGGATCCCATTTAAGAAAAGCAGGGTGTGGCTGGCCAAAGCAGCTGATTGTTGGATATTAAGAAATAATGTTTTCTTTGCGTGATCCTTAAGGAAGCTGACCTGGTTACAACTCATGAATTGGGACACAACTTTGGAGCAGAACATGATCCGGATGGCCTAGCGGAATGTGCTCCAAATGAGGACCAGGGCGGAAAATATGTTATGTATCCCATAGCTGTGAGTGGAGATCACGAGAACAATAAGGTATGTATCTTTTGGAGCTTTTTTAGGTTAGGAAAGAAAGAGGCTATGTTTAATTATAACGAGAGCACAGAAAAGCATTCCATTCCAGGGATGGAACTGCAAATTACAGAGTACTGTCGAACTTGGTTTTTTTGTTTTAGAGTGAAATGTGGTCCATCAATCTGGTTAAGGCTATCATTTGTACTGTTATTAAAGTCAATTGTGTTGATTTGAGCTATATGGAAAATTAGTGATAGCAATGGCTCGTGTTAGAGTTCTAGATGGCAGGGTCTGTGCAAGTTAAAAATTTCATGTCGTTCCTTATACAAGCTGTTATTCATTTTAACTCTACTTAATTTGCATGTTTCATAAACTTTAGCAACAAAATACATAATTTGCCAGATTATAAACTTCCCATGGGAAAGGCCCTCACTTATCTTGTTCACAGCTGTCTCCAGTGCCTAGCAGGGGTACCTAGCACATAGTCATTTGCTGAGTAAATAAATGAACAGTTTGCTAGTGGGGGTTTCTGAGAGTACGCTAGTCCCGTGGGATATCGTAGACTCCTGCAGAAACTTCAAGAGTAGCTATGATGGATTCATAGAGTCTGAGCTGAAACTGTTCACAGGCATCTGGTTTGTGCATTTCACTTGAGGTTAAGCAGCACAAAGCCTCATGAGGAGAACATAGGTGTTGCCGAGTTAGAGAGGGCTGACCCTAACCAGGAAAGACTGTGAAGTATTTCTCCTGATTTCCTTTTTCAGGCGGGGGCATGGCTCTCTAAAGGCTGGCAAGGAGCTAGAGGAAAGGATTACTCTTGTGTTTCTCTGGCTTTGCTTTAGGAGGTTTCTCTCTCGTGTTTTTTGTCATATTTTTCCTTGGCTATTATGTATAAACAGTCTCTTCCCCTCTTGCTTTGTACCTTAAGTTTTATTTTTCCTTTGCTTGATGACTTGCACCTCAGGCGCTTTGCCTGCCTCACTTCTGTGTACTCTTCCAACTTGTCACATACCCGGTTGAATTTTCCTCTTCATTTCAGAGTTGTCTCTGCATTTCTTTTCTTTTCTTCTTTTTCTTTTTTTAATGATTAATTTATTTTTAGAGAGAGTGTGTGTATGAGACCTGGGGTGAGGGGGCAGAGGAGGAGAGAGAATCTCAAGCAGACACCTACGGAATGCAGAGCCTGACACTGGGCTTGATCTCATGACCCCAAGATCACGACTTGAGCCAAAACCAAGAGTCAGACAATTAACCGACTTGAGCCACTGAGGCGCCCCTGTCTCTGCATTTCTAAGCACATACATTGTAGCTCAGTGCTATTCAGTAGAAGGTTTTGGGATGACGGAAACATTCTGTGTTAATACAGCAGCCACTAGTCCCAGGTGGCCATTGAGCACTCCAGATGTGGCCGGGGAGACCAAGTAACTGGATTTTAAGTTGTTTATTTTATTATTTTAAAACTCTATTTATTTTTTTCCCATCATTCAGATTTATTTATTTATTTATTTATTTATTTATTTATTTATTTATTATTTTTTTATTGGTGTTCAATTTACCAACATACAGAATAACCCCCAGTGCTCATCCCGTCAAGTGTCCCCCTCAGTGCCCGTCACCCATTCACCCCCACCCCCTGCCCTCCTCCCCTTCCACCACCTCTAGTTCGTTTCTGAGTTAGGAGTCTTTATGTTCTGTCTCCCTTTGTGATATTTCCCACACATTTCTTCTCCCTTCCCTTATATTCCCTTTCACTATTAATTATATTCCCCAAATGAATGAGAACATACACTGTTTGTCCTTCTCCGATTGACTTACTTCACTCAACATAATACCCTCCAGTTCCATCCACGTTGAAGCAAATGGTGGGTATTTGTCATTTCTAATGGCTGAGGAATATTCCATTGTATGCATAAACCACATCTTCTTTATCCATTCATCTTTCGATGGACACCGAGGCTCCTTCCACAGTTTGGCCACTGTGGACATTGCTGCTAGAAACATCGGGGTGCAGGTGTCCCGGTGTAAAACTCTGTTTAAATTCAATAGTGGTTGCCTGGGGCTGGAGCTGGGAATGGGAGTTAACTGTAAAAGAACATGAGGGACCTTATTGGGACAAGAACATGTCCATAGGCTGATTTACAGTCATTGGAAATCACTGACTTGTACACTTGAAATGGGTGAATTTTGTGGTATGTAAAATATGCCTTAATAAAGCTAGTAAATAAATAACAGCCACCACTAGCCAGTGTGGGAGCCAAGAGGAAGCAGTGAGCATGCAGAGGAGTTATGAAGCCGTGAGTTGATCATTGTTGAAGCTGGTGAGGGGCATGTGGGTATTCACAATACATTCTGTCCATTTTGCAGATGTGTGAACATTTCTATAGTAGTATGAAATATGTGGTGAGAGAAAAGAAACTAAAATAGTCACATTTGGCTCGTGGCTATAGGATTAGTGCACTCTATAGTCATTTGCTTCTTTGTTAGGATGGTGTGAGTACTTTGGGGGAAACTGTCTTACTTTGCAGACTCTTCCTCTAAAACTTCTTTTTTTTTCCTCTAAAACTTCTTTTTTTAAATTTTTATTTATTTATGATAGTCACACACACACACACAGAGAGAGAGAGAGAGAGAGAGAAAGAGAGAGAGAGAGAGAGGCAGAGACACAGGCAGAGGGAGAAGCAGGCTCCATGCACCGGGAGCCCGACATGGGATTCAATCCCGGGTCTCCAGGATCGCGCCCTGGGCCAAAGGCAGGCGCTAAACCACTGCGCCACCCAGGGATCCCTCCTCTAAAACTTCTAAGTGAGATTTCCCTGGGAGCTCTTCCATGGCCTGGTAATGACACCCTAAGGAGAACAGTGCCTGGCCAGAGCCCTTTTTTTTTTTTTTCTTTTAAATTCAGGAAGTGCCAGTCTATCCACATTGGGCGTAGAGCTTACTTAAAAAAAAAAAAAAAAAACAAACCACAACTCTTGGGGCACTTGGCTAGTTCTGTCAGTAGAGCATGTGAGTCTTGATCTCAGGGTCATGAGTCCAAGCCCCATGTTGAGCGTGAAGCTTATTTAAATAAAAATGGAGAGACAAGGAAAGGAAGTGCTAGTTTATCAAAAAAGAAAAATTTATCCATTTATTTATTTTGTCCCAAGCACATCATATTTAGTGTATTTTCTATTAGTTTGGTTTACCCAAATATCAATCTTCTTATAAAAACACACTGAGCATCTTCTAATTGACATTTTTTTAAAAAAGATTTATTTATTTATTCATTCAGAGAAAGGGGCAGAGACAGAGGCAGAGGGTGAAGCAGGCTCCATGCAAGGAGCCCGACATGGGACTCGATCCTGGGTCTCAGGATCACACCCTTGGCTGCAGGCGGTGCTAAACCACTGCGCCACCAGGGCTGCCCCTAATCTCCATTTTAAATGAATTCTTTAATTAAAATGTTTGTGAGTAGATTTTAAAGCACCTTGGTTTCCTTGACCTTGAAAGATAGGGCCTGGCACCTCCCACAGATAACGCTGCTGAGAAGTGACTTGCCTTGGGCCTTGCTGTCATCAGATGGCACAAGGTGGGTGAGTTCGTAGGAGGGTTTGTTAGCAGAAGAGGAGAGAGTGTGGGAAGGGTGCAAAGAGAAGACCCGACTGAGGTTTTCAGGGAACATGGAGACCACAGTCCCGTTAGCCCTGCCCAGGAGCCCTGCTCAGGGTATGGCTCTGGTAAGTTAGTGAGGAGGATTCTTACTGCTTCCGTGTGAATTCTGATTCCTTAGTGTCTGATCTCCCATGAGTTAACTGCTAAAATTGAGTTTATGAATCTGCAGTGCTCGTGAATAAACCCAGCAGATTCTAATTGCCGGAGGCCTAGACTGAAATAACTAGACCCCTTAAATCTCTTTACTATAGGGCAGCCCCGGTGGCACAGTGGTTTAGTGCCGCCTGCAGCCTGGGGTGTGATCCTGGGGACCCGGGATCGAGTCCTGAATCAGGCTTCCTGTATGGAGCCTGGTTCTCCCTCTGCCTGTGTCTCTGCCCCCCCCCCCCCCCTCTCTCTCTCTCTCTCTCTCTCTCTCTGTGTGTGTGTGTGTCTATGAATAATAAATAAATAAATAAATCTCTTTATATAGAATTAATGGAAGGTGCTTTAAAAAAAAAAAAAGCCCAGTTAGTATGTCTGTTTAGGGTGTCTGGATATCTTTCCAAAAATAATCCTTTCGGTATCTGATTCACAGACCTATAGAGGGTCTTATGCCTCTGCTCCTCAGAGGCTCTTTTCTGGGGCAAAAGTGAAGCCATTTTAGCAAATGTGCAGCATTTGTGGACACCCTGCCTCAGGAACTAACTACGCAAGGGACCCCTGGGTGGTTCAGTGTTTGAGAGTCTGCCTTAGGCTCAGGTCATGATCCCGGGGTGCTGGGATCGAGTCCCGCATTGGGCTCCTCCGCAGGGAGCTGCCTACCCCCTCTGCCTGTGTCTCTGCCTCTCTCTCTCTCTCTCTGTGTGTGTCTCTCATGAATAAATAAATAAAATCTTAAAAAAAAAAAAAGCTAGATAAGTTTTTCAAGTTTCTTACTCCCTTTCTGGCTAATTTCAGATGGTTTGGAAAATGGACTCCATTTCAGAGCTCCTGGTAAAAATCCCCAAATTTAGAAGACCATTTCCTTGATTCTATATTGCAGGTGGGGGAGCAAGGGTAGAGGCTTCTTTTGGGACATTGATCAACTGTAGAAATCTCAAAGAAACTTAAAATCTTGGAGACCCATGTGAATGTTTAGGTAACAATTCGTATTTTTATCTAATAGGCTGTATGTAATATACGTCTTACTGTGTCCATCTATTTAGAAGCATTTATTTATTTATTTATTTATTTATTTATTTATTTATTTATTTATTATTTTATATTTTCTTTTATATTTTATTTTATTTTATTATTTTATTTTATTTTTTATTTTATTTTATTTTATTTTATTTTATTTTATTTTATTTATTTATTTTTTTTTTATTTAGAAGCTTTATACATGGGTCATTCGTACACATAGCCAGGGAAAAGAAGAGGTAAATCAGAGATAGACTGTGTTTTGCATCCCTGAGTCATTATGTCCAGGAAGATGATGCTTGATCAAGTGGTATGCTTGATTCTTACTGTCACTGCATTGGTGCAGGGTGTCATGCCTGGGGACAGGACAGCATGGAGTCTGGGGGAGCCAGACTGGGTCCTCTTGATGGGACGGACTGGGATGTATGGCCTCAGTGTTTGTATAGCTTGCCTGTGGAGAATTTTAGGCTCTTAACCAAATTCACACCAGTTTTTGAGTACCCTCCTGACAGAGATAACTTGATTCTGTTTAGTTGGCATTTTGAGGTGACAGTGATGGAATTTGACATTCCTCCACGGTAGCTCAGATTGTGGCTGTTACAGTAAGAGTTTGTCTCTAGGCAAGAAACATAAACACTCCATGGGAATGAATTCTTATTGTTATTTGGTTCCTTTGTGGCCTTTTTTTCTTTTAAGATGTTTTCAAACTGCAGTAAACAGTCCATCTATAAGACCATCGAAAGTAAGTCCCAGGAGTGTTTTCAAGAGCGAAGCAACAAAGTGTGTGGGAACTCCAGGGTGGATGAAGGAGAGGAGTGCGATCCTGGCATCATGTACCTGAACAATGACACGTGCTGTAGCAGCGACTGTATGCTGAGGGCAGGTGTGCAGTGCAGGTGAGTGCCTGAGCATCAGGTGAAGGGTGTGTGCACGTGGGCGAGTGCATGTTTATCTCTTTTTGTCCTTTACAGCAAGAAAAATGCTTTCTGGAACACAGTGTGACTTTATGTTACAAAGTCTTTCATCTTACATACTTTTTTTTTAAAAGATTTATTTATTTATTTATGATAGTAGAGAGAAGAGAGAGAGAGAGGCAGAAGCAGGCTCCATGCCGAGAGCCCGACGCGGGACTCGATCCCGGGACTCCAGGATCGCGCCCTGGGCCAAAAGCAGGCGCTAAACCGCTGAGCCACCCAGGGATCCCCTCATCTTACATACTTTTTGATTCAGGATCCCACAGCTCAGAGAGTCTTTTCTAAGGAAACACAGAGGTGATTTAATGAGGATTTTGCTGGCTGCATTCTTTTGTAGTAACAAGATATTAGACACACTCAGATGACAGTCCTGAGATCTAAATTATTGTGTTTCTGTGCAAAAAAATAGTGTTGGAGAATACTATTTAGTGGCATAACTAAATGCAGACGAAGTAGTACAAATTAGGAGGTGCCTGTGTTTCCATTTTTCTGACCAGTGCCTGGCTCAGCATAGAAGGGAAAAGTTGGGTTTATGATGGGTAGCAGGTCTGACCATGTAGCGTGCTCACTTGTCATAAATATGATGGGGACCAGGACTCTGGCTGCCTGTAAATCAGGCAGGCTCACTGTTGATGGCCTTGCAGCCCTTGTCTTCTACCCCCCATCCCTTAAAAAAAAATTACTGTATTAAGTTAATGAAAACCAAGGACATGAAGATGTTTTAAGGATGAGTCCCTCCCTTGGATCTCTGTGTACTTACTCTCTGCATCACGGCTGCTGTAGTAGGAAGGACAGAGCATCTGTAGATGGGCTGGCGCCCAGGAAGGCTGAGTGTGCGGGACAGTTGGCCAGGAGGCCTTCTCTGCCATCCTCAGGACCCTGTGATATGACTGTAGTGTTTGCTGTGGAGCTGACATTTAACTCAAACCATCTTTGTCTGCTTTACCTTTGCAGTGACAGGAACAGTCCTTGCTGTAAAAACTGTCAGTTCGAGACCGCCCAGAAGAAGTGCCAAGAGGCTATTAATGCTACTTGCAAAGGCGTGTCTTACTGCACAGGTGAGTGCCCCTGGTGCTGCTTCTCTTGGGCTACTTTGCTCAGGTGAGTATGTGTGTGTTGGAGACAACACTGTATTTTGTTCACATGAAAATCACCTTCATAATCAAACTCCTTAGATTGAGATACACTTACCATTGGTGCCAGGCCCATTCTACTTGCTTATTTCTTGCTTTTCGTCCACTTAGTTGTTCTTATAGGCAGCACTATAATGTGTTTAATATTTGCCTGGGAATGTGTATTTCCTTGAAAGATAATATAGTGTTATTTTATGTATGTATGTTTTTTTTATTTAATTTTTTTTTTTTAGATTTTATTTATTTATTAGAGACAGAGACAGACAGAGAGAGAGAGAGAGAGAGAGAGAGAGAGAGAGAGAAAGGGAGATACAGGCAGAGGGAGAAGCAGGCTCCATGCAGGGAGCCTGATGTGGGACTTGATCCTGGGTCTCCAGGATCATGCCCTAGGCTGAAGGTGGCGCTAAACCGCGGAGCCACCTGGGCTGCCCATATATATGTGTTTTTAACATGCTAGGATAATACTCTACTTTAGATCTCTTTTTAAACTCAATGCAGTATTTTTATGAATTCTCCCTATTGTGCCACCTTTGTCTGTATCCATGTCTGTACATAGTTCGTTGTTTGGGGTACCTGCTGAGTTTACTTGTGTTATTTACTGTCTTTTACTATCTGTTCACTGAGTGTTGACTTGGATTGCTTACATCTTCTGGCTACTGCAGGTAGGACTAGGACAGTCCATCTCCCATGCCTTTGTCAGGTGTTGTAAGAGTTTCCTGGGTGCACGTGGAGGAGTAGAATTGCTGGTCTTAATTGTTTTGCCAATCTGAAGAGTGTAAAGGTATCTCCTTTACAAATCTCCTTTTTGAACATCTCCTTATATATGTTAAGCATTTTGTTTGAGGCAGGGCAGATTCCTTAAATTCGGTGTCACTGCTCCACTGACTGAAGTCTGAGTTCTTTCGGACTCCGTGGACCGGTCCTATTTGTCAGGTGAAAGGTCAGACCTCCAGCTCTGGTCACCATCCGCTATTCTCATGCAATAGTTCTCTGTGATCATGTTTAACTGTGCATACTGCTCATGTTCCAGAATGAGCCCCTCATTCCATCCTCTCACTTCAAGTTAACATCCTTCCTTCTGTGGCTTTTGTTTTGGCTGGAAGAATCACTGATTCACTGAAATATTTGCAGCGTATTTATGGCGTGTGATAGGGATTGGATAAAAGTTGATTAATAGGTTTGATCTTTGCTCTTGTGGAGCTCACCAGTCTGTGACGGGGGAACCAAAAACACAGATGTTACTCAGATGTAAATGGAGGGGCGCCTGGGTGGCTCAGTCGGGTTGAGTGCCTGACTCTTGATCTCAGCTCAGGTCTTGATTGCAGGGTTATGAGTTTGAATCCAGCTCTGGGTTCCCCACTGCGCATGGAGCTTTCTTTAAAAAAAAAAAAAAAAAAAAGTGGGCAGCCCCGGTGGCTCAGCAGTTTGGCACCTCCTTCAGCCCAGGGTGTGATCCTGGAGACCTGGGATCGAGTCCCATGTCAGGCTCCCTGCATGGAGCCTGCTTCTCCCTCTGCCTGTGTCTCTGCCCCTCTCTCTTTGTCTCTCATGAATAAATAAATAAAATCGTAAAAAAAAAAAAAAAGATGTAAATTGCAAAATGTGTGCTTGAAGGAGAGAACTGTAGCTATAGCAGTGGAGCACAATGGGGTGAAAGGGCCTCTAGAGGCCTGGGTGGGGGCCTGAGGGGGTCTGGGGGAGACTATTGAGCCAGATTTAAAGGATGAGAAAAAGCCAGCCACCCTGCATGGTGGAAACGAGAGCGTTCCAGGTAGACCGAAGAGAGTATGTTATGGTTCTGAGGGCAGAGCTCTTAGGTGAAGAAATTGGAGGCCGGCTGAGGTGAGGGCTTGGAAGTGGCCACTGGGGAGGCCGCAGGGGCCCGGCTGGCTGCTGCCCTGAGCCTTCCTGCAGAGCTTGGATTTCAGTCCAAGTAATGGCTGTAATGTTTGTTGTGTAGCGTGTACGTATTACATATGTATATATTCTGTTATATCGAGTTATGTTTCACAATAAAAAGGTAGAAGCAAAATGTTAAATAGTCGCTGAGGGGTTGTTTGGGAGCACAGGGACCCCCACTGCCCCGAGCTGGGTACCTGGCCTGGCCCGTGCAGTGCCGACTCTGGGAATCAGAGGCCTGCCCTGTAGGACTGGTGGCCGTGTGACTCGTTGTGACCTGTGTGCTTCTTGTGTGCTTCCAGGTAACAGCAGTGAGTGCCCGCCTCCTGGAAATGCTGCAGATGACACCGTGTGCTTGGATCTCGGCAAGTGTAAAGATGGGAAGTGCGTTCCTTTCTGTGAGAGGGAGCAGCACCTGGAGTCCTGTGCATGTAATGGTGAGCACATGTCCGTGCTGTGTCCGTGCAGCAGGAGGGAAGATGATCTTTGTTCACAGTCTCCTCCCTTTGAGGGCCCAGCAGGGGCCCCTGCTGGCTGGACAGTGGCAAGAACCCGGGCAGGGGAAGCGTGGTCTGTGAGAACTCTGGATTCAGATCCTGGCTTGTCTGAAATGTCGTGGTGGTCTTCCTTCTTGCTGCATTTTCAGACCATGTGGCAGCATTAGGGGCAGGATAGGAGGGGATCTTGTTGCTGTGAGTGGGTCAATGGGGGTCTGTCCTCACCACCCCGCCTCCCCCCCCCCCCATGTCTTAGACACCATGAGTGCAGCAGGAGCCATCTGCAGCCTCCTGGCAGTGAGCTCTGACGCTCCCTCAGGACGTCATCCAGAGGGCAGATTCCAGGATCTGACCCTGTGTGTCAGAGTATCTGCTGTTGTCACCAGGGGTGAGCCTGCTGCCCTCTGCTTCCTGCCAGATGTCTGGGGCAGGGGCCTTGCTTAGTGATGTTGGTGACAACATGCTGGTCTCTCAGACACTTGTCCTTAGGTTTCCTCCTCCTGTTTTTGGAACTCCTGGGTCTGAGAAGGGGCCGCAGGGACTGACCGGGCTCCAGGCTTCCCACCCCACCTCACCTCAGGAGAGTTCTTTTGCTTTCAAAACAACCCAGAAGTCCAGAACCACTAGGTTGGGGACTCACCGTGTGTACCATGGGGTACACCGGGGGGAACAAGTGAACATGGAAGGAAACACACAGTAGGTTCCAAATAAGCAGTTTCCTGAGTGAGTGGCAGGAGGCTTGGGATGCCCTGGAGAGACATGTGCAAATGCTCAGGAAATACTGGATCAATGAGTGAATGATGAAAAGGTTTTTCTTTTCCCACAAAAATGGTTTTGCTTGTTTTGTGTTGTAGTTGATTTCAGTTTCTCCCAAGTAGGTGTAAATCTGGACTTCCTCTGGGTCGCGTGCTGTCCCGAGTTACTGTTTGGGCATTGCTGCTGGCGGTCCGTGTGCCTGAGGGTTATGTGGTGCCTGGTTGTGTCCATGACCCCGTGCGGTGGGCGGTTGGCCGTGTGGCTGCCGTGCTCACGTCACATGGTGGCGCCCTCAGATCTGCCCCTGGCTGTTCTGTCGCAGGCCGCGTTGGCTCTCCTTGGAGCCTTGCTTCCCCAAGGGTGTGTTTGAAATAGAAGCCAGGGGTTGAAATCAGTGTAAGAAGAAAGGATGAAGGGAAACATTTAGTATCATAAGTAGAATAATTTGGCTCTTAATCTGTTAAAGGAAACTCTTTGGTGTAAATTGGTTTTACCTTGTGGCCTGAGGACCCAGGAGCATGAACTCAGAAGTTAGTCTTGGGGTGAATGAGGAATAGTTTGCTATTGAAATGAAAAACAAACGCGCATTTACGCATTTCCTTCCTCGTTGGGAGCTTGGGAGCTTGGGAGCCGGGTGGGAGGAGAGAGGGAAGGAGGAGCTCCATGTGTGGAGCAGAACCCCAGCCTTCCACGCCGTTGCTGGTTCTGTTTCAGAGACGGACAACTCCTGCAAGGTGTGCTGCCGGGACCCCTCGGGCCGGTGTGTGCCCTACGTGGACGCTGAACAAAAGAACTTATTCCTGAGGAAAGGAAAGCCCTGTACGGTGGGCTTTTGTGACATGAATGTGAGTATCTACTTAGGTACAGCTCTTTCCGTAACAGCCAGACGGGCAGCTTTTGTATCGTAAAGACTTGATTTTGCTGATGGCAGGCGTGTTGCCAGGCCTCCTTAACCCACTGTTTGCTTGCGTGTGCCCGGCTGTCTGGGTGAGCGTGTGGGTGTGACCCCGGAGGGCTGGGACACTGGAGCACTCCCTCCAGAGCACGGGACCCTAAGTCCCAGGACTTGGTGGGACCATGGGGGCCCTTTGAGATAAAGGTGCATTTTAGGCAGTCAGCATTAATTACTTGGTTTCCTAGACTAATTGTAAAATTGATTAAGATGGCAAAATTGCAGGTTTCGATTTTGAAATCAGAGCTGATATAACAAAGACCTAGAGGTGGCTCGACACACCTTCGTCAGACCCTCTTGTTCTCTACTGAAACACATTTTGTTCCTGCAGAATCATGGAGGAGGTTTTAAAGGGGTTCGGCGGGCTTGTCTGGCTGTAGTTAGGCGGCTCCTGTTCCCGTTGTGTGTGTGCTCAGTAGAGCCCTTGCTAGAGTGCCCCGTCTTAAACAAAATTGGTTTTCTCAAGTTTCATTTCCTGGTGATTCTAAATTTACTTATAAAAATGGACTAATTGTGTAGGTGGCAATGACAAGTGTATCCTGCTTTCTTAGGTCCTGCGTCAAAAAATGGGTCCCCTGCATGTTTGGTTTATTGTAGCTTTTCTCGTGTCCATTATTTTTATGCAGCCGTGTTGCTTCTAAATGCAGCGCTTGTAGGGGCAATACTGTATGTTTTCTGTTCATAGGGCAAATGTGAGAAACGAGTACAGGATGTCATCGAGCGATTCTGGGATTTCATTGACCAGCTGAGCATCAATACTTTTGGTAGGTGATTTCCCCGGATGGCTGATTGCTTAGACCTGAGCCGATTTCAGTGATGACATGAGAAAAGTGCTTTCAGATTAATATGCTCTAATACTGCAACAGCAGATGGAAATATTCACAGCTTTTGTGGAAACAACTTTGTCAGCAAAGATAAAATGGATTCCCAGCTCTCCCCCTGTGTGGTGTGGATGCACAGATTTTCAGACAAGGAAAGTCAATCCTTTGTCAAAATATTGGCTTCTTTCTTTAAAAAATGAACACCCGACACCATAAGCATGGCTCAGTCCCATAAGTTGTAAATCTGACTCCTGTATGATGTAAGCATCATTTATTTAAAAGTGGGCCTCAGATTTTGCAGAAACAACGAGGTCTTTCTGTCTTGCAGGGTTTATAAAGTCCCAAAAATAATGCCCCAATAGCAACAACTTTGTCGTGTTTTGAGTAGTAGCTTCCTGTGTGGCTGGTCCCTGACCCCACCCCTCCAGGGACTGTGTTGAGCATTGTGACGTGATGTGTTCTTGTCAATAAGTAGGTCAGGGCTCTGTGTGGAATGGCACCCGTGGGCTGGGGTGTGGGCTGAGGGGCGGTGGTCCAATGTGGCGTGGGTGACACGGTGCTAGGTGCTGCGTCAGTAGCGTCGCCTGGCCAGCAGTGTGGCATCTGACACCACGATAGTATACCAAGAGCATTTAATTTTGAATCTCTAAAGTACTTGATCAAAATATTTGCTGTTTGGAATTGTTCACAGGGAAGTTTTTAGCAGACAACATCGTAGGTTCTGTCCTGGTTTTCTCCTTGATATTCTGGATCCCCTTCAGCATTCTTGTCCATTGCGTGGTAAGTCACCAACTTGTAGGTAGTGAGACATTTTATTAGCATTTTGGCAAATCTGGGTGCCTGGGTGGTTCAGTCTGTTAAGCATTTGCCTTCGGCTCAGGTCATGATTCATGATCTCAGGGTCCTGGGTTTGGGTCTTGCATAGGGCTCCCTGCTCTGCAGGAAGCATGCTTTTCCCCCTGAACACCCCCCTCCCCCCATGAATAAATACGTAAAGTCTTAAAAAGTTTTCCCAACCTTACTACTTTTGAAAAAGATAAAATTTGTTCTTAGCAAGACCTGACCTGATGTTTCCAATGACATTTTGTGGGGGTTATTCCCTAGGAAAGCTTATTTTGTGAATAGTTTTTTTTTTTTTTTTTTTGCTAATTGTTTTTTAAAAGAAATTATGCTTTTTGTATGTGGATATTTGTTCTCATATATAATTTGAGGATTGTTCTACTTCTGAGACTGCTTCACTGGATGTCTAGGACCTCTGTCTGAATGAAGCTTTGAAATGACCATTTTAGGCTTTGTTATGATGGAACAAATAATCAAAGCTCAGCATATAGATTCCTGACCTTGTCATATGAGGTGCTCAGATCCTCCTGTCTGATAAGAGGGAGCAATCTTTATCATTCTCCTTCAAGATAAATAACAGCCAACAGGGTGAATAGGGCTTTCCCTAACGAACTGCACGTGATAGATAAACTTGGGGACTTTAAAAAAACTCTTCTTATGACTCCATTCACCTTGGTTCTGTGGGAAAATGGGGATTTGTCTGCTGTAGGGATGAGAAATGGGACCCAGGCTTCCAGACTTGTGCTTAGGCAATGTCCCCTCAGGGGCGCACTTGGAAGATTCCAGCACAGCTATCTCTGGAGTCAGTCTTGCCCGGGCCCTCTCACCGAGCAGCTGTTCCTCAGGGTGGTGAGCGCGGTGGGTGCGAGGAGGGCAATCTGGGGGGCAGCCCTGCCAAGGCAAAGCTGTGTTAGGGTGACATGGTCGAAGCTCTGACAGGTGGCCGACTGTGCCACCTGTTACTGTTTTTACCTGTGAGGCTGACCTACTTTGTTTGCATTGAAAGTTACCATCGTGGACTGAGGCCTGACCCTTGGTTTTGGAGCAGAGCCGCTAGAGAGGAGGGAGGGTGGCGCCTCGTTGCTGACCACAGACTGTTATGGCATCTGGACTGGAAGCCAGGCCTAGGTTCTCAGACTCCACCTGCTGCCTTGTCCATTGTCGTGTTCTCCTCGGGCAGGGGCCGGGGCAGCGGGTGGAGCCACGTGTCCAGCCTTCTGCGGAAGTATGGTGTAGGGCCTTCAGGCTCAGTTCCTCTGGGAATTTGGGCCACAGGAACTCTGGAAACAGCTGAGTGTAGCGGCCATGGCGGGCTGGGGCATTTTGAGGCCAGGACTGGGTGAGACTGCACGCAGCGTCCCTATTCCCGGCAGCTGCCCTCGTGGTCTGACCCCTGAGCACACAGGGAGATGCCTTTGGGGAAGTCTCTCAGAAGAACTGCACTTCAGCATTTCTTGACTAGTTCCTTGTTGACTCCAAAACACTTGTGCGCTGGTGGGAGGACTCTGAAAGTCTGTGCAGGAAATTGTCCCCTACTGGAGCTGCTAACACGTGCCACACTCCTGTTCTGAGGTGGTTCCTCACGCAGGAGGAGCCTCTGAATTGTCAGAATGACCTTTTCCTGCTCCTTTTCCTTCTAGGATAAGAAGCTGGATAAGCAGTATGAGTCTCTGTCTCTCTTCCACCCCAGCGTAAGTACTTGGGAAACGGTCACTGCCAGGCAGTCACTCAGAGCCCCTGCTAGAGCCGGGGCCACCCCAGCAAGGGCCCACCCTGGCAGTAGGTACCCCCTGCCCCCAGCAAGGGCCACCCCAGCAGGGGGCTGGTGGCCTCTGTGGCTGCAGGGCTGCACCCTCTCTGCGGTAGTAGGTCCTTCCTGGCAGGAAGGATCTACGTGGGAACTCTGACGAGTTGTGTGGATGGATTTAAACTCAAGGGTGGGTCGGCCCGCCCGCCCACCCCCAGCCCCAAGTTAGCTGGTCTACACTGACCTACGTTAATGTTCTGAGAACTTTTCCTGTCTTCTGGGATCCTTACTTGATAGGATTGGGTCTTCAGGTGGCAAATTGTCAGGACCTGTGGGGTGTATGGGGGCCTCACCCTCATGCTTTCCTTAGTGTGGGGCGGTCATGGGGCCCGGAGCGGACCGCCTTTTGGTGGGGAGGGTTGGAGCTGCAAGACCTGGACCGCCTTTGGCTCCGTGTCTTTGCAGAACGTGGAGATGCTGAGCAGCATGGACTCGGCCTCGGTCCGCATCATCAAGCCCTTTCCCGCGCCCCAGACACCCGGCCGCCCACAGCCCCTGCAGGCCGCCCCGGTCCCGCCGTCGATGCCTGCGGCACCCAAACTGGAGCACCAGCGCATGGACACGATCCAGGAGGACCCCAGCACAGACTCGCACGTGGACGAGGACGGCTTTGAGAAGGACCCCTTCCCCAACAGCAGCACAGCCGCCAAGTCCTTTGAGGACCTCACGGGCCGTCCGGTCACAAGAAGCGAGAAGGCCGCGTCCTTCAAGCTGCAGCGTCAGAACCGTGTGGGCAGCAAGGAGACGGAGTGCTAGGCTGCAGCCCCCGAGCTCGGGCTTCGGTGCGCAGGGTTTTTGAACCGTGGACTCGAAACCCCTGCGTCTATTTTGTGAAGATTTGGGAGAAATAAGGGACTTCCCAGCAGATGCTGGTCATGTGTTTGGACTCCTTTACACACACAAATTACTCCTTGTCCTTTGGAAGAGGTAAGGTGAATCTAGCTTATTTTGAGGCTTTCAGGTTTCATTTTTTTGTTTTGTTTCTAAAATATCCTTCAACCTGTGGTGCAAAAGCAGAAAATACAGCTGGATTAGGTCTTGAATATTTACATTTTTGTAAATTAACCTTTTTATCGAGAACAGCACTGATTAAGGAGATGATCAGTTTTTTTTTTTTATACACTGTAATGATCCGCTGACTATTGGGAGGCATTAGGCAGTTACTTGTGAGGACAACTGGAACACAGATTTTATTTTTTGCCTTCAGGTAAAGACAAAGGACATAAACAGAGTTAATATGTTCTAGAATGTGGGTTCTGTTTTTAGGCATTACCCAGAGCTTTCAGTAGCAGGGAGAATAACCCAGATTATTCCTAAATTTAAATGTGTTCATTTTTTTTTTTCAAATTCTAAGGTTAGCACTTCTAGGATTAAAACACAATCTAGCTTACAGATAGCCAAATTGAATTTACAGGATCTTGCCAAGTGTTCAGGGCTCCAGTCTGCTGGGCAGTTTGTTTCTTTCTGTCTGGTACTCGCCGTGCTCTTGAAATGCGCCCTGTTCACAAAGCCTAAGCTGCTTCAGCGTGAGAGCATGGTTGCCTCCTTGCAGACACTAGTGGCTAAGAGGGTACGTGAGCGAGTTCTCCTCAAAGCACAGCTGGTTTTGAAAGGCCGACGCGCTGTGCTGCGCAGGGAGGAAACGCAGCCTCTCCCTACACGGCTGGTTCCGAAAATCCCTTTGTAGTGACCCACAGGTGGACAGGTGTGTCGCTTCTTGCTTTAGGGCTTCAGGACTGTGTGCGTTTACTTTGTGAAGGATAAAAATTTATAGTTAAAAGCTCCCCCCACCCCAAGTAGTGAAATGTGCTCACAGCCAAAACATTGAGATAATTTGTAAACTTTGAGGGCAATTAACTGAACCTGTGACAAATCAATTCTTTTTTCTAAGGACGTTTATTATGCAGATGCCTGTTACACTAATACTTGAACTTATTAATGCCTTGTGGTGTTTGCGGTCTTTAACTTGTCAATGATAAACACTTCTGGAATCTGATAGGTGAGTGGGTGTATGTGAGAGTGAACGGTTCCCAGCTCCATGTAAGAAAATCAGTTTTTTTTTTTTTTTTATAAAATTATGACTTTTTAAACAAATACGTCTTTACCTTATTTCCATTTATAGAGTTAAGCCGCCCAGGGTTTGCACTGATGACACCTGCACCTAGTCAGATATCACCAGAACACAACAATCTGAGAGCGTCCCTAAAAATTCTAATGCTTTTATTAATCTTGGTGGGGGAGGTTCAGCGTTTTTTATTCCAAGGTCATGAGCAAAGAAAGGTCTGATCACTTATCTTTGTCACTTCCGGCAAGTTAATGGCCAGATTTGGTTTTCTATGGTTAATGGTCCCCGTCTCCCAGAAGACTTAGTTCTGGTTTGGCTTCTGCTACGTCTCGCCAGTAAGGGAGCAGCAAAGGCAAGGAGGAGACTTTCTTCTCTATCAGAGGCCACAGGTGGGAGAACAAGAACTCATTTCCCTTTGGTGACAAGTGCAGTCCATCTGACAGATAGGACGAGAAGTCCTGCAAGGGAGGAGAGAAGTTAGTGCGCGCTACTGGCCGCGCAGCTCCCCCTGCTGCCCGGACGGACTGAGCCACCTTCCAGCTCATCAGATGGAAGAGGAGGCTGAAAGAGTGAACACGGTGCACTGATGTCAACAAAAGCCCTGTCTGCTGGACACCGCCCGTCTGGGTATGAGGCAGACGGAGCTTGTCCTGTCCGGTCCTGAGCTGTAGCTGCCGGGTGCCCCGCGTCTACCCTTAAGAGCTGTGGGGAGCAGCCAGCGGGCCAGCTCGTTCACAACTCTCCCAGACCAGGGGTTCCCAGGCCTCGGGGCTCTTCTCTGCCCCACTCCCTGCGCTAGAACCTTCAAGGGTTCTTTGTAAGAGCCCCTCACACAGTAGCGTTCAGTTCTCAAACCTCTCAGATGGACGCCAACCCAGATGAAGCCAGGACACTGGGTGCTGTCCGCTGCTGCTCCTGGCCTGGGAAACCACAGGAGGGCCAGGCCCGGGCAAGGGCTGGGAGGGAGGCTGAAGTGCAGGTGTTGGTTTTGTGGGGGGAATTGCCCAGCGCGGGGGCCGCGGGAGCTGCTGGGGCCTGCGGAGGCGGAACTGCACGGGAAAGCCTCAGCCCTCCGGACTCAGCTGTGCCTCGTGGTGGGGGCTGGCGGGTGCCTACCATGAGGTCCTGCTTAAATCCGTCATTTTGCTTTTTAATGAGTTTTAAACCAACCCTCCCCCATATTATAAAAGAACTTGGCCTGAATGTCCTTAATAGGAACCATTTTTTGGCTCCTTTTGCTCTGTGCGGACTCCTGACCGTTTGAGGGGTCCCGGGGAAGGATGCCAGCTGCTGGGTGCAGCAGAGGAACCCGGCCGAGCAAGGGTGGGGGCTGCACGCTGTCCTGGAGCCTCTGGGGCTCCCCGGTTTAACTGGTGAAAGGGATAATGGTCTCACCTACTCAGAGCCACACACAGCGGGGTCACGTCTGTGTGATCCCACTCCCCCCGAGGACCGAGCCAGCCCCGGTACCTGTGTGTCCTTCTGCATCAGGGTCCACAGGTCAAGGACATCGATCCCACAGTCGTGGGCCACCTGGAGGCAGGCGCCTGCGTATTCACCAACAACCGAGTTCAGACGATTTAATTTGCAGCCTGTTGAGAGAGTGCAGGCAGGTGACAGCGGGCCCTTGTGCAGGCCCGGTGACCCGGAGGCTTCTCCATCCACAGGCACGTAGCTCATCTACGTAAGTGAAACGAGTTTCACGGAACAGTGCCTACTGTGTCCCAGACACTGTTTTTTTCTATTCCATTAAAGAAACGTAACTCGCTCGGTGCTATGACCTACAATCTGGGAAGCACCAAGGAGCTCTAACTGGCACACCTCCGCTCACCTGGGCTGAGCACGAATGTTCCGGGAGGACAGACCTGCCACCCCACAAGCCATCATGAGGGTCCCCCACTAAGCTCTGAGCCAGCGACAGGGCAACTCATCCACTTCCTGTGACGGTGGGCAGAGCCCCTTCCTCCCTGTCCGTCCTCTTGAGGGTAAACCTGCCTACTTACCTCCGTGGGGGAACTGTATTTACAGGACGGCCGCCCTCCCTAGCCCGGCAGGCAGGAACCGGGGCCAGGTCCTGGCTTAGCACCCAAGGTGCCTCCTGGTGTGGCCGGGCGGAGACCTGGTGTTGGCCAGCAGCCCACTGCTGCAGAGCGGTGGCACAGGCAAGGCTGCGTGTGGACAGAGAAAGGGCACAGCAGCGGCCGAGGCACTTCCCCCTGCTGCGAAGTTGGGAGGACAGCCTGGTGCGTACCCAGGCGGGCTGCGGAGATGCTCGCTCAGCATCCACACGGCTCCTTCCAGGCCGGGGCCGCCTCAGCCACAGTGAGGATCCCTCACCTGGGCCACACCTGCAGGGGTCCACGTAACCCAAGCTCTGCCTTCTGGGCTTCATCTCCGTTAACACAAAACAGCCCGATAAGGACATGCAGGCCTCAGACCCTAGGCGCACAGACGGGAGTCTCTCCGACGCTGGTGCTCCGGCTGCTGGGCACGCTGCCGACATGCTTACCTTGCAGGAGGCACTCCTGCTCCCACGCAGCCTCCCAGAGTGGGGGCGGCGTGATGAGGACGATCCTGTCCTCAGGGACGTCCACGGACTTCAGGTACTGCACCATGCTCTTTAGATTCGCCACGTACTCGTTCAGGGGGATGTGCTGCTTGGGATTCTCATCTGTCGGGGAGGAACACGGATACCCCAGGTGCACACTTGTTACAGGTGACAACAGGAAGGTCAGTACGCACTCCAGGTCTGAGGCTCTAGAGGGCGCCTGGCAGCGGCGGCTTAGCACCCAGGACCTCAGCGCTCGGCTGGCGCAGAGGGAAGCTGCCAGGTTCCGGCCTAGCCTCGCCCTGGGGGACATGCTCGGCCTTCCCGTGCTGTGACTTCCTCACCGGGGAGGACGAGAGCTGGGTCTGCCTGACGGGGTCGTGAAGATCCATCGGCACAGCGTGGGAAGCAGCCGGCCAACACAGGTCAGCCGTGGCCCCACGCCCATCATGATGGCGGAGGCTTATTTCTAAATGGGCTCATGTGCAAGTGTACAAGAGCCGCTGCAGGCGTGTGGCAAACCACACGTGAATACAATCCCAGGAGGAGACTAAAACCACTCTGATCTCACCACCCAGAAAACCGCTGGCAGCATGTGGACGTACTTCTAGTCTTTTCCATATGATACGTATACTTTAAAAAACAAACTGGAATCATGCTGAAGATACATAACCACACTGGACTTTTTCATGTGACATTATTATATAGACTACAGGCGTTTCTGTGTCCACAGGTCCCCAAAACATGGCTAGTTGTCAGGGGACCAGCCTGACCACGCGGCGCCCTACCGTTTGCCGTGACAGACGTCCTCACAGAAGCGTCTGCACCGCTGCGTGGCTGCTTTACTGAGTGTCGGGCTGCTTCCAGGCGAGGCAAGCCCTCCGCTGCAGCCCTCAACTATCCTTCCAGACGGCAGCTTTCCCCAGCGGCTGGGAGAGCGTGCCCATCTCACTTCACACTCGTAGCTCTGAGCACAAGAGCTTAAGAAATAAGTTCCAATTTGAGTCTTTATGGTTTGACATATTCCATAAGCCTTATTTTTTCCTTTATGATTTCCTCCATTGCTTTTATGCTTGGAACCTGTTTCTCCTTGTCTTAATTCTGATAAAAATTCACCTTTGTGAGTTTCCTTACAGCCTTTGGTGTATGACATAAAGGGTCTCTGCTAACAGTCGCAGTTCCTAGAATAGCTTTCTCAGCGACGGCGAGCACCCCTGGCTCTCCCTGCAGCCTCACCCGTGCCATCCCCACCTGTGCCCAGGGCTTGCCAACTCTCCCTGTTATGCTGCGCCCGGGGCCCCCCTCGCAGGAGCAGGAGGGAGGGCAGGGCCCACGCTGGCCAGCCCTCCATCCTCAGGGGTAGCGCTTTCCAAAGACAGGGACACAGCCCCACTTCATGCCCGTTTCCCAGCACCCGGAGGAAGTCCGTGCCCGGGCTGGGGTGGCATCCTGAGTTGCTCCCCCACGGGTGGTTCACCCCCTGCAAGGTGGGCGCCCTGCTGCCAGCTACCCCAACTAATGAGAAAAACATTCAAAACTCAGCACAACACTAATGGACCCCAGAAAACATTTTAAAGTGTTTGAGATCTTAGATTGGCCAATAACTCGGGTACAAAATAAGTCGGGAATAAAACCTGCTGACATTAAAGCCAGAAGAAATACAAATAAACTCTGGGAACTCTAAGACTATTGGGCAAGAAGTACACAGCTGAAGAAAGTTTCTAAGTTTGCTCTGACACAAAAACGGGTGCTTGGGGGCTCAGTCTAACCTAACCCGTGGTTTCTGCCCAGGTTGTGACCTCAGGGTCATGAAATCGAGCCCCAGGTTGGGCTCCACGCTGGCTATGGAGTCTGCTCGCGATTCGCCCCCCCCCCCCCCCCCCCGCACAGGTGCACTCGCTCACTCTCAAAACAAAGAATGAAGTAGAAAAACCCAAGAATGCCTTTACCTTTCAGTGCACTGTCATTGGCACCGAAGAAAATTGTCACTGCTACTGGGCGGTCCAGACTGTCCCCTTTCCTGATTAATCTTGGAAGGATGATTTTGGCCCATCTGGTATTGTAACCTGAAAATCCACGATTCAGAACATCACATTTTCTGAAATGGAGAATTTTTTAAAAAAGATGAATTGTGGTCAAAGAATGGTTTCTAGTCCTCCCTGCAGTGAACCCATGGTGTGTGCCCTCCAGGCCGTGGCACCTGCTGAGGTCAGGTGGCTCTGATGTGCTTTCACCTTTTTACAGTTTAAGTCACCTCTGCCCTCAACGTGAGGCTCGAACCCAGTCCCGAGATCGTGTCACAGGCTTTTTGGACTGAGCCAACCAGGTGCCCAAGGAGTTTCATTTGAGAAGAGCAGGCACAGAGTTGAACGTGCCGGCCTTAAATCTGTCCAAGACACAGGTCAAGCCCTTCCTTGACAGGAGTTCTGAGTAACTGAGCAAACGGGCTGTCATTTTGTCTGCAGACTCACGCATGGGCGGCGAGGTCCCGTGACGTGGAGTTTGCAGCAGACGGGTGCTATGTGAGCAAGCATTGTGGGCAGAAGTCACCAGCAGCTGGAGCTCGGGGGTAACAATGGTTTGGGTCTGTACATGGAGTTTTTTTTGAGGCGTTTTTACAGACTTGTTTTTAAGAAGCATCTTAGGGTGTGCAGCAAACCCAAAAGGAGGAAATAGTTCCCACACTCCTGCCCCCAAGAGCGGCACATTTGTTGTGATAAACCTACAGTGATGTCATTATCAGTATTAGCCCATGGTTTTCAGTCCTTTTAGTTTTTTAAAAGATTTTATTTGAGAGAACACTAGATGGGAGAGGGGTCGGAGGGCAGTGAGAAGCTGACTCCCTGCTGAGCAGGGAGCCCCACGCGGGGCTCAAGCCTGGGACTCCAGGATGAGGACCTGAGCTGAAGGCAGACGCTTCACCGACTGAGCCACCAGGCATGCCTGATTCAACAATTTCAGGAAATATATTGTTTTTCCTTCTTAAAAATATGTGGTTTGGGGACACCCTTCCTCTCTCCCCCCTGCTTGTGCCCACGCACACTCTTAAATAAAATCTTAAAAAAAAAAACTCCGTGGTTTGATTCCCAGTACCGTATGGTACAATGAACATGGATCTTGACTGGTTGCCTGGGTTTGTGTCCCTGCTCCTTTACTTAGTGGTCAGGCCCCCTGCTTTTTGTAGATGCTTAAAGTTGTCCATAATAAAATTAAGAAAACACCTCAGTACAATTTATGGTTAGCAAATTGACATGGTTCACTTTGGTATATAGTTCAAATTCCTACGTGAGCAGAGAACCCAGGGCACCAACCGACAACTGCAGGCTACCAGGCCAGTCAACAGATGCGGAGACAAGAGGAAGGGACTTGGTTTGACGTTACTCGAAAAGCTCTCAAAATTTATAAATCTTGGGGACAAAATTTAGTCATTTTTTAAAAAAGATTTTATTTATTCAAGACAAACACATGAGAGAGAGAGAGAGAGAGAGAGAGAGAGAGAGAGAGAGAGAGAGAGAGAGGCGCGCAGAGACACAGGCAGAGGGAGAAGCAGGCTGCATGCAGGGAGCCCGACATGGGACTCAATCCTGGGTCTCTAGGATCATACCCCGCACTGAAGGCGGCGCCAAACTGCTGGCCATCGGGGCTGCCCATCCACATTTATTTCTAAGTGTGATGCTTGGGGTTTTTAATGCATAATGATTACAAAAAGCTGGCTAGCCACTTTAAAGACTACCTTAATTTAAGGAATACTGTGGGGTGCCTGGAGGGCTCTGTTGGTTAAGCATCTCTTGACCTCAGCTCAGGTCTTGATCTCAGGGTCGTGGGTTCAAGCCCTCTTTGGGCTCCACACCCAGTGTAGAGCCTACTTAAAAAATTTTTTTTTTGACAAGAGGAGTTTGTTTCCTGTCCCTCCAGCGGTTTACTCAGTGCAATGTTTTAAAAACCAGGTGAGGTGGCTTCCTCCCTAAGGCCTTCATGATGTGGGAGGAGAGGGGAAAGGTCTGGAATCAGAGTGACCAGGGCCTGGATTTTGTTACCCTTGACTAACAGATCAGGTTTTGGCCCTTAATTTCTCTGAGTTTCAGGCTCCCCAGCTATGAAAGCTGAACCTTATCTGCTGGGCAGTGTGAAGATGAAAAGCAGCCATTACAGACTGAAAAAGAATATTATAAGGCTATGAACCAGGAAAAAAGCGGGAGTGAGAGAGGCCCAGGGTTCAAACTGCTGAGGTTCCCTTCTGAAAGGGGAGGCGATCGGAGTTGCTCCAGATTGAACAGTATCATCAATATGCCCACCTTACTCCACAGCCTACAGAAACTGGCAAATGAAGACTGGCTTTTACTTAAATTCATGAATAACAAGTATTTAAGTTCAGATGAAAAGGGAACAGATAAGAACAGAAAGATTCTTTGCCAAATGTCCAGCTCTCGGAGATTGCCTTCCAGAAACAATATAGATTATGCGGTTTTATAAACCGGGCAGAGGCTGATCTTTTTTTTTTTTTCCAGAGGCTGATCTTTAAAAGCAAACAGCAGCTTTTAAAAACTGAAAAGGGTGAATTTATTCTAACTTCTTCAAACCAAGTATTTTTGGTCAAAGAAATACTGAGATAAGGCTAAAAAAAGAAAATAAGTCAGTGAATTTTAAAAGGCTTTATATAGATTTAAGAATTATTAAAATGGTTTTCTCATGCTAAAACTTAAAAGATGTCACTATAGGACAGTGTATTTTAGATTTATTCCTATGCACATATGCAGTGTACAGAAGGGCAGTTACATGAAGCCCTCCTAACTTTAAAATGTGGAAATTGGGTTACATTTGACACTGAGTTAGTCCACCTGAAACTAACACTGCATGTTAATTACACTTAGAAAAGAAAAGAAAAGAAAAGAAAAGAAAAGAAAAGAAAAGAAAAGAAAAGAACCCACCCCAAACCACTGTGAATCAGTTCAGGGCTGTGCCTACAGCTGAGGCTGACATAAAAAATCCACCCCCGGGGGCGCCTGGGTGGCTCAGTGGGTTGAGCTTCCTTCCAACTCTGGGTTTCCACTAGGGTCCTGATCTAGGATTGTGAGATGGGCCCCAACCCCTCTCCACTCAGGGTGCCTGCCTGGTCCTCTCCCCCCCTCCCCCCCACTCGTACATTCTCTGAAATGAAGCTTTTAAAAGAAAATTCACCCCAAGTGTTCACACAGCTAAAGATGAAAACATCCACCAAAGGGGAAGAACCCAGGTCTGGCACTAAAAAAAGGAGGGTGGAGTGGAATCCTCTGGAGTCTCCACCTCCCCTGCCAGTCGCGCCAACCGCAGCTGGGTCTGCCCAGTGGAAGAACAGAGAAGAGAGGCTGTGGGGCTCCCTCTGCCAGGGGTCTGCTGCCCCAGCAAGGGATTTTAGTTCCTAATCCTCGGGCGAGTGTGCCCAGGAGAGGCAGGCACTCTGGGCCGGAGCCCTAAGGGGTAAGAGGTCACTGAGGTGAAGCCTCTGTGGAGTGGGCCAGCAGCCACTCCGCTGCACGTTGGGTCTCAAAAGGATGCCTGTCGGGAGTAGGGATGGAACCGCACAGACCACACGCTGTCTCCAACTCTGTCTTGTAACTTTTCTCAATTCTGAAAAATAAACTAGCTTCTAATTAAGCGGTCTTCTAGCAAGCATATTTGGAAACTGTCAATTCTCACCAGATTTTAGTACTAAAATGATTATTAAACATTTGGTAAAAATTATGTGTGGGTAAATATCTGAAATGCCTGGTTTTCTGGGCCACTAGAATTATTTAGCTTTTCAGAAAAAGTAAACAGGCCAATTAAACAGTGGATTACTAAACATTAAAGCTACTATTCAAGGTACACTTGCAGGCGCCTTAGCAAGTTCACATTACACTTCCAGCCTCCCCAAGAGGAGAGCAGGTGCCCTAATCACCTCCAGAGGCTCAGGACCACCGGCTCCAAAGCCGGGCCACCTGCCACTTCCTAGGTGTGTGACCTCCATCTTCTCAGCTCTAAACTGGGTCAGAGACTAACCCGCTCTGTATTACAGGATAGTTGTGAAGACTAAATGAGCCAATACACATGAAGCATTTCAGTTTCTGGCACCTGGTAAGCATTCAGTAGAACTTAGCCATTATAATCCTCCCATTTTACAGAGGGAAAACTGAATGATAGTTTCATGTCCTAGATTAAGTCCACCTAAATAGGGAAAAACATTTGGGAACAGAAAAAGCTGGAAGGTCAAGTTTTTCATTTCTAGGTTAGGGGATAAACATGGAGAAAGTGAAGATATTTTAAAACACATTTGGAGATAACTGAAAATACATTTTCTTGGTGTATTAATTATACTGGTGAAGAAATTACCAAGTACTAATAAGATGGTAACACATCCAGCTTATTCCTTATAAAGGAGAAGACAAAACTCTTGATCAGTTTACTGGTATTCCAAATACTTGTGTTTACTGTTTTTAATGTGGAAAACATTTCTAAATATTCTGTAACCTTTTGAATTGGGGCAGTTTCCTAAAATGATGCTAGTTTTGGGTTATGAATATACATGGCTTTCTTTCGATTGAACTCCTTAGGACTTGTTTAAATCATATCCACTGTTGGGGTGACTGGGTGGCTTGGTGGCTCTGTGGTTGAGCGTCTGCCTTCAGCCCAGGGCGTGATCTTGGGGTTCCAGGGGCGAGTCCCATATTGGGCTCCCTGTGTGGAGCCTGTTTCTCCCTTGAATAAATAAAATCTTAAAAAAAAAAAAAATCATATGCACTGTAATAACTGGAAAAGAACTGGTCTTCAGATGAATACCTGTATCTGTTTGGCTCCAAACCCGGTATCCTTCCTACAACTTTTAGGGTTTGATTTCACATCCTGCAGAACTTCTGCTGAACCCTGAATGCCTGTCCTTCCTTCTGGCCCCCAACCCTGGAGACACACTAACGAGCTCAGGCCGGCAAAGAAAGGAGGAATATACTGTTTGGAAGCGCATCGGGCGCTCTTCCTCCTCTGAGAGGCAGTTACGGTTTCCATCAGCAAAGTCTCGGGCGTCCATCCAGAAACTATTCTCACCTGACCAGCTTGTCAGCCAGGGACGCTCCCCATCCACCCTGCTGGAAAGAAAACTGAGAAAGGAAAAAAAAAAAAAAAAAAAAGTCCGTTACTACTCGTCCGTGTAATCCGCGCATTTTAGAAGCGGGGCGTTTCGGTCGGCGGCGCCGGGTTTCCCTCGCGCTCCCGGACTTCCTGGCCCCCCTCGTGCTGCCCTCACACGTCATTTCAGGAATTAACTGCAGCGCCCCCGCAGCAGCGCCCGGGAAATCGGGGGTGGGGGTGGGGGGGCGTCTTCTTTCCTACCAGCTGGGCCCGTCACCCGCATCTTACTGAGAACTAACAGTCATTTCTACTTAGAAAAGCCACTGAAATTCATACACACGAGACAACAACCAACTGTACGAGCAGTCGGGAAGTGAGGCCCGGGCTGTACATTTCCAGGATTCTCAAGGGATAAGGAAGAGAATCACAGGACTCAGGGGGTGACGTTTTGAGACTATATATTCCTATAGATTTGGAAAGCCCTTCCTTACTGCCCAGACACAGAAAATTGAGGAAATCATGTTTGAAAAGACAAAAAAAAAAAAAAAAAATCCACCACGGGAACAGCTCTGAGAGGTACTTGGTCGCCCCGAGGTCGAACGAGTTCTCCCCTCACGCGGGCGGGCGGGCGGGCGGGCGGCAGCGGTCCCGGGGATTCGGCCGGCCACGTCCCCGCCCGCCCGTCGCCCGCCCACCCGGCGCCGCGCCCGCGCCGCGCCCCGCGGGGCCCCAGCAACAGGGACGCCCTCCCCGCCCGCGGCTCCGAAGCGGCCCGGACGTCGCGGTGCAGAGAGGCCGCAGCCAGCGAGCCGCCAGGCCCGCGGCCCTCGGGGGGCGCCGCCCAGAGGGGGACCCGGACGTGTGCGGACCGAGCGGCGGTACCTGGGTGATGGAGTCTCCGAAGAGCAACACCCGCGGCCAGAGCAGGGACGACCCGCCGCGCGCCGCCTCACACAGCGCCATGTTGCTTACCAGCGAGCGGCGGGGCCGGGCCGGATATCCGGGCGGGGCGGGGGGCGGGGCGCGCGGCCGGGGGGCGGGGCGGCGTCCGAACGGACCGTCGCACTCCTGTCGCCCGTGGGGTGCCTGCCCGCCGCACCCCCGGGGCTCCTCGAGCTCGACTCTTTGGCGACCAACGGGTCACTTTTAACACCTGCCGTTGCCCCTTGGAAAGCTCCCTTTTGTCCGTTTACAAAACGCACCCTGGTTGGCTCATCCCGGCTGTCGGGGGCGGGGCGCCCGCAGCCCCTCCCGGGGAGTCGGCCCGGCGGGGTCGCCCGGCAGTCCCCGGACCCGAAGGGAGCGCACCCCCCACGCGGGGTCAGATGCTCCGCAAATGGCAAGAGTGTGGAGATCGGTGGGGGGTAGGTGCTTCCGAGGGACTCGTTCATCACACAACCCTCCTTAAACGGACTCCACCATCTGTTTCGACCTCAGAGAAAACCTTAGGACGTTTGCTAAAGACAGGAAGGCAATGGCTTCTCGGCCTTTTGGCTAAGATCAAGTGGAGACGGGGTTTTGCAGTAGCGGAGAGAAATGAGCCAAGGAGCAGGGTGAGGGTATTAGGATGTACAACTGCCAGAAGGTAGAGCGATTACTTGCTCAACCATCTCCACAGGCTTCTTGCTGAAGGCAGGCGGGGTTGGGAGGCTGAGGAACTGAAGCGGATCCCCAGCAGGATTCCAGAGGGGCCAGGACAGAGCCAAGGTGGGGGCCCATTAGAAGACACAGGAGCTCCAGGACTCAGGAGCTTGACTCAAGTTTGGCCAGAGCCGGGGACACCTCAGCCACGCAGTGGAGTTGGATGGCTGTGATAGAAAATGAGCCAGAAGAATATTTCGAGACAAGTGAACTGAAGGAGAAAACCAGAAGAGCAGGGTGGGGGACAGCACGCACAGCAAAGCCAACATACCTCGCTGGGGCTAGGATGGAAGGTGTCAGGTGGGAGACTGGCTGGAGCCTGAGAGGCAGGGAGGGCGATGCAGAGCATAACCAAGCCCTCAGGCCAGTTCCCTGGCTTCGCCTAGAATCACCTGGGGGAGCTTTAAAACTGCTGATGAAGGAGCCTCACTCCAGACCAACTCACTTTACTTCTGATGGTGAGACGTGGGCGTCCGTGTCTTACTGCTCCCCACGTGATTCCAGCGTGCAGCCCAAGCCCCTGGCTTTGGTCAGGTGTTTGGACTTGACCCTAATTATAAGGAAGCCCGACAGGGCTTTCAGCAGGGAAAGCCTGAGAGCAGGTGTGTGCATCTCAGGACTGGACCACAGGGAGACAGGGAGGCTGTGGCAGGACCCAGAGGGGACTGGTGTCAGGGACTCAGAGCCCCAGTGTAGAGACAGGGACAGACTCAAGAGCAACTGGGAATCCTTGACTCAGACTGGTTACCTTGGAGAAAACTCCCTTTTACTCTATATATTGCTTTTTTTTTTTAAGATTTTATTTATTCATTCATTCATGAGAGACACAGAGAGGCAGAAACACAGGAGAAGCAGGCTCCATGCAGGGAGCCCGATTTGGGACTCGATCCTGGGACCTCAGGATTACGCCCTGGGCCAAAGGCAGGCGCCAAACCGCTGAGCCACCCAGGGATCCTCTATACATTGCTTTCTAAGATAATCTATAACAAACTTTTATGTGACACAAAAGGTGACCCTTAGAGCTTTGGTTTGGGTCAGAGACAAAATGGTGTATCTTACAGAAATACTTCATTTCAAGTAAAAGTTCAGATCTGTGCACTCGGGTCTCTCACTAGGAGGCAGGGAAGGAGTGCTCGGTGGCTCTAAGTCACCAAGAGGTGAGGCGAGAAGAGCACGAACAGGGCTGGTGGAAGTTAGGGGCTGTGGTTGGCGGACACTTTAGCTTGCCGGCCAGTGTGAGCCACTCTCGAGTTGGGCTGTGAAGGGGAGAGCGGGCTTCTGCACGTGCCTGGCCCTCCCACCCCCCACAGAGGCGTCAGGCAGACCCCCAACACTACCCTGCTCACCTGGACTGCACCCCACACTCCTGTGTCCAGTTAAACTGGCAGGTCTGAACTACACGTGCTTCAGGAAACTGGCCTAATGACCACACACAGCAATGCAACCACTCACAGCTGAATACCCTTGAACTTAGCTGTAAAAAATTAGTCTGAATCTCTGAACTGAATATGCAGATATTAAGAAAATATCACTGAATCCCGAAAGTTGTAATTTTACAAATGCACAAATTATGGAATCTGCCAAGAGGATCGGGAGGGAAGGAAGAGAAAAGGCGCATTAGGTGATCATCTCTATTAATTCACATTCAGAATATGGGTAAGAAAATACAAACCATCATGCATTTTCTTCCCTTAGAAAGGACACTGCGACATTCTGGTTCAGTTGCTAGGAGCCGATCTTTAAGGTTTCCAGGGCAGCTGTGCACGTGCCTGGAAGCAGAATCAATGCATTTTGAAATAACAGGCATTTTATTTAGGAGTTCAGGAATCCTGGGCAAATTAGTTGTTAATTTAGGAGTACTTAAGCTGTTGGAATAAAGGCCATTTAACATCATGAGTAAATAGGCTACGCCAGAGAAACTAACGTATTTTATTTAAGTAACAGAAGCAGAGTTGAGCATTAAAAAAAGCTTTAACACATACAGAGACCTCAAGGTGTCAGTGGACAGGTGTGAGGGCCTCGTACAGTCTCTGCGCAGCCAGCTCCACCATCTCTCGGAGGGACTCATCGTCCTCGCTTCCTTCTTCGCACTCTACAGCCTGAAAGTGAAAGCAGACAGGCCTTTCACCCGAAGTGTCTAGAGTGTTCTATGGAGGATAAAGTCAGAATCATCATTTCCGGGAGGGGAGAGAGCCTGGCCTCTCCAGAGCAGAGCTGCTGCCCTGCAGGCTGCAGGCCCAGAGGCCCGGGGCACACAGACTCGACAGCATGATCACCGGGTTTAATTAGAGGTTAATTTTGGAAAAATGGAATACATGGAAAAAGCTAGTGAACTATATTTACTCCAAAGCCCATATACTGACCCAGTAAGTGACAACTTGAATTCAGTCTTTGTAACACAAATTACTTAGCAAGCGACAGGTGTGCTCATCTACTCAACATTTGGTATTACATTTGCTTTAGATTAATAATCTAGTTATTTCTCAGTGACACTGTGTAAAATTTTTTTATCATACTGTAAATATTGCTCATATTAAAACTTAGTAAAGAAAAAATGACACCCTTAAGTCTATATAACCTAATGATGTCCAGATCACCATCTCCTGGATGGGTACATGGACAGTACTCCACGTCTCCGTGTACACCATACATATTTATTCAGTGACTTTATTTACTGTCTCCTACTCTTGTATATTTCAGTCTCTTGCAGTTTTGTTTATATGATAATTAATGTTAAGATAGAAATCCTTGTATATATATTTTTGCTTGAATTATCATTAACTTGTCTAATTATTTTCTTTGATTAAATCCAGTAAGTGGAACTGTGGATAAAGGTATTTACTTTTCTGAGCCCTTCTAGGCATTTCACCAAACTATCCTGCGGAAAGAATGTGCCACCTCATTTACAATCTCCTCCCCACCCCAAATCGCCCCTGAGAATAAATGGGCGCCTGTTTTCCTGTGGGGTCACAGCACTCTTGTTCATCTGTGCCCACATGAAAAGCAAACAGGGATATATGGAACTTTCGATCTGTATTTCCTCTAATTATTAGTGGATTGGATCTGAACGGTTTTTATTTTAAGATTTTATTTATTTATTCATGAGAGATACAGAGAGAGAGAGAGGCAGAGACACAGGCAGAGGGAGAAGCAGGCTCCATGCAGGGAGCCCAACGTGGGACTCGATCCAGGGACTCCAGGATCACACCCTGGGCTGAAGGCGGCGCTAAACCGCTGAACCACCTGGGCTGTCCTGAACAGTTGTTTCACGTGCTTGCTGCCTATCCTTATTTCTTCTCTAGTTAATCGCTTGGCTATGTTCTTAGCTTTTGTTTCTAGTGGGATAAGATAATCTAGTGTCTTCTCAGAGCATCTATATAGTCAAAGATGTAAAAGAAATTTAAAACCTATGTTATTCATTTGGGAGAACTGTTCTAATCTTCAAAAACAAGCCTGCAAGATATACTTATTCATTTATGCTCTAGAAATAGTTATGTAGGATCTCTATTGTGAGATCAGAGCAGGCCCCCCGATCTCAAATCCCATTTGAGAAATTCTGGAAAAACCACTTGGATCCTGCTGGTAAAAATAGGAGAGCAGCTTCTCTGAACAAATCTAGAGTCAGCCGGATGCCAAACAAGAGAAATGCTGGGGTGGACTCCAGCCTCTCATGGAGAAGGAAAATCATGGGAAATACATGGGAAACGTGTGGTGTGCAGCGAGGCGCAACAATACTTAGGACAGAACAGGAAAAAAGCAAGAACACAGGGCACCTGGCCAGCTCAGTCAGAAGAGCATCCAACTCTTGATCTTGGGGTCGTTTGAGCCCCACAGTGGGTATAGAGATTACTAAAAAAAAATAAGCTTAAAAAAAAAGATAAAGCAGGAATGTGTAACTTTATAGATAATAACATAAAAAGCCCAGAAAAAGCAAATCTGGAAGGAGAAGCCGAAATGGGAAAGTGAGCTGTTGGTGTAAGACCAGAGATTACTTTTGTTTCCACTTTTTTCCCCAAATGTCCTGAGATGTGGGAAGGTGCAGCTACATACCCGGGTCTCCAAGTTTATATTAGCAGTTTTCCCGTCCACTGTGACGCTGAGAACAGAACCATCTTTTACGCTTACACAGTCTTCTCCAAATATGTCCCTTAAGATAAATGAAGATGCCATATTAGTGAAAAATGCATTTACGAGTAAGTCAAGTACATTCTGATATATTTGGGGAAAAAATAATATTGAAAATTGCCCCTAGTTCCAAAGTAGAATACTTCTATCTATATACTTCTATCGGTTCCTGAGATGCACTTAATTTAGTTTCACATATTTTTTTTTTTTTTTAAATTTTTTTTTTTTTATTTTTTTATTTATTTATGATAGTCACACACAGAGAGAGAGAGAGGCAGAGACACAGGCAGAGGGAGAAGCAGGCTCCATGCACCGGGAGCCCGACGTGGGATTCGATCCCGGGTCTCCAGGATCGCGCCCTGGGCCAAAGGCAGGCGCCAAACCGCTGCGCCACCCAGGGATCCCTAGTTTCACATATTTTATTAATTTTATAAAATGGGTAAAACACGGGATGCCTAGGTGGCTCAGTGGTTGAGCATCTGCCTTTAGCTCAGGGCATGACCCCGGGGTCCTGGGATCGAGTCCCGCATTGGCCTCCCTGCAGCAAGCCTGTTTCTCCCTCTGCTTGTGTCTCTGCTTCTTTCTCTGTGTTTCTCATGAATACAATCTTTAAAAAAAAGAAATGGGTAAAACACATAGCTATCATTTATTAAGACTGTGTTCTTCACGGGCGCCTGGCTGGCTCGGGCTGTGAGTTGTATTTCCCTCCTGCGTGAAGTTCCTCAGTCTCAACCGACTGTCCAAGGTATCAGGGATCTAAAATGATGAAGACCCTCAGGCTTGCAGGCTAGCAGGTCCGGCTTTTGGGAATTGCAGAGCACAGCCCTCTGCAAGGAGGAGCATGACTGGGGGCTACTAGGACCGTCAGGGTGGGAGCCAGCAAACGCTGATCTGTTGCCTTTCCAATGGCCCTGAGGGTCCCTGTGGGTCCCTGCCCCACACTCTGAGCTGCTTTTAAGTTTGTGCAACAGGGGTGCTTTTTAGAATCAAAATGGCAGCACCAAGACCAATTTTCTGAAGATACGTGGTAGCTTCTTATGGCAAGGTCACCATTTAAAGCTCATGCATTTTTTGGGATCCCTGGGTGGCTCAGCAGTTTAGTGCCTGCCTTCGGCCCAGGGTGTGGTCCTGGAGACCTGGGACCGAGTCCCGCGTCGGGCTGCCTGCATGGAGCCTGCTTCTCCCTCTGCCTGTGTCTCTGTCTCTCTTTGTGCCTCTCATGAATAAATAAAATCTTAAAAAAAAAAAAAAAAGCTCATGCATTTATTAAAAGCTACTAGATGGCTGCCTTAAAGGATTATCAGTGAGGAATTTGAGGGGAAAGGAAGGAACAGAAATGTTAACATAAAACCTCCAAACACGCAGAGCCCTTCTTTTGTTAAGATATGTCTAGTCAAGTTATTTTTTAAAAAAGATTTTATTTATTTATTTGAGAGAAAGCGACAGAGAACACAAGCAGGGGTGAGAAGCAGAAGCAGACTCTCCACTGAGCAGGGAGCCCAATGCGGGGCTCCATCTCAGGACCCCAGGATCATGACCTGAGCTGCAGGCAGATGCTTAACTGACTGAGCCCCCCCAGGTGCCCCTAGTCAAGTAACTTTCAATTTAAAAATAGAAGCAGTTAATAAAAACGGAAAAATAAGTAGAAGCAGTCACTTAACAAGAATTTGAGAGATACTATGTGCAAGGCACTGTGGTAGATGTGGAAATTATAAAACTAAATTCAAATCTTTTTAATTTTCTTTTTCTTGATATAATATATAGCTTAAATGGTAGCTATCCACTATGATGCAAATGATTATTTTGTTTGGAAAAAAAAATTTCAAAATCAGGTTTTTAAAAATTTTTATTTTAAGTAGGTTCCATATCCATTGTAGGGCATCAACGCATGACTTTAGCGATCAAGAGTCACATGCTCTACCAACTGAGCCAGCCAGGATCCCCCCAAAATCAGTCTTAAAGAATATCTGAGGGGCACCTGGGGAGCTCAGTCAGTTAAGTGTCTGCCTTTAGCTCAGGTCATGATCCTGGGGTACTGGGATTGAGGCCTGCATCAAGCTCCCTGCTCAGTGGGGAGTCTGCTTCTCCCTCTCCTTGTCCTACTCATGCTCTCTCTCTCTCACTTTCTCTCTCAAATAAGTAAGTCTAAAAAAAAAAAAAAAGAATACTTGAGAAAAGGGGAAAAATCTAGTATCTGGTTTAGAAAAATACTGAGTTTTAAAGGTAATTCATAGTTTATAGACTTACTATCTGAGAAGAGTCCAGAAAACATTTTTTTTTTTTTTTTTTTTTTTATTTATGATAGTCACACACAGAGAGAGAGAGAGAGAGGCAGAGACACAGGCAGAGGGAGAAGCAGGCTCCATACACTGGGAGCCCGACGTGGGATCCGATCCCGGGTCTCCAGGATCGCGCCCTGGGCCAAAGGCGGGCGCTAAACCACTGCGCCACCCAGGGTTCCCCCCAGAAAACATTCTTAACACAGAATTCACATTTAAGGAGAATATATATCATAGTTCTTAAAGGCACAGTAACACCAAGTGAAGAGTTTAGTACTTGTCCTTAATAACGATGTAAGAATCTTTGTCAACTGTGCCAGAAATGGCAAACCAAGAAGGTCACAGGTATTTGGAACTGGCTAGAGTGTTTGGCTGGAAGGATGCGGTTCAAACCACCTTACAGATACACAGACATCCAGAGTGGTGAAGTGACCTGTCTGAGCCTCACGACCATCAGTGAGCCAGAACTAAATCCCGGCCTCCTCCTCTCTGCCCTGCCTCGCCACCCCTTGTGGGGCAATAATAAGGACAATACTTACTGGAGCATGATCTCCAGCCTCTTGCTATAGACGTGCATTTCCAATTTTTTAGAAACCTTCTGTACTGCACCTGGGGGAAAAAAAGCAACATAGTTCCATTTCCAAATTCTTATTTAGAATAATTCCTGAGTCAATAATGAGAATACAGCTGCTGATAAGGTAAGATGATCACCTATGGAATCTTTCAAGTGACAAACCATTTACCTGCTGAGGCAAACCGATATTTTCGTCACTTTTGTTCTTATTAAATACAGAACACAGAGTGACATTTAAGATTACTTTAAATTTTATTTGTAAAATTTATTTGTAATGTTTCTCAAACTTTTCTGCAATTTATTTATGAGCGGAAGTGAACCTAGAACTCCAGGAGTTCTAGGGGCATGTCCAGGCTCAGAGATCTCTGGAGTTTTTGTTTACCTAAAACGTTATATAACTTTTGCATTCTACTATATATAATGCACATAGGATGATTTTAATAAAATTACTATTTAAAATCATTTGCCTGTCATATTACTTAGCTCCCCCTTCCCAAAACAAAGTGATCTAACGGTTAAGGAAGATGACCTGGAGTTTCAAATGTGCCCCTAGATCACTAAGTATCTCCCAGACCATCACCAGCAGCAGAACAGCGAGGAACTATCTGGCAGTTCCTCAGAAAGTGAAACCTTCAGTTAGTCTACGACCCAGTAACTCTACTCCTAGGTGTAGACACAAGAGAAGTGGAAACATATGTCTACACAAAAACTTGTACATGAATGTTGAGAGCAAGATTATCTATAGTAGCCAAATAGTAGAAACAACCCAAATGTCTATCAGCTGATGAACAGAGAGACAAAATGCGGTACATATACACAATGGAACATTATTTTGCCATGAAAAGGAAGAAGTACTGATTTATGCTACAACATGGATGAAACTTGAAGCACTGTGCTCAGGGAAAGAAACCAGTCACAAAAAAACCATGTATTATTATTCCATTTATATAATGTCCAGGACAGGCAAGTCCATAGACACAGAGAGTAGGAAAAGAAAGTAGATTAGTGGTTGTCTTGACTGGGGGCTTATCACTAAAGAATATGATTTTTTTTGGTGGGGTGATGTAAAGGTTTTCAAGCTGACTGTGGTGAATCTACTTTGTGCAAAAGAACCAAACTGTCGTTTCTCTTAAATTATTCTATAGGTTAGACTATAGTTACTCTGTTTTCAATTCATGAAGCTTTTTCTTTTCAAAAAAATACAGATCTTGTTGGCATATAGCACTATATTACAGATTAATATCTGTACACATAGCGAAATGATCATAAGAAACGTAGTTAAGCATCTATCACAACAGTCACAGAAGTATTTTTCCTTGTGATGAAGTAGTTTCATGAGTTTTTTTTTTTAATTTTTTTAAAAAATTTATTTATTTATGATAGTCACAGAGAGAGAGGAGAGAGAGGAGAGGCAGAGACATAGGCAGAGGGAGAAGCAGGCTCCATGCACCGGGAGCCCGATATGGGATTCGATCCCGGGTCTCCAGGATCGCGCCCTGAGCCAAAGGCAGGCGCCAAACCGCTGCGCCACCCAGGGATCCCTCATGAGTTTTTTTTTTAAAGTTAGTTAGTTAGCTGGTTAGTTAGTTAGTTAGTTAGTTTGTGTATGTATGTATGTATGATTTATTTATTTTTAAACTTTTTTATTTATTTATTTATTTATTTATTTATGATAGTCACACACACACACACAGAGAGAGAGAGAGAGAGAGAGAGAGAGAGAGGCAGAGACATAGGCAGAGGGAGAAGCAGGCTCCACGCACTGGGAGCCCGATGTGGGATTCGATCCGGGGTCTCCAGGATCGCGCCCTGGGCCAAAGGCAGGCGCTAAACCGCTGCACCACCCAGGGATCCCTATTTATTTATTTATGATAGACAGAGAGAGAGAGAGGCAGAGACACAGGCAGAGGAACAAGCAGGCTCCATGCCGGGAGTCCGACGTGGGACCCGATCCCGGGACTCCAGGATCGTGTCCTGGGCCAAAGGCAGGCACCAAACCACTGAGCCACCCAGGGATCCCCAGTTTCATGAGTTTTTAACTGAATATACAACGAACCAGATGTCAGCCAAGAAACCTATATAATAAAACTTTATACTTTAATTATAGTCATTAGTCCTATTAAGTATTAAATAAGCATTTACCAGATGTGTAAAATCTCATAAAATACATTAAAAAAATCTAAGCTATGAAGCTATTAGAAGAAACTTTCCAAAATGTGAGTGCACATGTATGCATATTTGCCTATTTATCATAATATTTATGAGAAACTCTTCCGATACATGAGACTATATGTGTACAATGTGAGATCAGTTATACGTGTGTATACCTGCCCCTAATAGGTGTGTGTGTCAAAACAGGACACAGACATACTGAAAACCAGTGCAGTGTAAAACAGAGGAATGTTAATGGAATAGAAGAACATAAAGGAATACATTTTGAAAATGCTTAAGCTTTGCTGTGTGTCCTCGGTGAGAACAGGAGACACAGAAACTGAAATTGGGGTAAAACACACACAGATACAAACCCAAGTTGTGTTTCTAGAATCTGGACCCAAGGGCCAGCAGGCTAAGAAATGAAAAGGGAGTGAAACACTAGCAAAGAGGAATCAGACTGTTCACAGAAGTTGCCTCTAGAAGAGACCTGGCAACCTTCTGTGGATGGCCACACTGTATTTCAGGCTTCGTGAGCCACGTGGTCTCCACTGTAACCAACCAACTCTGCTGTGGGAGCTCGGAGGGCAGCATTGGACAATATGTGAACGAATGGGCACTGCTGTGTTTCAATAAAACTTTACAAATACAGGTGGGGGGCGGGACTTGGCCTGTGGGCCCCAGTTGTTAACTCTGCTAGAAAATGTTACAATACCAAGTTTGGATAGGAGAAAGTCAATTTCTTAAGCAGTAAGTGTACAGAATGAATGTCCTCCACTTCCCCACACGCAACAAAAGAGGGAGCGTGTGTTGGTCCTCATAATATTTTTCACCTCCCGCGGGAGCAAGTACTGCTTATTAGAAACCCTGTCACTTAGCCCCATGGGTGACAGCTTTCCACGCTAATGTATCACAGACACTCCTCACTGTCTTGTCTCTTGAAAATTCATCTTGTCTGTTTTCTCTCACCATCTGTATCTAACCCAGCAGGAAACACTGCTGGCTTTGCCTTCAAAGTGTCTCCAGAACCTGAGCACTTTCTGCCACCTTCACCACCTCTGCCTGAGGTCCTCCCCCCACCACCTGCAGGGCCACTGAGTTCCTGAAACACCTGCTTTCTTACTTGCCCCGCCAGTCCCCTCTTAACGAGCACCAGAGCAATCCTTGGAAACCTTACAATGTAACCCACTTCACTCAGACTACAAGTCCGAAGTCCTTAAAATGGCCCCTCAAACCCTATACATCTGCCCCCACTCCCTCCAAACCCTCTGAAGCTGCCCCGGTACTCACCAGAGTACCAGTTCCCAGAGGGTAACGATCTGCTGCGGTCACTGCTCTGCCCTAAGCACCTAGAATAATGCCTGCCCGACAGAAGGTGCTCGATAAATATCTGTCAAATGAATGTGAGCTATGCCGGCCACTCATTACTCCAGAAGAACAGAATAGCCTTTTCTTAATACAACACAAGCAGGGAAGAAGAGGGAGTACAGGGCAGCCAGCTAATTCGGCACAATTAACTCATGGAAGAACCCTATTCTGACCTGTCCGCTAATGAATCCCTGCTCCAGTGCCCAGGGGCTAACCTTAGGAAACAATGTTTACACATTATTATTGTTATTAAAAATGGAGCACTCTTAACAGTCATTTTTAAGTCAACTCCCACAGATCAGAGTGAGGGTACACTTTCACTCTGGACCAGAGAATACTGAGAGAGATGCAGCATCAAGTCAGACCAACCTATGAGAGCTCACACGTTCTCTCCTGTATGACACAGATGTGAAACGTTGGGGGATTATCTTTTCGTTTTTCAGCCGATCACATAGTGGCTTCACCCCAACTGTAGGTGGCATCTTGCCAACACAGTTGACAGTCTCAGGCCCAACACGCCCCGTGACCCCTGCCCCACCACACTGTGTGGAGCGGGGCTCAGGAGAGCTAGGACATGACACACCCTGGAAGACCCCCCAGCATCCTCATTGGCCTAGAAACACACCATTCTCGCACAGAATTTCCTTTTCCAGAAAAGTACATAAGTATCTGACAAAAATACTGATATCAGGGGATTGTATCGCAAAACAGACTGCATTCTACAAAAAGACTGTTGCATTATACAACAGGAAGGAGCCCTGGAGGTTAAAGCAATTAAATTCCGGGGTATGTGGTGTGAACTGAACGAGCCTAACAGGGTGAGGGCTCTGATCCTGAATGGTGGGCCCGCTCACGGCCCTGCATCTGAGCCTTCCACTCTTGCTCTCTGCATTCCGCTCCATCCCTCGCATCCCTGCCCCTCACTGCTGCACCCCAGGTCCCCCTCCCCACATACCCACACCTTGCACTTTGTCCTTTGTATCTCTATCACCTAAGATAAGAAAAATGTAAAATAGTAAGATAAGAAAAAACTGACTGCCTTTAAGGCTGTTCTACTGCGAGTGAGGTTCCGTGCTCGGAGGCAAAGTCTGTGACGCTGAATGAGCACCAGGGGCAAACCCAAGGTCCTCGGTGCCCCTGTGGCTGGTAGAAGCGCACAGGTCCCGCTCCTGTGTTGCACGCACACAGGGGCATCTGCTCCCCACCAGTTACTTAATCCAACTAAGACAAGTCAGGTCCTCAGTGGTGTCTAAAATTTTTACCATTTTTCACTATTACTCAAAACAAATGCAAATGCTTACCAGTACCTCAGATAAATAATTCAGATTTGTCCAGGTATTTATTCATTATATAGATGCGGTCAGTTATGAGAAGATGGATTATTAAGTATCCAGCTAAATATTTTTTCCTCTTGCAATCAGACTACCTACTTATTTTTTTTTAAATTTCAAGACAGAACCATTGTCAGAGAACAAGACCTGGTACCATGAGAAGGATAAAGGCTGGGAGGCTTCCCCAAATTCTTCAAGGGTGGGGCACCTGGGTGGCCCAGTGGTTGAACATCTGCCTTTGGGCATGACCTGGGGTCCTGGGATCAAATCCTGCATTGGTTTCCCTGCAGGGAGCCTGCTGCTTCCTCTCCTTCTCCCTCTGCCTACGTTTTTGCCTTTCTCTGTGTCTTTCATGAATAAATGAATAAAACCTTAAAAAAAAAAAAAAGTGATTCTTTAAGGGTGACTCCCTCCCCTGGTAGCAAAAAGGGTTACCTTACATGCCAGTGAGGCATTATACTGAATTATGTCTAACATAGACTACAAGAAATCCCACAAAGGTATCTTCAACTATTGTCTTCTTTGATTGAAAATGGCTATTTGGAAAAGAAAAAAAGTGACTACAAAAATTGCCCTATGGAGAGATTCCATTCTGCTCAACAGGTTTTACTAAACACCAATAGGGCAGCGTACTTTCTTATTAGACAAGCTGGATTGATTCAGCAAATATTTTGGAATTTCTGATTAAATTGTTTTTGAGAAGACTGTTACTAAGGAATTTTATCTTAGTGTTCATGGCAACCAGATTTTTGGCAAGAGCACAAATAAAGATCTAGGACAAAAAGTAAAATATTAGTAACATGCATTGTTATGCACATGCTGTATCTTAAAGGCTACAGGAATGGAACAAGCAGATTTTAAGTTCTAGGGTTCTGTTTTCTGCTTTTTAGTTCACAGACTATGGGAAAAGTGAAAGAATTATTTGATAAAAATGAAATCATTCCATACCTTTCCTGATTTTCGGGTTGGACTGAACTTCCAGTATCACGGTTGTTACTGTATCTGCGTACATATCGTTGGAAGGGTTTGCTAACCACTGCGAAGCAAAAGGCAGAATTAGGAAGGTGTGAATACAGCCAACTGCAAAAGCTGTGAACCCGACCATCCACGGACTGTACCTATGGGACTTCTGTGTCTAGCATTTTCATTGACATTAACTATTTCCTGAAATTACTAATGCTGGACTTCAGTACTGTGTTTCAGAAGCACACAGCATGGGAAGAGGGTAATATTTTTAAACATTTACTTTAATTACCCACACAAAGCCTAGGACCAGTTGCTCCTGCACATGCCCAGTGCTCTGAGATAGTTTTCCTTGTCTGCCAGGTTAGGGTGAGACCAGGTGAATTCTTTCAGGAACGAGAGCCTTCCCTAATGTGTAAGGAGCACCTGGGTGGCTCAGTCGGTTGAGTGTCCAACTCTTGATTTCAGTTCAGATTGTGGTCTTGGGGTCATGAGATTGCCCCAAGCATGGGCTCTGAGCTCAGTGGGGAGTCTGCTTAAGATCTTTCCCTCTGGGGCAGCCCCAGTGGCGCAGCGGTTTAGCGCCGCCTGCAGCCCGGGGCATGATCCTGGAGACCCTGGATCAAGTCCCATGTCAGGCTCTCTGCATGGAGCCTGCTTCTCCCTCTGCCTGTGTCTCTGCCTGTCTCCCTCTCTCTCCATTTCTATGAATAAATAAATAAAATCTTTAAAAAAAAAAAAGATCTTTCCCTCTGACCCCACCCTGCTTGCACACACACACTTTCTCTCTCTAGAAGAAATGGCTAAAATCTTAAAAAAAAAAAAAAATGTGTAAGAACAGACCAGTAGATGATCTGGATGGAGAATTTACATATGATTCTACCCTGAGGCAGAAAAATGGATGCGGTACCTCCCTGGATCACCTAGTTCCAGGATTCACTTTTGAAGTCCTTCTTTGGGGATGCCTGGGTGGCTTAGTGGTTGAACGTCTGCCTTTGGTTCAGGGTGTGATCCCAGGGTTCTGGGATCGAGTCCCACATTGGGATCCCCGCAGGGAGCCTGCTTCTCCCTCTGCCTGTGTCTGCCTCTCTGTCTCTCATGAATAAATAAAAAAAACTAAAAAAAGGGCCTTCTTTGAACTTAACAGAGGCCAAGCTATCAAAATCAACCATCAAATTAATTTGGTGTCTGGGTTCCAGATACTACCAGTAGGAATTTAAAATTCTAATAGTAGGAACCAATTCAATGGTTTCTAGCCTTTGTGTATTTGGGTCATTTTTAATATTGCTGATTCGAATTTTAAAAATTCCACTTTCTTTAAGAGTGCTGTGTGACAAGTCTGTTTGTTTCAATGTAACAGAATTTCATTTTTAGCTTGAGCATGTTGGATATTTTGATATAACTGAAGACATCCAGGGCTATCACAAAATTAGTTGAGCCTTTCTCATTTGAGACATATATTCACTACACATATTAAATATTAAGACTTAATTCGTTATTAGTTTCATTTTTCTTTTTAGCTAGGCTCCACGCCCAACATGGAGCCCAACACGGGGCTTGAGCTCACAACCCTGAAATCAAAACCTGAGCTGAGGTCAAGAGTTGGGATGCCTAACCGATTAAGCCACCCAGGTGTCCTTAATATTAGTTTCTATGTTACTGGAACTACATAGAAAATGCTCAGCTATGTCATATTTAAAGCTGATTTGGGAAAGATAAATATGCACATATATACATATTTTTTCCTGATTGAGAAGAAACAAGTTTTCTCTACAATTATACGTGAAGTCTTAAAACATTTTCCCCCTCCTTGTTAAGGTAAATGATCCTATCTTACTTCTAATACCACCATTCCTGGCTCCTGTATGACAGTAATATTTTTGAATACTTTCAGAGCAGGTTTTTCTTGAATTTCTAACTCTTCCACATCACCTGAAAAAAAAATATGAAGACATATAATTTTTTGATAATCTTCCATAAGTATCATTATTCCTTGTTTATAGAGAGACAGCTGAAATAAATGTGATACACAATGAAAAAGATTAATTTGCTCATTTATATAGTTAGATTTCAAATAAAGTTTTCTGTGAATTGCTTAGAGCAACTGAAAGATCTCAATGTCAATATGTATTAAAAAAAATTCATATAATGAGGCATGATTTACCTTGGACATTCAACATTTTATTAACCACAAACTCTGGTGACTGTCAAAAATCTGTGTTTGTATAAGAGATTTAGCCACCAGCATCTTAAAATTTAACATGAGACCAGTCAACTACTGCCACCTAGTCCCTTCTGCCTTCATCTACACAGGCTTTATCATTCTACAGGAAAATTCTGTTGTCTAAGAGGAGACCTTCCTGGTCTCCCAGCAACCTCTTAATTAAATATTAATCCAGACATATTTTATTAACTTTCTATGTGATGACCTATAATTCTAATATGAGGGTCTGAAGTAAAAAAAGGATTTTCTTTCTATTGGTTTATTCATGGTTGTATTTTGCTATTTGAATTATCAAGAGCATATTAATAAAAAGTGTAATTTGTAATTCAAAGTGTTCCTGCTTATTAGAGGGAATCCACACCTTTTAACTCAGGCATTGTTTCTCATTCTGTTCATAAATAGAAATCTCTAATTCAAAATGGTCTAATATGAAAACAGAATAGGTGGGACACTGGGGTGGCTCAATGGTTGAGCATCTGCCTTTGGCTCAGGGCGTGATCCCAGGTCTGGGGATCGAGTCCTGCATTCGGCTCCCTGCGAGAAGCCTGCTTCTCCCTCTATGTCTTTGTCTCTCTCTCTTTGTGTCTCTCATGATAAATAAAATTGTAAAAAAAAAAAAAAAAAAAGAAGAAGAAATAAAACAGAATACTGTTTTACTGGTCTGTGGCCAGTGGTCATGTGTTCTTATAAAACCTGCTGTATAGACTGGTACTGATGGAACAAGAAAACTTATTTTCTGAATAAGAGATAGATAAAAATTTAGCAATAGTATACTAAACCGGATTTTAAACACAGGAGCAAAGACTACTGATATTTCTAGAACTTTCAGTGGATCAGGGATAAGAAGTATAATTCAATTAAAAAAATTTATGAGTACATTTTCAAAAATTCACCTAAAGCTGGTAACATGTCCCAGTGAAGTGCAAATAAAATTTGTGCAAATCCTGAGACAATTACCCAAATTAAATAACATCCTGTCTCAGACATATAGTAATTCTTACTCAAAAGCGGAAAATAATTAAATGAATTTTTGTAAATATACACACCTGTCAATTTCTGTAGTTGATAATAGAGCAGATTAAAAGGGCCAGTATAGGGAATGGCTTGGGTCTGTTTTACAGTGCTCATGGCCAAGTCAGTATAATCTGAAGAGGAAATTAGGAAATTAGAATAAATACATTTTCAGTGATAATACTTGTCACAACAAAATACGATCTGCAAACACATATGGGAGTAGAGAGAAGTGAAAGTGAAGTAGACCAGAACGTGTTTTCAGAAAGCTTGTGAGGCACTCTTTCATTAGTTCTCACCCCACATTTCCCCCCTTAACTCCCTACCCCCACCCCCACTCCCAGACTAGTTAGCTTAGGCTTCAGCCCTAAGCCGGCAGCCTCACTGCCCTGAAAACATCGGGTCCCCGAAGGTCTCCAAGCCAGTAAGCCAGCTGTCCTCTGTTTTCCTCTGGGCATGGCTGCTCCCGATGGCCCTTCACCACCCAACATAAGTGCTACCTGGTCTGCAAAACCTTTCCTGACTCTTCTAGATCTTCTCTCCTTATATACTTATGCACTTCTCTGGGTCACTCATCAGTGCTGTGACTAGCTCTTGACAAGAGTGCTTCTCTCATTAGCTTTCCAGGGGCTGGGGCTGTGCTTTGCAGAGTATCTTTAGTCATCCAACACCTGGCCCAGAGTAAGACTGCACTCACCACTGAACAGAGGAGCAAGTTATGTTCACTGCATGAACATAACTTTCAGCCCATGCAGCCCACTGCATGGGCTGAAAGCGGACAGCGGGTCCAGATCACAGATGGCTATCTGGGCATTACTATTTCTTGTTCTTTCACATGACACTCATACTCGATTAGTGCTATATGCATAAAATTGAGCGTTGTTATTTAAGAAAATACCGTATTTACTGCAAAAGTAATGGTGGCCCAGCATTTACACAGGCACACAACATAAAGGCCCCACAAACAAGGAGACTCTAGGTCCTAAAGATCAAAATGTGTGTGTGGGGAGGCCAAGGTTACTACAGAAAATAAAAGCACCAGAACTCCAGTGTGAAAAGTGGAAACAGGCTTGTACAGGGTCAGCAGGAGTGGTCAACAGTCTAGAGGTGATCTCATGTTCCCAATTAAGAAAAAGTTATTTCACAAAGAATGCAAACATTTAAATAGTTCAAGAAAGAGTTTCCCCCCCATAAAGCTATGTGATATAAACTCATTAATTTATATTTTATTACTTGGCTATTCCTTAAAATTTGGCCATCAGCAAGAGAAGCATCCATAGATTTTCTTTCAATGTTAAAATCAATTTATATTTGACAATTAATAGTATACTTACTGGAGAGGTCACAAGGAGAAAGTATGTGATAATTAAAGTTTCTTTTAACAAGTATTCCCGAGACCCGCTGGCCTTGTTCTGGTTTTTTGTCTGCTAAAAAGCCCATGACCTATTAAGAAAAAAAAGAAGACAGAATCCTAGAAAATGCAATTATTCTGATACTCAGTCATAATGATGACCATCAGGCATTTGAAATCAAAAGTTGGGCGCTTAACTGACTATGCCACCCAGGCACCCCTGTAGTTAAAACATTTTTAAGTGCTGCATACTGTATTTCTTGAGGGTTTATAATGCACAAGGGCCTAATAAAAACTCTGAAAAGTCCTACTGTGAAGAAATCAGCTTAACCTTGTTCAACTCTACTTCTCCTAAATTGTCTTACTGTAAAACTGTCTCCCTCCCCAAAGCTCAACCAGCAGTTTGGGAAATTCAATTCTTAGATTCCTAACTGAATACATCTTCTATAGGTATAAGATCGCGTCCAGTAAACTGGCCACTGGAAAGTTTTGTGAACAGGGGTTAATTCAGGAGTAAATACAACCATCTGTCTGTCCTTCGGCAACAAAAAGCCTTACATCCTAACTTTTGCTTTTTTTCCTCTCAAACTTAACTGCAAGGAAGGATATTCATCAATTAGCCTTCTCATTTCTGGCTCATTATATAAAAGAATTGCTGTAAAGTTGCTCATTAATATATGTCTGATATTATAACTTCAGATAATCATTAAAAAGTTTCCCTTAGAAGTATCTTGAAAAAACTCCTAACAGGAGGCACAAATGCAGATACCTTACCACATCCCTCTAAAATCTCAGGAAGATTTTTAACTATTTATTTATTTAAAAAGATTTTATTTATTTATTCATGAGAGACAGAGAGAGAGACAGAGACGTAGGTAGAGGGAGAGCCCGATGAGGGACTCAATCCCAGGACTGCGGGATCATGTTCTAAGCCAAAGGTAGATGCTCAATCTCTGAGCCACCCAGGCGGCTCAACTATTTTATTTTTAAATTCTGAAAATACTATATTTCAATATCAAAAACAGACACTTTTTATAAGTTCCACCATATCACATTTGTTTATTTATTTTTTATACCACATATACATTTAAAAATATGAGCTTATCTTTAGATTCTTTAGGAGAAGGACCAGTGGACAGAATACTATATTAGATGTAGTAATAAAACAGTAATGGATATTTGTTTATTTTCAGAAACAGGGAGGAAAAGAAGTGGTGATGTGGATGACAAAACTATCAAATTCAACTGCACTACGGTCTAATGTACTTGAAAACTTTCTATGTGAAGAAATGAATTAGTAGGACCAGAAGAAGACCTAAAAAAGCAAACGAGTATAATTAATATACTAAGCAAACAGAAAATCATCATTAAGGACATTATCTTGCTTTGATTAAAAGAAGTCTGTATTTTGGGATCCCTGGGTGGCGCAGCGGTTTGGCGCCTGCCTTTGGCCCAGGGCGCGATCCTGGAGACCCGGGATCGAATCCCACATCGGGCTTCCGGTGCATGGAGCCTGCTTCTCCCTCTGCCTGTGTCTCTGCCTCTCTCTCTCTCTGTGACTATCATAAATAAAAAAAAAAAAAAATTCTTAAAAAAAAAGAAGTCTGTATTTTTAAGACATATACATTTCCCTTTAGAAAAGGCCTGCATAAAAAAAAAAAAAAGAAAGAAAGAAAGAAAGAAAGAAAGAAAAGGCCTGCATAAGATTAGAAACCACACTGGGACGCCTGGGTGGCTCAGTGGTTCAGCATGTGCCTTTGGCTCAGGGTGTGATCCTGGGTTCTGGGATCGAGTCCCGCACTGGGCTCCCTGCGAGGGGCTTGCCTCTCCCTGTGTCTCTGCCTTGTTCTGTGTCTGTCATGAATAAATAAATAAAATCTAAAAAAAAAAAAAGAAAGAAAGAAAGAAACTATAACTTTTTACCTTAGCTAACTTTTCTCCTCTGAAATTCAAGGTCACAGCTTCTGTATTCCGAGGATTATGAACCTCTATGTGAACTTCATCGTTATCCTCATATTCTCGAATCAGGGCTGCTTTCAATCTGGCCATTTCATTCTGTTCTCCATGGACTAAAATCTACATAGAATGAATTGGAAGAGAGCACAGAGAAACATCCTGAGTTTGGGTTAATGACGGTTCCTATCTGACTTAAATATATGACACCGACATATACTTGCAAGTCATTAACTTAACTACTGTGAAGGGCCTCCAATCAGACTTGTACAGGTATTCTCATTGTTTGCCTTTAAAAATCCTGAAGTGGAACTATTTTAAGAGAGAGTAAAGACTTCCACCTCAGGTTTTGCCACTAATGAGTTATGCAGCTTTATGGAAGCTGGCTTTTTTCTAGACTCCTCTGCTCAACTGCCAAGGGCTGCACCACATGACTTCTTTAGCCTCTACCAGCTTTAGATGCAGGATTCTTGTATGAAACTAGTGCTACTCTTAAATGCAGAAAATACCCAATTTTCTTTAGGTTTCTTAATACAAGACTTTCAAAAGAAGCTTTTTATGGGGGAAAAAATAGACTGGTGATATTTTCTTCCATTTATTATAGTAATACCAAATAAAATATTTCAGAACGAAATGAAATTCCATCTGAGAGATATTTACAGTTGTATTTGAAACCAGGTTCTTCCTATTTACTTTTGTAATCTATACCTTACAAGACCGAGTATTCTTAAACCTGCACACTACTGGTTGATGATTTCTTGCCTGGGCTTACAGAAGCCTACCCAGCATCACTACTAGGCAGAGATGTATGGCTAAGTAAAGAGCCCTGGCTTTGATGCCTGGCTGCTTAAACACTAGCTATGGCAACTAGGGCAAGTTACCTAACATCTCAGTTTTTGCATCTACAAACAGTTGTTGGTTGTAAGGAGTAAGCAAGTTGGTATCACGTGTAAACTATGAGTACGGGGTACCTGGCTGGCTCAGTTGGTAGGGCAGGTGACTCTTGAGCTTGGGGTTCTAAGTTTGAGCCCCATGTCAGGCATAGAGGTTACTTAAAACATGAGAACAGTACCTGGCACATGGTAAATAATAAATGCTAGCTGTTATTTATTATTACCACCAACACTATGGTTATTCTATCACGTAGATACACTTTTGCTGACCTGGTTATTGAAGGAAGGTAAGCATCGAGTTCAATCCAGGAATTTAAACTGTCGGCACAGAGAGAGCCTGAAGAGCAATGAAATGGGGCTGAGGAAGAGGTGGTGAAAGCCGAGAGGAAAAGGCAATACATCTCCTCCCTGGCTCTAACATGTGGGAGCGTTTCCATGAAACACACACACACACACACACACACACACACACACACACACGGGAACCCCTGGCAGGAGCTGCACTGTAACAAGATTCAACACCTCACGATGCTAAAAATTTTTCTCCACCCAAGATTCTGCCGATTAAGGGCTGCTGGCAAATCCCTGCAAGGACTCCCATGCCAGAAAGAACTCAGAATAACAGAAGATCACATGAAAGGGCGCTCGGCATCATCCATCATTAGGGAATGGACGATGGAAACCACAGTAGACATAGACACCACTGCATGCTTATGGGGAACGGCTAGAATTACAGGAAGGCAAATAGCACGTGCTGGCAAGGACATGGAGAAATTGGAACATCTGTGTACCACTGGGGGGGTCACCACAGCAAGTCATCACAGCAAGTTGGGTGACTCCTCCAGAAATGAACAGTAGAATTACCCTGTCACTCGGGGTGAGAACGGGCACTCAAACAGGTGCTCAGAGGCCAGTGTTCACCACCGCACGCATACACCACATGCATGAATGTGGTCTATACGGTGTTTACCTGCAAAGGGGAAGGGAGTTCTGATACGTACTACGGTGTAGAGGAACCCTGAATGCAGAAGGTAACATGCTATTGGATATTTTGCTTAATAGGTACAGTTTCTGCTTGGTGCGATAAAAAAAATCTGGGAATAGGTGGTGTGATGGTGCACAACACTTTGGATGTGATTCACGCCACAGAATTCTATGCTTCTTCCACAGAACTTATATATGGCAACTTATATATTATATATATTTTCCCACAATGAAAAAACCAGCAAAAGGCTATTTCCTCTAAACATCCTTTTTAATACATTCAGAAAGGGCACTCCATCTGTTTCCCCCCCTACACCCTTGTTCCCTGAGTGTTCTGTTGATTTAAAATACCTATTTTTTTTCTAGCTTTCTTCTCTTATCCCCTCTCCAACCTCACCAAAATGGAACTTATTTTCGTTATTACATAAAACTTAAAAAATATAAACAAAACACATCAGTAAGGAGCTATGTGATTTCAGATCTATTTGGATCTTTGATTTTTACTATTATGTGATTTGTCTTTCTCTTCTTTCCCTATTATTGAGCATTTACTCTATGCCAGGCACCATATTACATGCTTTAGATATATGTTCTCTCATCCCTTTCTCACAGCTGCCTTATGAGGCATTATTATCCCTTTTTACAAATGGGGCAGGGAGAAGTTAAGTAACTTGCCCAGCGTTACCCAGCAAGTGAGGGATGGAGCTGGGATTCAAAACAAGCAGTCACCAGCAAAGCCTGTGGTCTTAAGTTATTGGGGAGGCAGCAAAAAATGACAGAAAGAGCCCTGGAGTTGGGTTTGGGGGGCTGATGAGGGACCCCAGGTAAGTGGAGACAATCAGAGCGCACACCTTCCTAACTCAGCAGGGAGCTGCAAAGGTCAGGTCCAGGTGCAGGCAGAGGCCACCGGAGAAGGGCTACCCTAATGACAGGCAGCGTTTGATTTGAAAACCAAATCGGCTATAGTCTCTTGGGTATGTTTTCTTCCCCTTTAATGTCATAAATCAAATTCATAGACTAACCACATGAGGAGGTTTCAAAGCACGAATAAATTCACTGGTTTGCTGGTAATCTGTGTGAGCAGAGAAAGAAATGTAATCAACAGACATTTTCAGTGGTAGCTTCTGTCCAGACATGGTAGTGATCTCTTCTGGCTCAGACATGATATGCTGTTAAACAGAAACAAAAATAAAAGAAACAAAACAAATAAACTACCCAATTAGAAGAGAAAAGGCACATTTTCTATTTGTTACTGCAGCCAAAAACTTTTACGTTAAATTCGGGACTGTTAGCACACAAAGCATTTTAACAATTGACTCAGTAAATATCAAATACTTATGTTCTTGGTCAAGCAAATATTTTATCAGGAAGGTAAGCAGGTTAGCTAAAATTCAATGTATTTGGAGCATTGGAAGTGGCAACCGTAACTTATGACCAGAAAGGCAAACTTGTATTCCCAGCTATTCTCCTGTTCTAGAAAGTCACTTTTCAGACAGATGTGCTTCTATTCTGGAAATCTACTTTAAATCCACAACCAAGGTTGCCTGTGTGACTTAGAGAATACGCTAAAGTAGTAAAAATGGGGAATCATAACATATTTTAAAAAATAAGACAAGTTCTAGAAAGAAGAGATAAGAGGATGTGATGATTAGATGCTCAGAAACTGCTTCTGGGGCTCAGCACCTATTTCCTACAATTTGTAGGAAATGTCCTCAAGAGTTAACATCAACCGTTTTGTATCAACAAGAAGATAGGCAATCAACCTAGACACTTGTGACTTTTCAAGAGAACACATATTTGCAAACTTCTTCTGTGAATGAGGGTTGTCTTTTGTATTGGTGTTTTTGTATTGGTCTCAAACGGGTTCCTTTCCATAGTTTTTACTGCGACCAGATGGGTGATCCTTAGGCTTCACTGAGCCACCTTGGCAATTCTGATTAGGAATAACATGGTGGTCTAAGACCATGGCTGACCTTGGCAAGTGTCCCTTCCACACAGTACCCTGCTATAATGACGCCGTTCCTCTTATCCGTGCACCAGCTTTCAAAGAGCTCTCTGGATAAGCCACTCTGCATCATGCCCGGGGAGGCCATCACAACGCTGGGACCAATGTCATCAAAATGATCCATGCTCTAAAAGAGAAAAAGGAATGGAAGAGGAATGCTAAGTACCAGGTTGGCAAGGCATTCCTTGTTTTTAAAAAATAACAAAAAGCTAGGTGAAAAGGTTAATCACACTACTGAAAGGGCCTCAAGACTAGTGATAAACATTTTAAGTCTGATATCTAAGTTCCTAAACAATTTAGGCTAGGAATGAAAGGAGAGCAAAGTGATAGAAGGCAATTAGCTCACACTGACCTTTTAAACCTTCTACCAGAATTAATGGACTATTAGGACCATTTTTATTGCTAGGCAGGCAGGAAAAAGTAAGAGTCAAATGGCTTCCTATCTGTCCAAGATAGAACTCTAAAAGAATTCTCCTGCTCACAATGGCTTTGCATACTTCATGAATATTTTAAGCTACTTAAAAATCTAACCAAAAAAGTTTAACATTGTTTCTAGGGAAAATCTGGGTCTAATTCTTAAGCAACTAATTTAGAAAATAATAATGAACAAAGCCCATTTATAACTGGAAGAGGACTTATAGCTTGAATTATTTGGAGGCATTATTTATTAAGATTAAAGCATTAGTTTTAATAAAACAATACTTCTGTTAAAACTATTTTTTAACAAAAGGAAATCAGACTGTATTGAATGTTCTACAAAAGTAAACATGAAAATTTTCATACGTGGAATTTGCAAGGCAAATCAGAAAGATGATTAGGTCTGAGCAAGAATAGAAAAACTTAATATGTGATGTAAGATTTTTTTTCATCAAGACTTCCTGTTCCTATGGCAGAGAGACCCAACTAAATCAGCAAGCGTAAATACTGAGAATGTATGGAGAGTTGGAACAAGTGGCGAAATCTGTTTCAGCAGAAAAGAATGCCAGTTACCAGATTTTTGTTTTCAGGCAGAAAAATGGTGCCTGCTAGAGAAACAGTGAGACCTCAGCAAGAAGGACTGGCTCCAAATCAATGGCAGGCAGCTAAGAGCACTATGGACTCTGTGTTTACGGGTCTGTCAGCTTCCTTCCTCGGCACTCACCTTGAGGTTACTAATGTGCTTGAAAACAAAGGGATTATTGATGTTGATCTGTTTGCGGATTTTGTCATTCATGGCATTTACATATGTCTGGTACACCGCCATGCACTTCTTGGCCAAAGACGATGCGTAGTATATGGGGATATCATGGAGTTCTGGGTGGTTCTGCCAATATTCATCTAGAGAGATTTTATAAGAAACAAATTTCGTTTTGTGATGTGGGGTAAATAGTTCAAATAATAAATGATACATGTAACTGGTTTTAAGAAATTCAGACAACCAAGAAATAAAGCATGTGACTATGTACATATAAAACAGTACGTATATACACAGCCACATATATACATATTTCTCTATCTCACAATTTCTATAAATAACTAATTTAAGTGTTAATAGCAAAGATAAAAGGTTTGGAACCCCCTGGAGTGTGGGAAGTACAATTTGTAATTACAAGCACAGAACGATTGATTCAACCTGTCAGCCACGGCTGCAGTAGTCATTACACGGTTAAGGGTAAGCCACGTTTAATGACACTGCTGTGCACGGCGACGGGAAGCCGGGGGTGAGGGTGCTGGGCTTGGACCTTGGTTGCCTTCCTTGAGACCATCTCCTCTCTCAGGTCCCTTCTGGTGCTTTCTATAGTAGGCCATGTCTTCATGGCTCTGCACCTGGTTTCTCACAGGGCTGGGCCCTACCTGCAGATACCCATGTAACAATAAGCGGACCCTCCTTCCTGGGACTCATTCCTTGTGGATCTCGCCCCCAGGAGGGGTCCTGTTCCATCCTTGCTTCCCAATTTTCCTGGACAGTCTGGGAACACCAATACTTTTCAGTACAATCCGTCTTGCTTTGGTCAATGAGCCTGCCGGAAGGCTGCCTGTAGCGGAGGCTCTAGCTTCTGCTCCCTAGTTTCCCTAGAGGCCCTGCAGCTCTGTGGCAGGGATGGCCAACGGCACCAGAGGGGCTGACATTCCCCGGGTGTGCCGAGTAGGACTCACATAGGGTGTCTGCAACCACAGGGAGAGAGCAGAGTCTGCATCTTACAGAAGGAAAAGAGGTTCAGAAATACCAAACCCCTTGCCCAAGATGCAAGGTCACACATCAGAATGTGGGCAGCTAGGCTTTGATGCCAACAGATGGCCCAAGGCTCTGGGATGCAGCCTCTGGTTGGAAAGGGTGCTTCTTCATGTAACACACGTTGGTCAGGGATCTCTGGGTGGCTCAACGGTTTGGTGCCTGCCTTCAGCCCAGGGCCTGATCCTGGAGTCCTGGGATCAAGTCCCGCGTCAGGCTCCCTCCATGGAGCCTGCTTCTCCCTCTGCCTGTGTCTCTGCCTCTCTCTCTCATGAATAAATAAATAAAATCTTTATTAAAAAAAAAAAAAAAACAAAAAAACATGTTGGTCCTTCTTGTGCTCTGGCTCCAGTCCAAGGCGGAGGCTATAGCAGAGCAGCAGGAGAGACATTCAGGCTCCTAGGTGCCTGGCCCTGGCTAGGCTAACATTTTTTCCCCCAAAATTGAAGTATAATTGACATACAATATCCTATTAGTTTCACATGTACATCATAGTGATTCAATATTTTTAAACACAACAAAATGATCCCCATGGTAAGCCTAGCCACCATCAGTCACCAAAGTTATTACATTATCACATACTATTCCCTATGCTGTATATCAATTACATTTCCATAACTTCTTTATCTTATAACTGGACGTTTGTACCTCTTAATCCCCCTCGCCTATTTCGCTCGATCCCTAAGCCCTCTCACCTCTGGTAACCAATAATTTGTTTTCTGTATCTATGAGTCTGTCTCTATTTGGTTTTGTTTGTTCATTTGTTTTGTTTTTAGATTCCACATGTAAATGAAGTCACACAGTCTTTGTCTTTCTCTCTGACTTCTTTCACTGCATAATACCCTCTAGGTCCATACATGTTGCAAATAGCAAGATTTCATTCGTTTTTATGGTGAAGTGATATTCTCCACTGTCTATATACACTATACTTTCTTTATCCATTCATTCATTATTGAACACTTAGGTCATTTCCAGGTCTTAGCTATTGTAAACAATGCAACAAGAGGGGTGCATATATATTTTTAAATTGGTATTTTAATTTTTTTTTTGGATAAAAACCCAGAGGTAGGATTCCTGGATTGTATAGTATTTCTATTTTTTACTTTTTGAGGAGCCCCCGTACTGTTTTCCTCAGTGGCTGCACCAATTTACATCCCCACCAACAATACAAAATGGTTCCCTTTTCTCCACATCCTCATCAACATTTATCTTTTTTTTTTTTTTTTTTTTTTGTCTTTTTGGTAATAGCCAATCTGGCAGGTGTGAGGTGGTATCTTACTATGGTTCTGATTTGCATTTCCTTGATGATAAATAATATAAACATCTTTTTCATGTGCCTGTTGGCCACCTGGATGTCCTCTGTGAAAAAATGTTTCTTTCAGTCCTCTGATCATTTTTAAAATCCAGTTGTTTTTTGATTTTAAGTTGTGTAAGTTCTTTATAGATTTTGGCTATTAACCCTTTATCACATGTACGATTTGCAAATATCTTCTCCCATTCAGTAGACTGCCTTTTTGTTTTGCTTAATATATTTTAAAGAGTTCAAGAAAATTAGCCTGGTTCTAACTTAAACTTGCAAAATCAAAACTTTATTTTACATACTAGTGCATGACCTAAAAAGAATATTGTGATCACAATCCCAAGATGTAGAACCTTTTAAAAATGATTCAGTAGAAGTTTACAATGAATAACAGACCATAACTATTACCTTAAAGAGACATTAATTCTGGATAGTTTTAAATGAAAATGTACTCTCAATATTTCTTTCTTTTTTTTTTAAAGATTTATTTATGAGAGAGAGAGAGAGAGAGAGAGAGAGAGAGAGAGAGAGAGAGAGAGGCAGAGACACAGGCAGAGGGAGAAGTAGGCTCCACGCCGGGAGCCCGACGCGGAACTCGATCCCAGGACTCCAGGATCGCGCCCTGGGCCAAAGGCAGGCGCCAAACCACGGAGCCACCCAGGGATCCCCTGACATATTTGTTTAATAAAATGATGGGGCACCTGGGTGGCTCAGTTAATTGAGCCAACCTCTTGGTTTTGTCTCAGGTCATGATCTCATGGGTCATGGGATCAAGCTCCAAGTCAGGCCTGCGCTCAGTGGAGAGTCAGCTTGAAGATTCTCTCCTTCTGCTGACCCCCCAAAACAAATGTCTTTTAAAAAGATACCAAAATGATGAATACCCTTACTGATAAAATTCTCTTTGTATCATTTATTTCCCACAAATGGTACTGTTGGGTCAGAGGGTGACATATTTTTAGGACTCCCGAGGCTCACTGCAGGGTGTTCTGAAGCTGCTGGCAACCAGAAAGGACACCATTTATATTCCCAGTAGCAGTGCCCAAGGGTCACTGTTTCTTTGGGCACCACATGTTTTTAGATGCAGAAACCAAAGACCAGAAAGGCAGAATAACCGATCCAAAACCAAGCAACTACCTTGACAGAAAGACACTCCCAAGATTTTGAGAATCCCCCAATAAAAAGGAAAAGGCATACCTAAAATCAAGAGCAGCTCCTGAGCCCTTCCAAGGGCAAAGACAGGAATGAGGCCTCTGCCCCCTCTGTTTACAATGTCATGAACAGTGTTACAGAATCTTGCTTCTCGCTCTTCGCGCTTCTCATGGATATGGGTCCCATAAGTAGATTCCTAAATAACACATTAGAAGTATGAGACCAAGACTGATGATTCCCAAAGAAAACAAAAGTTAAACATCAATAAAATGCAGCAGCAAAGTGATTCATTTCCCCACTGACATGCCATTTACTTGAACACGTATTGTTATAATACTAATTGAAAGGAAGAGTAAATAAAAACGACAGAATTCAAATCTGGCTAAGCAGTTAAGACATTTTTAAAAAAGGAAACAGGAAAAAACTTAAAAATGTATCTTCCCTGCTCAAGAGAATTCTTTTTTATTTTTTAAACCATTTTGCTTTCCATGGATGGGCATTCCCGGGAGCTTGTTAGATGTGCTGAATCTTAGGCCCCAGCCTGGACCTGCTGAACCCAAATCTGTATTTTAACAATGACAGGATGATTCATACACAACATCAAAGTTTGAGAAGTACTGCACCAAAGAACCAGATATAATGAAAATAACTTTTTTTCTGAGGGTCAAAAAAACCCACAAACAAACCCCACAAAACTTCCCTTAAATTAAGATCAATTTATATGCAGGGTACCATTAGCTGAGTGAAAATGAATTCATTTATATTTTGCTTATGGACAGCAATATGCTGGGGTCTCTCATACTTGGGTAGTTGGGGATGTTATAGGTGATGGGAGAAACAGTTCTTCTGTCTTGAACTAAATATATTTAATATTCTTTTATGTATGATAAGTCCAAAAGATCTCTCTCCTAATCCCTGACCTCACTGTCCCAATACACATTTATTAATTTGTTCCTCATCAACCACCACCCTACCCCTCACCAAAAACTCTGTACAATTAATTTTTTATTCTCCTGTGACTTGCAAACTAGTAGGCAGCTACAACACACACACATATAAAGTTAGTGGGTGCTACAAGGTGAAACACAGTAACCATGGCAAAGGCAGTAAGGTCACATCATTCTATACAACTCTTAAGACGTTCTATTAGTTTGGGGTAATTCTCTTAGACGAAAATACTTAGGAGGTGTCGTATCATCTCTGATACAAGACTACAGTTAACATATTGAACAGCAAAAAGGTAGAGCTGTACTAAGAGAAACAAAAAGAAAAAAGAATTAAAAAACTAATACGTTTACATCTAATAACATATATTATGCAAATATGGTATTTTTTCCATTAGAAAAAACTCTGCTTACATTGCACTAATGAAAACACACAGCACTAATACTTACAATAATAAGAATATCAGGTTTAATATTAGGAATTTCAGCTGCCATTAAGTGTCTGTCTTCTTGTCTTGAGAAGTCGCCTGTGTACAAAAGCTGTGAAAAAAAATAAAGTGAGAAAGTTAGGATTTTGGAAGGTTTGTCTTCCTAGGAAAGTTTTCCTTTTGGAAGGTTTGTTTTCCTATATATCTAGCTCATAAAATCTGAAGGTGAAGTTTAGTAGAAAAAACAGCCTACAACGGATGAAATATAGATGCAATATTTGTATCTTTTTTTAAAATTTTTAAAGATTTTTTATTTATTTATTCATAGAGATGCAGAGAGAGAGAGAGAGAGGCAGAGACACAGGCAGAAGGAGAAGCAGACTCCATGCAGAGAGCCCGACATGGGACTCGATCCAGGGTCTCCAGGATCACGCCCTGGGCTGCAGGTGGCGCTAAACCGCTGCGCCACCGGGGCTGCCCCCAATATTTGTATCTAATTCAAAGTGTATATCTCAGTGCAGTTACACAAACCGCCCAGTGTTTCAATTATTCACTCTAACTTGGGGGAATGATACACTCCCAGGTGCACCCAGCATGCACAACCTGCATATTAATAATCCTGAGAAGTACTCTGAACACCTGAGACAAAAAGGGAATGATGGAAAGAAATCTAAGATATATGGAAAAACCATCTAGAGTGGAAGAGAAAAATTATGGGAGGGTATGCATCAAATTTCACATGGGAATTCAGATCTGCATTTGTGCTATTTTCTGTGCCTCTGAGCAAACAGAATAAATGATTTAGCAGCAACAGTCAGTACAACTCGTTGTGCAAACATTTCAAATGTATGAGTAATTGCTAACAGTTTGGGACAGTACTGCACTAGAGCATTGATTCTCAGTTCTGCCTACACATGGGAATCATCTAGAAAACTTAAAAAAACAAAAAAAAAAGGCCAGGGCCACACCATGAGTATAAACAGGCTAAGTGACTCTAACATGCACAAGGGGTAAGAGCTGGTGCTGTCATCGATCTATGCCTTAGGTGGCATAGGATGGTGGCAAAGATCTGTTCTGATTAACACCTGTGACTCATGCAGTTCCCCCCACCCATCTTCAGAGGCTTACATGTGTATCCCAGAACACCCAGACGACACAAATGCCTAATCACGGTTTAATGTGAAACAGGTACAGTCACAAAGACAGCTCTGCCCGCATCATTTTTCTAAAGGACCCTGGAAAGGAATCAATACTATGGTCCTGTGAAGAAACTTTAGGCTTTAGAGAAGCTGACTTTACTATTTCTAATCTTGAAACAGGAAATCTTACCTTGGGGTTATGACCTGTGATATTTAAAAGGAAAAAGTATCAATTTTTATCCCACATTTCAGTGTTTGGACACCTCACAAGTCTTAGGGAATCTCCTTGGGTGTCACTCGGGGGCAGAAAGCTCTGCAAGGATTTCTCTGGGGAAGGAAGCTGCCGGGGCAAGAGTACCTTCACGCCTGCGATCTCAATCATGAACATGGCAGCTCCCAGAACGTGGCCTGCGTGGTAACACCAAAACTTGATTCCTGCAACTTCTTTAACTTCATGGAAGTTGATAGTTTCAATTTTGTCCATGCTCTCTTCCAGATCCGTTTCTGTATACAGCATGTCGTCTGCCGATATGTTACTAAATATTTAATGAGGTCGACACAGAAGAAAATTACAGGTAAAAGAATTTTTTTAAAACTCTTTGAACTCAAAGAGACTATCTGTGAATAAAATAGCCACAAAGTTCTTTCACTGTATGGATTATGCTACTTACAATCTCTTGGACATTTTGTGTATTTTTTTACTAGGTAATTATAATCAAAGTTTGGTGTGTACAGCTATAAAGCATGATTTTAAGCAAAGTACACAATAACTTAAAGCAGCGGACTCTTATCATAGTATTTCTCAATATGATAGTTTTTCTTCCTGCCCCAATACTCGTTAGAGATCAACTTGCTCATATACTCAAGTACACTGAAATACAGCAGAGTTTCACATCAGGATGTGAAAAGATTTCTCTACGAGGTATAGTATAAGTTTTCTCCTGAAAATTATACTAATGTACTTCCAAAAAAGCAAAAGGGGGTTGTGGTTAAGGCCACAGACTCTTGTGCCAGATTGCTCGGGTCCAGATCCCAGCTTCATCTCTTACCATGACCACCACAGGCACATCACCTAACCTCTGTGTGGCTCAGTTCTACCACCTGTAAAATGGGCTTCATGACAGAATCTACATCATGAAGTCGAGACGAAGATGAAATGAGTTAATACATGTTGAGAAGTGAGGACTGCGTCTGCACATGCTAGCATTATTTAAGTGGTAGGCAGTATAATTACTAACAGTAACTCTTCCATTCTTGTCTATTTACATGTGAAGATAACAAATTGCCTCTTTGCTATTTTTGGAATGTACACATTAAATGGTAAACTCCTGAAGGCTAATAATTTATGCTGTAGGTATCACAAAAATGCTTCTAACTTTCCTGATTATCCTCTTACAACTAAAAAAAAAAACTTTCTTTAGGAAACTTTTTCACTTAAGATAGTAAATTGCTGTGATAAAATAATCTAAAATATGATTTCAGTATGTATCACTGTATCATGTACTTGATCTTAAATTTTAATAAAATCATAAAATTCTGTTTATAGAATATTGTTAGTGTATCTTATAATTCACCTAAATTACAAAGATTTAAGGATGTAAAAACTTCATAAGGACTTTACAGCCAAGAAGGTGCTGGCACATGATGGGTATTTGAGGAGTTGACATTGAATGACAAATAAGGGGCGCATGGGCGGCTCAGTCGGTTAAGTGTCTGCCTTCCACTCAGGTCTTGATCTCAAGGTCCTGGGACCAAGTCCCGCATCGAAGTCCCTGCTCATCGGGGAATCGGCTTCTCCCTTTCCCTCTGCCCCTCTCTCTCCCTAACTTGTGTGCTCGCTCACTCTGCTCTCTCAAATAATGATCCATATCTTAAATTGTATGTATTCTACAGAAGGAAATTCCTGTATAAACCTAATAGAGCAATTTACCTGACTTTGACATAATCTGAAAGAAGCCATCTATAAATAGCTTTTGTAGCATGAGTCATAAATGTTCTTCCTTTGAAACTTGTCTTCTGTAGAAACCAGGGCAAAGCTCCACAGTGATCCAAATGGAAACTTAAAAAGAAAGAAAATGATTCTGTTAGTTCTTAAAATACTATCCACCATATACTTTATGAAATGAAATCACTGTTCATTGTACAGAGTCCTATGTAATAGTTTCATATGGATACTTTCAGAACACCAAGGGTATCTTGTGGCAGAAGGAATAATGAATGCATCCAGTTCTAGTGTAAGAAGATATCAAAAGGATTTTTTAAACATCAAAATACTTGCCAGTGATAATTACAGAAGAAAGAACATACCCAAACCTCCTCTCAACAGCCAGAATTATAACAAGTGCTTTAGTGCCATGAAGCTGAAACATGTCACTTTTTACAAATGAAGTTCCCATAAAATGTGTCAAGGACAGTGATGTCAAGGAGATATTCCAGGAAAGGGCTTTCTTGGTTTCAAGTTTCACAGTGGTCCAAGGTGTACACTATCTCCTTCTCACTCTACAAGTAGGAGAGTATGTTTTTTATAGCAAGCGTTTCTAACCTGTGATGCCAATATGAAGTGCTATCTTAGATGTCTGCAACATGCTTCCAAATAGAAAATACTCTTTTATTTATTTCTTAAGATTTTATTTATTTAGGGGCACCTGGGTGGCTCAGTCGGTTAAGTATATGCCTTCCGCTCAAGTCATGAACCCGGGGTCCTAGGACTGAGTCCCATGTGGGATTCCCTGCTCAGTGGGAAGTCAGCTTTTCCCTCTCCTCCTTCTGCTCCCCCTACTGATGCTCTCTCAAATGAATGAATGAATGATCTTTAACATTTTTAAAAAATTTATTTTAGAGAGAGAGTGCATACCAGCAGAGGGAGGAGCCTCAGAGGAGGGTAAGGGAGAGAGAGATGAGGGAGATAAATCCCAGCAGACTCCCTACCAAGTGCAGAACTGGAGGAAGGGCAATCCCAAGGCGAGATCACCACCTGAGCTGAAACCAAGAGTCAGAAGCTCAAGCAACTGAGTCACGCAGGTGCCCCTTTATTATATTTTTCAAAAAATTCTGTTTATTGGGCAGCCCTGGTGGCTTAGCGGTTTAGCGCTGACTTTAGCCCAGGGCATGATCCTGGAGACCCAGGATCAAGTCCCACGTCGGGCTCCCTGCATGAAGCCTGCTTCCCCCTCTGCCTGTGTCTCTGCCTCTCTCTCTCTGTGTCTCTCCTGAGTAAATTAATAAAATCTTAAAAAAAAAAATCTTTTTATTAAGGGCACCCGCATTTTGGCTCAGGTCATAATCTTGGGGCCCTGGAATCAGCCCTGCATTGTCAGGCTCTGTGGGGAATCTGCTGGACATTCTCTCTCCCTCCCCCTCTGCTCCTCTCCCTCCAATTCTCATGCGCTCTCTGTAAATGAACAAATCTTTAAAGAAAAATTTATTTTATCTTTTTTAAAGATTTTATTTATTTTATTCATGAGAGACAAAGAGAAAGAGAGGCACAGACAGAAACAGAGGGAGAAGCAGGCTCCACGCAAGGAGCCTGATGTGGGACTTGATGCCGGGACTCCAGGATCAGGCCCTGAGCCAAAGGCAGGTGCCCAACCACTGAGCCACCCAGGTGTCCCAAGATAAATTTGTTTAAATTAACTCTACCACCCTCAATGTAGGACTCAAACTCATGACCTGGAGATCAAGAGTTGCATGCTCTGCTGACTGAGCCAGGCAGGTGCCCCAGAAAATACTCTTTTAAAACACCAGACTCTTAAAATCTGATTAACGACCTTTATAGTAAAAGTTCTTGAGAAACAGTGCTGTTAAGAAAGAAAATAACTTACTGACTAATTAACAGGAGATCAATCTCGGCTGGGTCAATTAAATCAATATATGGAAGAGCATCCATTCCTTCTAGGCCAGGGTGGATCCCGCAGTCTAGCTGCAGAGACAGAAGAAAGGATTACCATCTCCTACACGTTTTATTAACACTTATTTAAGAGACAATATTTAAAACAAATCCTTGACATACATAATTGAGATGGACTGTATACAGTAACACCTGCAATGCAATTCTTACTAAACATAGCAAATCTGGGGTACCCAGGTGGCTCAGTTGGTGAAGTGTCTGCCTTTGGCTCAGGTCATGATCTCAGGATCCTGGGATCGAGCCTCACATAGGGCTCCCAGCTCTCAGCGAGGAGTCTGCCTCTCCCTCTGCTCCTCCCCCAACCTGTGCACATTAGCTCGTGCTCTGTCTCATTCTAGTAAATAAATTCTTAAAAAAAAACAACAAAAACATTGCACATTAACAATTCTAACTCCCCAAATATAAAATATGGCTCACAGGATACCAGGCACCTTCTTTGCAGCTAGTTTTCGTAGTCACTCTAACAATGCATGAACTCTTTTCCAAAAACTTTGATATGAGAAGATGAAGTATCTAAGCTTCCAAAGAAGGGCTCTATCATCCCAGGCTACATGGGGCTGGCTGGAGCTCTGCGTGTTTGGGCATTCAGTTCTTTGGCTCTCTTTCACAGGGGTCAGGAGGGAAGTTAGGTTGGTGCGACCCCCCAGAAGTGAAAGAGGGACCTTGAAGAAGCAACAGTTCAGGAGACATAGTTGACAATCTTACAATTTTAGAATACATCTTCTCAGCTTACCTACTGTTTTGTCAAATTACTAAGCCCTAGTGTATATTATTTATTCACAATAATGTTTTACAGCCTAAGCTACATATACCAACTATGACACTTTTCTGGGCGCTAAGGAGAGAACCACAGTCCTGGAAAAGATCTAACCCCAAAAGATCTCTTCCCCTGGAAAGGATCTACTAGTACAACAGACAGAGCCATACTATTAACCTGACTGCAAAATAATTACCATTATTTTTCTTCCTTTGAACTCCAGGATAATACATGATCGTCCTACTTCTTGTCCAGCGCCACTGCAAACATAAGGAGAGAAGAAAAGAGGATTAAAAACAAAGTCAAGCCCAATAAATCCAAACCTTTTTACAATTTAAATTATGCCCCATTTGATGACAGCATTTATCTCACGCAGATAAGAATTCGAGAAACGACAAATATAGGGAAGAACAGTATCAATGTGGGAAAAGATGGAAAGTGATCCTTGGGAGTTTTCGGGACTTTGCAGCTGCTAAGATGGCGAGATGAGATGGTACAGATGCAAGAAGCCCACGATGAAATTCAATCTTCTAAACCTTAGGGTTAAATCATGAGGTAATGGAAATGAAATCTCAGTTATGCAGATTATGTGATCATACTTCTAGGATCAGCACTTAAGTTGTAAACCCATAAGCACTTCAAAACTCTTTCACGGTCTTTAAGAGCCTAAGACACACTCACTACATAGCTTCAATTTCAACAGATTTATTTTATTTGTAGCTGCGCCTCTCACTCCCTTTCCCCTCGAGCTTGTTATTTCAGGATCCTGGATGCCCGGGATTTCAACAATTGTCCTTTCTTCTTAAATGAATAAAACAGCCTTAATTTCCAATTATCACTAGATGCCCTTGCAGCTGAACCTCAGCTGTTGCTGCAGCCCCTCACCTTCTCTGAGGTCTTTTCCCACCTGCCCTAGGTAATGTTTCACTCACTCATTCAACACCAAGCACTGTACCCTCGGTGGCTCAGATGTGGAAACGCTAGTACCTGGAGCCTGATCTCAAGGAACTCAGCCCATTTATGCGGGGACACACACGAGATGGCTCCATCCCCAATTGGAGATCCTGCTGCAAAGCAGGATGCTGATAAAGAAAATCAAAGGACCCTGGCGCTGCCGTGACCTCTGGGTCCCCCACTTTCACTGGCCTGCAAGGCAACCTCTGAAGTGTCCCGGGCTCAGTTCTCTCTGCCACAGCAGGTGTTTCAAACTTTGTCCCCATTCCTACATTTCCCAACCTCCTATCTCCCTCTTCACTTGCGGAGGGGCCTCCTTAGCATCAAAACAGAGGGCATCTGTCATTTTCTCAACGTCAACCTGCCTCCATCCGTCAACCTGCCTCCATCCGGTCTCCCTCCAGTTCTCCTGTGGTGACACAATAGAGCTCTTTCTGTCCAAGGCTGATCCTGCCACCAGTGTTCTCCACCCTGCACACTCCGTGCTCCAAGGACCTGGCCGCAGCCAGGCGGACACTTCCCTTCCTGTCTACTTTAGCATCACAACTGAGGCGTGCTACAGGGTTCTCACCCCCAAATTAAAATCCCTGCATTCTAATTTCCTTTCCCCACCACCACCTCCCAGGAGAGCCATGCACACTCCCTGCGGCTGGGTTCCTCACCTCCTCTCCCTCAATTCACCGCAGGTCGGCTTCTGCCAACCACTCTTCTGGAACTGTGCTTGCAAGGTGGCTCGTTGTTGCTAAGTGCAAATCGCCTTTCCCATCCTTCTCTGGTTCTCGTGGCAGCTTGGCACCCCTAGACCCCAGTCACTCTCTGAGCACTTCCCCCTTGGCATTTCTGCCTCGTGCTCTCATCTGTCTCCCTGGTTCTCCCCTGGAGGTCCCTTTGCACTCAGCCTCTGGCCACATCCAATGTTGATACTGCAAAGTGCTCTCCCTGCCCACTTCTCAGGTTTCCTGATCTTCAGTCTCACGTTTTTGACACAATCATGATTACCAAGTCTGTATCCATAGCCCAGAGGCTTCTGAATGGCGTTTAGGTGTCTCTCCTGGGCTAGCACACAGACACCTTAAATTCAAATACGCCAAACTCGTTTTCACCTCAAACCCCTTGTACTTGCTTTTCTCCTGGATTATCCCTCAGATACTGACATGGTTGGCTTCTTTGTATCCTTTGGGTTTCAGTCCAAATGCCACCTGCGAAGGCCTCCTTCTGACCCCTCTTTTCATTTGCCCTTCACCAACTCTATCGTAACATAACTACATGAAGTTACTCTATTTATAGTTTCTCACCATGAAAATGAAGGCTCCATATGAGCACAGACATTGTCTATTTTGTTCATTATTTAGCTGCAGTACCTGAGATGCACTCAATCTCAACAAATACTTCCCAAGTGCCTAAAAACTCCTAAATTATAACCTTGGAAACATTATGCTAAGTAAAAGAAACTGAAGTTGGTTATAAAAGGTTGCATATTATATGACCTTATTTAAGTGAAATGTCCAGAATAGGCAAATCTGTAGAGAAGGAAAATTAGTAGTGGTGGCCAGGGTCTGGGGATGTTGGGGGAAATGGGAGTGACAGGCTTTCTTTCTGGAAGGACAAAAATGTTGTGGAATTAAACAGTAGTGATGGTTGTACAACTCTGTGAATATACTAGAAACCACTAAATTGTACACTTTCAATGGGTTGTATGGTATGTGAATTATATTTCAATAAAGCTGTTATAAAACAAGAGAACTCCCAAATTTATTCCAGATCTGCCCCAGCTCCCGTACTCCTTGAGTGAATTCCATGATCGTTTACCAGTTGCTCAATCTAGAAATCCAAGACATCCTTACACTCCTCTCCACAGCTGCCCCTTCCAGTACATCCGATGAGCTATGAAACTGTAAAGATTTCAATTCCTTACTCTCTGAAACCTACTTCTTTCCAACTCAACTTTCATTTCATTCATTCCAAGCTCTCACTGCTTTTTACTGGGATTATTTCAATTCCATCCTCCTGGATTCCCTCCACTGAACCCACTCTTATTCATCTGCTTACCCTGCTGATAGGCGTGATCTTCCTAAGCACAGCTCCCACTATATCTCATGGATGCTTAAACCGTTCATTGGCTCTCTAGAACCGGCGTGAAAAGTGCCCAAACTCCTTAGTAGGTATACAAGCCGGTCCCTGGGTCCCTTCCCACCTTATCTGCTAATCTTTCAGTCACAGCCATGAGGAAACTGGCCACAACTACGACCACTCTCTTCACATGGGCCACTACTGCTGCCTGGAACACCCTTGCCCTACACTATTTTTAGTTCCTATTTATCCTTTAGGGCTCAGCTCACGCATTCTATTTCCCAGGATGCAGCCGTTAGCCTTCTCTTCTTAATTTGCTAGAGTGTGTGCCTCTCTGTCCTCTTCTAACATTCCATTTACTGAGCACCTTCTATGATCCTCAAAGTAAGTGTGGCTATATTATTTTCACATGAAGAAATGGGTTCAGTGAAGTTGCTGCCAGGAAGTGACAGAGCAGGGACTGAATTCCACGTCTGACCCCCCAAGTAAGGGTCTCCTATTATCCTAAACTATCTCTCTGGAACTTCTCACTTTGCACTGCAATTCCTTCCAAAAGGGTGAATTCAGTTCACTCGGCGCTCTCTTAGGTGCATCTCCAGTGCCCAGTGCCACGCTTGACACTTGCTCAGTGTTTGCCGCCCACAGGAAGAGAGGGTGAGCCCGAGATGAGTAGTGGAAACTTGTGTTATGTCCCCAGCAGGTGCTCAACTAGGCCCTACTGATGGATGTGTAGATACTGCCCACCTTTTGGAAAAAAAAAAAAAAATGCGCAGGTTAACGTGATGCTGACTCCTATCTACATGTGTTTGTGAATTCAAATTGCTCGCCTACAGGAAAAGGGGGTGGGGGGATGGGAGTGACAGGCTTTCTTTCTGGAAAAAGAATTTTCTCCACAAGTCTGCTTTCCGGATCTGGAGAGCGTCTCTCCCGCAGACGGCCACCTCCACTCAAAGACGAGCCCTCCCACGGACAATCGCGGGCTGAATTTCTGTCAACCTCTCCGCTCTTTCTCCTCTCCGTCTACCTTCCTTACTCTGCTAGGGTCTGAAGTCTGAACCTCAAAACTCATACAGCTGATGGATTCCCTCTTTCCCGTCTTGGCAAATGTCAAGTCCTGGAGGAAACAATAAACAGCTTTGGTTCGGCTTCGCGCCGCCACAGCCTAATCCGGGTCCTCCGTCACCCCGCCGCCGCCAGCAGCACCGCTCCCCCCAGCGCTTCCACTCTAGCGCCGAGGAAAGCGCCCAGAGGCCCAAAGCCGTTCTTTCCCGCCGCCAACCCCAACATCCTCTGCCCTGAGATCGAAGAAAAGCCACGTCCCGCTCAACCCAGCAGACCCGTTCCGACCCACGTTTCCCCGAACCCCTTCAGCCTGAGAGGCCCGGCCCGCAGCGGCGGAGCAAGGGCCGGCTCCTGAGGCCCGCGGGCGAGGGGGCGACCGGAGGGGGCGACCGGGGGGGCGACCGCGAGGAGGGGGGGGGAGGCCGACCCTCCGGCCGCCGCGCCTGCCTCTCCCTGCTCCCAGCTTCACTCCCTCTCGCGCTGGGCCCTTACAGGGGTCGGATCAGCAGCTGGTCACTTTCCTCGGCGGGAATCGCAGACATCTCCGAAATCTGACGGCGAAGCGGGGTGAGGAGCAGGCGGCGCGAGTCTGCGTAAACTGAGAGCAGAGCCACGGGGAACCTGAGGTAGAAAAACCCCATCCACCAGGAGCACAACTTCCGGCACTCCGGCGCCCGCGACACCAGGCCCCTCCCCTCGACTTCCGGCCGCAGAACCCGGGTCGCGAGGCTCCTCCCCCAGCGGAGTCCGGAAGCCGGGGGCGGGGTCATGTGTGCGCCTGCGCGGTGTCTCGGAGGCGGGGCTCGGCGGGCGGGGCCGGGGGCGCCGGAAAAGCTGGCGCTGGATTAGAACTGGAGTGGCTGCCCGGCGTCGGCTCCCGGGGCGGTGGGGGTCTGACCCGGGTCGCAGGCGGCCCCAGGGGCGGGCCGGCGGCTTCGAGGTGAGAGCCGGGCCGTGGCCGAACCCGGGCTGAGCCTGGCCGGGAACGCGGGAGCTGGGGCGGCGTTGGCGGGAAGGCCCGCGGTGGGGCGGATGGGTGGGGCGGCGGGGGCCGCGGGGTCCCGTCCTCCCGGGGTCGGGGACCCGGGCCCCGAGGCGGCGCGGGGCGGGCGGCGGGGCCGAGGAGCGGGCCGGGGCCTGTGGGAGGATGCGGTGCCCCCCTCCCCGCCCCGGTGCCCGACCCCAGCTCGGGCTGGGACTGCAGCGCCCGTGACGACAGGTGTCGGGGTGGACCGGTCCCGTCTGCCGCGGGGCGGCTTCGCGAGTCGGGCTCTGCTGTCTGGGGCGGAGAGGAGCACCGCCCCTCCGCGCCGGCCCCCGCGGGGGTGTCCGCCCTGCCGCCCCTCCCCCACCGCGCCGGGCGGGGGGCGCCCGGGTCGGGTCCGCTGTCGCCGTGCGCACCTGCACCTGCACCTGGCAGGCGCCGCTCAGCCGCGCGACAGGCGCGGGAGGCCCGGTGCGGTCTGGGGAGAGCGAGGGCCCGGCTGTCTCGGGTTCCGACCTCGGCCCCACCCGTGATTAGCCCCGCGGCCTCAGCCGAGTCCCTTCGCGCTGTGGCTTCTTCCTTTGAAAGGGGCTGTAATACTGCAGCCTTGCTGGTCTCTAGCGCGGGTTGCAGGCACACACAGCACCCGGCACTGGACGGCGCACGGCGGGTGTTCAGGACAGGAGGGTTCTTGGATGTCATCTTCCCAGAAGGTTCTTTGGTTCATTAAGCATGCCCTCTGCCAGCCCGTGCCAGGCATTGGGTGCACCGCCGAGGTGCAGGACCTAGCCCTGTCTTTGAGCAGCTCGCGGGGAGGTGGTTCTAAGTAGGTGGATGCTGCGATCAAGGTGTATGCTCAGGCTGCGGAGCATGGGCCCTTAGCCCAACCTGGAGAGGTCCAGCCTAGGCTTTCTGGTAAAGAAGCAGCCTGGACTGAGTCTTGAGAGGTGAGTAAAGTTAGCTGAATGAATAAAAGGTGTAAGGGCATTCCACGCAGACAGCATGGCAGGAGCACAGTAGAGCGCATGCTGAGAACCTTGGAGAAGCCTCGTGTTCCTTACGGATTACTGTGTGAAGCTGGATGTGGAAGATGAGACTACAGAGGTAGATAGGAGCCCCCCGACATGCAGGACCTTGCATGCCCTGGCGGAGAGCTTTGACTTCAGTCTCTCACTTTGACGAGCCACTGAAAGGCTCGGTGGTCCATGGCAGCAAATGATCCCCAGTATAGCCTGCTAATTCGTCTCCCTCTTTTTACTTGTATCCTCTGCAGCTAGTTCTCTACCCGCAGCCAGTCATCTTTCTAAAACAAGTCTGATCCTATCACTTAACTACTTCTTAATGTCCCCTCAAGTCTTTTTGTTAAACCCAAAATAAACCGCAGCCTTTTGTTGTGGTTTGCAAGGCGTCCCATGGATCTTTCTCCTTGTCTGTCCCTGTCCCTCCTTCCTGCTTCCATGAACCCCTTGCTGTTCCTTGCAGCAGGCATGTGCCCTCAGGACCTTTGCACTTGCCCTAGTCTCTGCCAGAAAGCTTTGCCTCCGTATTTCCATGGCTGCCCGCTCTTCCTTCTTCAGGTCTCCTTATTGTTCACTTCCTCAGAGCATCTTTTTCTGTCTAAAATGCTCACCCTTCCTTCTATCAGTTGCAAATGTTGAACTTGCTTATTCTGAACTTGCTTTTGTTTCCCTCATATCAGTTGTTTCTAACAATGCTTTTGTATTTGGTTTTCTTGAGCCTCTGAATTTTGTATTTGGTTTTCACAGAGCCTCTGAAAACAGCTCTGTGAGGTCAGGTCAGGGGCTTTATCTGTCTCATTCACTGATGTATCTCCAGCACCTAGAAGGTGCTCACTGGGTACTCAAGAACAAATGAGTGAACAAATCAGATTTTCTTGCTCTTCCACAAATTAAGCAAAAACATAAAAATAGATTCTATGAAAAAGCTTGGGCTTGGGAGTTAGTCTTGGGCAAATGGCCTAAGGCCAGACCATGGTGAGTGGACTGAGAGTGGGGTCTCCAGTTAGAGTGGGAGAAACTTCTTATGAGAGCGGGACATTCAGTGACCACCCCATGATTTACCCATTCTTCTTCCTTCATCAGGTACCTTGTTTTTCTGAAAAGAACTGACCGTGTCAGAAAGAGAGGAAGCTCTCTGTGCACACTGCCATCTGTGGGGCCTTTGAAGACAATAAAGTAGTATTTGTTCTATGTAAGTACATTACCTTGCTCCCTCTGTAGGATCCAATCTTTGGTAAAAATTTGCTAGGCTATCTTATTCATAACGCCTCCTGAAAGACGGGTCACAGTCCCCTCATCTATAAATGCAGATTATAATCTCCCTTCTATAAGCCCCCAGCATAATATGCAGCACAGGCTAGAAACCCTTCTGGAGCAAATGAATGTGTCCCCAGGTTGTTGTGATGATAAAAGTGACACGATGTATTTGGAAGCATTTGAACTATGATATGTTCTGCAGGTTAGTCAATATTTCTTCAAGTATAATGGATGTGCTCCTATGAAACAGGCAAGGATAAATTTTGTTTCCAGGGCATCAATTATTAGTTAAAAAAAGATACATGTCAGACTGACTCTGGAGGTCACCTCCTTCCCTGGCTTTACGGGAGAGCTGGCACCTGGGCATGTTTTTAGGTCAACTTATACTTCAGGATAGCTCAAGATGTTGAGAAAAATCCACAGTTCTGAGAGGTATCTCTGTGTCTTCTGTTCCAAGCCCTCCCAGTCACAGAATGTCAACCTGAGATGGCAACAGAATCTCAGTATCTCAGTTGGTAAATTAACATGCCACCTGTTTTACTAATGTCTTGAATTGATTCAAGAGAAGCAAGGCACTTGAGTATTTTGAGAAGTAGATGACGTGTGTCTGTTACTCCCGAGAACCATGCCTTTCACACCCTTGGGTATGACAAGAAGGGTTCAGTCTTTTTGGATCATTGGGTTAGATTTTCCAGCTTTATTTTTTATTTTTATTTTTTAAAATATTTTTTTATTTCTTTATTCATGAGAGATGGAGAGAGAGAGAGGCAGAGACACAGGCAGAGGGAGAAGCAGGCTCCATGCAGGGAGCCTGATGCAGGACTCAATCCCAGGACTCCAGGACCATGCCCTGGGCCAAAGGCAGACGCTAAACCGCTGAGCCAACAGGCATCCCAGATTTTTCAGCTTTAAAGAGAAAGAAGGAATGAAACAATAGTATCCAAAGAAAAATATTTCTGCTTCCTGTAGGAGGAATACACCGTGGAGCGGGAAGGAATGGATGATTTTTATTCCTGTTATGCATAAAATGATTTAAAGTTGTTTTTCTTGCTGTAACTAACCACCATTTGTTCTTCTAGGGCAGCTCCTTTGGATCAAGCTATGGTGAAAAATGTTTCGGAAAGGCAAAAAACGGCACAGTAGTAGCAGTTCCCAAAGTAGTGAAATCAGTACTAAGAGCAAGGTAGGGGGATGGAAATAGGAGCAGAGCCATAAAGCAGCGAGCGTTTTGTTTCTCTTGACTGATTCTGCATAAAGGATACTAAGCATGGCAGCCCTGTTGATAATTCTTCAGACTAGGTGTGTGACCCTCATTTTTTACACTAGAGACACATTCTGTGCCTGATTTAATTTTATTTTGTTCTGGAAATTTTCTGAGATTCCTCATGAACCTTGATGGGCCAGGACATATGAATGGTCTCACTGAAACACTGATTTTTAAAATTTTTGACGTGATCAAAATTCCAGGCCATTCAGGGGCTGGAGCTCTTGAATTCTTGAATTGGGTTTGCGGTGTGTCCTCATGACTATAATTCTCTTAATAGTGAGTTGGGAGGCAGATACCATGTTTAGGACTCTAGAAAAATGGAGCACACGACTACAAAGGGTCAGCAGCATCCTACATCCTCATCCCTGGACCCAGTCGGTGGTTCTCACAGTTTTACTCCTACATTTTCCACCCTGTGAGCTCCCTGTTTTAAAAGACGAGTGTGTGCAATGCCAGGACGTGTTGAGGCAGGGGAGGAGCCAATGGCACAGCACAGAGGGGGTGCCCTCCTGCTGGGAGATGCACCCCCCTGGCCCGTGGCCACCAGACTGAGTCACACACATTGGTCAGTGAAGACACACATGACTGTCACGTTTCACTGAGCTGGGACGTTCCTCGCCAGAAATTTGACATTTTAGGAATCCTGCCTCAGAGTGGGGGAAACTGAGTTTTCCCTAAGGTTTTTGAGCTGAAGCCAGTCAGGAACCTCCCTGCTATTAGCTTTCGGGCCCTTGCATGAAGACCTCAGCCTGGGAAACTGGTCAGGCCCGCCTCTGGTCTTCTAGATCAGAGAATGGATAAAGGGAGACCTGAGGACTTCTGCTGGCGGAGTAGATTTTTGGAGTCCTAAGGCAACTTGCTGATGGCTTGAGATGCTAGCTCCAAGCCTTCGGTTCTCCGAGGTGGCAGGTGGGGCTGGAGTTGTGCAGAAGGGGCCACCTGTGAGTGAGGGCCTTACCCCGGGGGTGCTGTGACCGCCAAGTCATGACCGTTAGGTTTTAGGTTGACGTAAGCTTTGTTTGTTGTCTATTCTGAATGTGGGAAAAACAGACAGTGTCCCCTTCCTGTTCTCCTGGTTCAGAGAGAGGCTCAATGGGCACTGGTGGTGTCCAGCATGGGGAGTAGTATGGAGCACAGAAGAAGCTCA